GAAAAAGTCAAGGGGTCTAAATACTCTCCGAATGCACTGTATGTGTATGTGTGTGTTTCCTCTGCTGTTACCCTAATTGCTTAGTCTACCAATTGTTATATAAGCCAGCTCTAAAACCACAGCTACTTTATAAAAGCAAAAACTGCTCATGTTTAAATAATGACGACATCACTAATGTTCCTCTCTGGTTCTACTATTCAGCTAACACTGTGTGTGTGTGTGTGTGTGTGAGTGTGAGTGTGAGTGTGAGTGTGAGTGTGAGTGTGAGTGTGAGTGTGTGTGTGTGTGTGTGTGTGTGTGTGTGTGTGTGTGTGTGTGTGTGTGTGTGTGTGTGTGTGTGTGTGTGTGTGTGTGTGTGTGTGTTTGCGCGTGCTGGAGGCTGCCTACAGAAGGCTATATTGGTCCTCTAACACAAGACTATTAAAGGCCCAGTGCACTACTTTTGTGATTTTCTTTTTTTTTTTCATTTCATGAAGCTCCCGACGAACAGTTCTTGTGCTGACGTTGCTTCCAGAGGCAGTTTGGAAATCAGTAGCGAGTGTTGCAACCGAGGACAGATTATTTTTACGCGCTACGAGCTTCAGCACTCGGCAGTCCTGTTCTGTGAGCTTGTGTGGCCTACCACTTCGCGGCTGAGCTGTTGTTGCTCCTAGACGTTTCCACTTCACAATAACAGCACTTAAAGTTGACCGGGGCAGCTCTAGCAGGGCAGAAATGTAATGAATTGACTTGTTGGAAAGGTGGCATCATATGACGGTGCCATGTTGAAAGTCACTGAGCTCTTCAGTAAGGCCATTCTACTGCCAATGTTTGTCTTTGGAGATTGCATGGCGGTGTGCTCGATTTTATACACCTGTCAGCAACTGGTGTGGCTGAAATAGCTGAATCAACTAGTTTGAAGGGGTGTCCACATACTTTTGTATATATAGTGTATATATATATAAACCCTGTTGCTGTTCATTTTGCTCAAGCCGGACATCCTATTAGCTCTCTGAGATACATTGGGATAGAAAGGGTCAAGATGTCATGCAGGGGAGGGGACATTGGGAGGAAACTACTATTTCTGGATCCACAGGCTCAACACGCTGTCCCTTATCTTGGCCTGAATGAGGAGTTTGATTTGAAACCTTTTCTATAGTTCTATGTCCAAACTACTGTTTTTACCCTAAGGGAATATTGTGTATATATATCATTTTAAATATTTATGACATTCCTCATGTATGGTTATATATTCTGATTGATTTAATGTTGATTATGTGAACCTATATTGTATTTTTTTACCTCCTGTTTCAGGAAGTGATGTCACTGAGCACTGCCCCTATATATAGGACCTTTCACCCACTCCTGGGACATGAATGCCTGATGACGACCTAACCCACTGTGGACACACTGGTTGAATCAACGTTGTTTCCATGTCATTTCAATGAAATTACATTGAACCAATGTCGAATAGACGTTGAATTGACGCCTGTTCCCAGCGGGAAGGGTCGAAACACACATACACACAGACTGGTTTCTCCGCCTCCTCTAATGTCACAGTGAAGGAGAAATGAACATCTGTCATCTCACATCAATCAGAGCCGCACAGAGACCTACAGCCAGAGGACACACACACACACATACCTGCACAAACATACACAAACTCACACACACCTGAACATAAACAAACAGACAAGCACAAAATATAACATGCAACCACAAGGCCAATACATCTCTAGCTATCTCTAAAGATTCTGTTTGCCTCTACACCTCTACCTCTATTTACCAAAATAGGTAACATTTTTTGGGTGAATACTGTGTGAATACTGTGTAAAGTACCTTCCACTCTGAGAAATCCCTCTGTCTAATCTGATTTACTGGATTTACAGGTGTCACGCCCTGGCCTTGAGAGGCCGGTCGTCTTTAGTTGGTTTGGTCAGGGCGTGAGAATCTATGCTAGAAATTCTATGTTTATGTTCTAGGTATTGTATTTCTATGTTTGGCCGGGTGTGATTCCCAATCAGAGACAGCTGTCGCTCGTTGTCTCTGATTGGGGATCATACTTAAGTAGCCTGTTTGCCTACCTTAGTTTTGGGATCTTGTTCCGTGTTTAGGCTTGTATGGTTATAGCCTGAGGACTTCACGTTACGTTGTTTTGGTTTGTATGTTTATTGGTTGAATAAACATGTATGCATATCACGCTGCACCTTGGTCTGACCCGTCTCTCAACGATCGTGACAGAAGATCCCACCAAACGAGGACCAAGCAGCGTGGCCAGGAGCAGACATTCTGGACATGGGAGGAGGTCCTGGATGGTAAGGGATCTTGGACATGGGAGGAGATCCAGGCTGGGATGGATAGCCGTCCTTGGGAACAGACAGTGGAAGCCCGGGTTAGAGAGGAGCAACGGCAACACAGAAGGCGCCGGCCGAGGAGGAAGCCCGAGAGACAGCCCCAAGATACATTTTTGGGGGGGCTAAAAGGGTGGTCGGTGATCGATAGAGAAGAGCCCCGACCACTGCACTCGTGGGGGCTCAAGGAGGAGTCCTCACTGGAGGAGGATTGGGCGCGGAGAGTAAAGGACTGGTACAGTCGTAGACCTCCAGCGCCGGTTCCCAGTCCGGTACGCCTCGTGCCTGCTTCTCGCACCAAGCCAGTGGTGCGTGCTCCCAGTCCGGTAAGGTCCGTGCCTGCTTCTCGCACCAAGCCAGTGGTGCGTGTGTCCAGTCCGGTACGGCCCGTCCCTGCTCCTCGCACCAAACCAGTGGTGCGTGTCGCCAGCCCGGTACGCCCCGTACCTGCTCCCCGCACCAAGCCAGTGGTGAGTGTTCCCAGTCCAGTACGGCCCGTCCCAGCTCCACGCACCAAACCAGTGGTGCGTGTCGCCAGCCCGGTACACCCCATACCTGCTCCCCGCACCAAGCCAGTGATGCGTGTTCCCAGTCCAGTACGTCCCTGCTCCTCGCACCAAACCAGTGGTGCGTGTCGCCAGCCCGGTACGCCCCGTACCTGCTCCCCGTACCAAGCCAGTGGTGCATGTCTCCAGTCCGGCCCGGCCCATGCCTGCACCTCGCACCAAGCCAGTGGTGCGTGTTCCCAGTCCGGTACGGCCCGTGCCTGCTCCTCGCACCAGACCAGTGGTGCGTGTCCCCAGTCCGGCCCGTTCCTGCTCCTCGCACCAGACCTGTGGTGCGTGTCTCCAGTCCGGCCCGGCCCGTTCCTGCTCCTCGCACCAGACCAGTGGTGCGTGTTCCCAGTCCGGACCGGCCCATGCCAGCTCCTCGCACCAAGCCAGTGGTGCGTGTTCCCAGTCCGGCACGGCCCGTGGCCGTTCCACCGGTGCCTGGTCCAGCACCGGTCAGCTGCTCCACTCCGGGGTCAGAGCAGTCCGCTCCACCGGTGCCGAGACCAGCTCCGGTCAGCGGTTCCACTCCGGGGTCAGAGCAGTCTGCTCCACCGGAGCCCAGTTCAGCTCCGGTCAGCGGATCCACTCCGGGGTCAGAGCAGTCCGCTCCACCGGTGCCCGGTTCAGCTCCGGTCAGCGGTTCCACTCCGGGGTCAGAGCAGTCCGCTCCACCGGTGCCCGGTTCAGCTCCGGTCAGCGGTTCCACTCCGGAGCCAGAGCAGTCCGCTCCACCGGTGTCCAGTTCAGCTCCGGTCAGCGGCTCCATTCCAGACCCAGACGTCAGCCCCTCTCAAGGTTTGGGGTCTCCCACACCAGGGTCCAGATAGGGCTTGGTGCATCGTGGGGGGATTGCCGATCCAGGCCCAGACGTCAGCTCCTCTCCAGGTTCGGGGTTTCCCACACCAGGGTCCAGACAGGGCTTGGTGCATCATGGGAGGAAGGAGAGGGGAAGCATCGCACCGAGGTCCAGACCAGACCAGGGGCGCAACGGGGAGGCAGAGAGGGAGAGGTCGTCACGCCCGGAGCCGGATCCGCCTCAGAGGCTGAATGCCCACCCGGACCCTCCCCTAACGAGTCAGGTTGGTGCGGCCGGAGTACGCACCTTTGTGGGGGGGGGGTACTGTCACGCCCTGGCCTTGAGAGGCCGGTTGTCTTTAGTTGGTTTGGTCAGGGCGTGAGAATCTATGCTAGAAATTCTATGTTTATGTTCTAGGTATTGTATTTCTATGTTTGGCCGGGTGTGATTCCCAATCAGAGACAGCTGTCGCTCGTTGTCTCTGATTGGGGATCATACTTAAGTAGCCTGTTTGCCTCCCTTAGTTGTGGGATCTTGTTCTGTGTTTAGGCTTGTATGTTTATAGCCTGAGGACTTCACGTTACGTTGTTTTCTTGTTTTGGTTTGTATGTTTATTGGTTGAATAAACATGTACTCATATCACGCTGCACCTTGGTCTGACCCGTCTCTCAACGATCGTGACAACAGGGGACACACACATGCGAACATGCACACATGCTAAAACAAACACACACACTTTATACGGTCACAGTACAGTATGTGAGATTTATTTATACCGGTCACCATGGTAATCGGTGACCCAGAGCTGGCTGGCTATGGCAGCCTATGTGTAAGCACACAGTGTGGTTATACTGTACGTATGTGGATATGAAACACTGTCTCTACTCCCACCTCAAATACATCATATGTAATGACAACATTGCCCTGCTCCCTCCAACATGCTGAGGGCTAGAGAGCTTTAGGTTGAATCAGTCACTGGTAGCACTTTCACTAGCACGCAACCTGGGTCTACACTGCCCCAAGCTACAGGCTTTCACATAACACACACAGAGACAGAGATGGAGTCTGATGGTATTTGTGTAGTGTGTGGACATGGCTTGAGCAGCACACACCCACCCACACATATACACACACTGAAGGGAGTTCCACGGTGGCAAAATGACAGAGCCATTAGATAGCCCTGCTGAGACAATCAGTAATGGCACTGTAGAGTAGACTGGAGAGAGGGAAGACGGAAGGAGAGAGAGAGTGAGAGACAGAGACAGATAGACAGAGAAAGAGAGAGAAAGAGAAAGCAAGAGAGAGAGAAAGCAAGAGAGTGACAGAGAAAAAGAGAGCGAGAGAGAAAAAGAGAGATAAAGAGGGCGAGAGAGTGAGAGTGAAAGAGAGAGAGAGGACAAGAGGGGGGCAGAGAGAATTAAAAAAGATACGGAAAAACAGAGAAAGTATATCTAGATGGAGTGTTTTGTGTGTAAAAACCACAACCTTACCTGGAGGAGCCAGTGGGAGCAGCCTCTGGTGCCTCTGGGGCAGGACAACAGAACTGATGTAGTATTGTCTGACTCCTGTAGAGGGATAGAGGAGCAGGAGAGGAGAGGGGGCAGAGGAGATAGGAGTGAGGGGAGAAGGGGAGTGTGGGAGTGGAAAGGGGGCAAAGAAACATGTGAGTGTTTCTTTACTATTAGTAAAACGGCCGAGTTGGCTCAAAACCAAATTCTCTCAACACACACACACACATGCACATGCACACATGCACACACACAAACCTTAAAACAACAGAAACAGAATTCAGCCATCGGACATGTCGTTGTTGTTTTAGTAAGATTTAACAAATACAGACAGATGGTTACGCTCTCTCTCTTTATCTCTCACTATCTCTCTCTCTCGCTCGCTCTCTGTCTCACACAAATACACATGCACACACACACATACACACACACACATTTGCAGTGTTCGTTTGTTGTCATGCCAAACATTGTCATAACAACGTCAAAATGTATGGCATGAGAAAGACAGTCAGAAGAGTTAGCTAAACCTAAGTGGTTCAGTGAATTTTTTCTAAATTACAAATCATCAGTGATGTATTTTGGGGTCTGGGGTGTTTCAGGTCTCTCAACATCAGACTAGTTGTTGTGATGATGTCTGGAAAACTGAGCTGCTTCGCGAAGTCGACCTTCAGTTGCCAGTCTTCTGCTGTCACGAGGAGACCAGTGTCCTGGCAAATGGCATGGGCTTTTCCCCAGCTCTGACAAATGTAATGGCCTGCTTTGATGCACGGAGGTGTTTTCAAAAACTCAGTTTTAGGAAGAGTTCAATCCCAGCTGGTTAAAAAAAAGCTTATAGGACCAGCCGAGACCATTGGGTCGGGTAACAGTGGAATTCTCTGTCTGTCTCTATTGGCCATAGCAAGGTCACCTCTCTGTCTGTACAACACACACACACATCTCAGCCATTACATCTCTAATATAGAGGGCAGATTAATATTTTAATACTACACGTCTCCTCTGCTCTCTCTCCTTCTCTCTGCTTTCTCACTCCATCTTTCTCTCTACCCTAGCCCCTTGCCCTAGCCTCTCATACGCATTATAAATGATCTAGGAGCGGGGGTCAGAGCAGACAGTTATTCTCTTTCTCACTCTCACTCTCACTCTCATCTCTCTCTCTCTCTCACTCTCATCTCATCTCTCTCTCTCTCTCTCTCTCTTTCTCTCTCTCTCTCTCTCTCTCTCTTTCTCCAGAGAGTAGCTGATTACAGTTCGCTCCATGGGCTAAGTGGGCCAGATACGTGTGGATCAGCTGGAGGGAGGAGGGGGGAGAAATAGGGGGAGGATGGGAGAGGAATGATACTCTCATCAATAGGCAGACCCACGTGCAGTCCCCACCAACACACACACAGACACAGTCTATTTCAGTATACAGTGCCTTGCAAAAGTATTCATCCCCCGTGGCGTTTTTCCTATTTTGTTGCATTACAACCTGTAATTTAAATGGATTTTTATTTGGATTTCATGTAATGGACATACACAAAATAGTCCAAATTGGTGAAGTGAAAAGAATAACTTGTTTCAAAAAATTCTAAAAAATAAATAACGGAAAAGTGGTGTGTGCATATGTATTCACCCCATTTGCTATGAAGCCTCTAAATAAGATCTGGTGCAACCAATTACCTTCAGAAGTCACATAATTAGTTAAATAAAGTCCACCTGTGTGCAATCTAAGAGTCACATGATCTGTCACATGATCTCAGTATATATACACCTGTTCTGAAAGGCTCCAGAGTCTGCAACACCACTAAGCAAGCGGCACCATGAAGACCAAGGAGCTCTCCAAACAGGTCAGGGACAAAGTTGTGGAGAAGTACTGATCAGGGTTGGGTAATAAAAAAATATCAGAAACTTTGAACATCCCACAGAGCACCATTAATACCATTATTAAAAAATGGAAAGAATATGGCACCACAACAAACCTGCCAAGAGAGGGCCGCCCACCAAAACTCACGGACCAGGCAAGGAAGGCATTAATCAGAGAGGCAACAAAGAGACCAAAGATAACCCTGAAGGAGCTGCCAAGCTCCACAGCGGAGATTGGAGTATCTGTCCATAGGACCACTTTAAGCCGTCCACTCCACAGAGCTGGGCTTTACGGAAGAGTGGCCAGAAAAAAGCCATTGCTTAAAGAAAAAAATAAGCAAACACGTTTGGTGTTCGCCAAAAGCCATGTGGGGGACTCTCCAAACATATGGAAGAAGGTACACTGGTCAGATGAGACTAAAATTTAGCTTTTTGGCCATCAAGGAAAACGCTATGTCTGGCGCAAACCCAACACCTCTCATCACCCCGAGAACACCATCCCCACAGTGAAGCATGGTGGTGGCAGCATCATGCTGTGGGGATATTTCTCATCGGCAGGAACTGGGAAACTGGTCAGAATTGAAGGAATGATGGATGGCGCTAAATACAGGGAAATTATGGTCCTCTGTAGCTCAATTGGTAGAGCATGGCGCTTGTAACGCCAGGGTAGTTCGATCCCCGGGACCACCCATACGTAAAAATGTATGCACACATGAATGTAAGTCGCTTTGGATAAAAGCGTCTGGTAAATGGCATATTATTATATTATTATAAATTCTTGAAGGAAACCTGTTTCAGTCTTCCAGAGATTTGAGACTGGGACGGAGGTTCACCTTCCAGCAGGACAATGACCCTAAGCATACTGCTAAAGCAACACTTGAGTGGTTTAAGGGGAAACATTTAAATGTCTTGGAATGGCCTAGTCAAAGCCCAGACCTCAATCCAATTGAGAATCTGTGGTATGACTTAAAGATTGCTGTACACCAGCAGAACCCATCCAACTTGAAGGAGCTGGAGCAGTTTTGCCTTGAAGAATGGGCAAAAATCCCAGTTTGTGCACTGCGTAATGTGAAAAGAGTATTAAGGTAGAGAGAGATCTAAATCTGATTTTAAAACGAACCCCAATTGTAACCCAATACATCTAACCTTAGGCATAACCCTAACCTCAAATTAATACTTAAAAGCTAATATTCTTGTTTTTAAATATTCTAAGTATAGCAAATGTTGATAGAACAAACACAAGTTGACGCTGGATAGTGACCAATGCCAAAAAAGCCTTTGTGCAAAGATCTTCCAGAAATATTCAAGGCACGCTCATGTAGTGAAAACATTTAAAAGCCTTTATTTTCTATGGCTTATGCATAGAAATAATAAAAACTTTGACTTTGTAACCTAATTCGATATTTTCTACTGTATTTCCTGTATATCCTGTATGTCATAGCCTCATCAATCTCTCATTTTCTTCCTCTCTTCTCCCCTCCTGTGTTCCCCCTTTCTTTCTTCTACTCTATTCTTGTCCCCAGCGGGGGGAGGCTAATTTCACTCATAATCAGAACATCACACACACACACAGACACACAGACACACATACACACAGACACACACACACACACACACACACACACAGAGAGACACACAAATACACACATAGACACACATAGACACATATGCAGACATACACTCCCACACAAGGGTTTTGTTCAAATTGATTCAGAACCATGGAAAGGACTGCTACAGCTATAACAGTAGAGCTGAACTGCATCTATTCTAAACAACTACAGTACAGCAGTTGTAGAGTTGTATTCAATCCAACTAGGCCTACAGTCTGAAATTTAAACCTTACCCCTCAACCAGGTTTCAAAGCTGTGTTTCTTTGCCAAGAGTGCACCATGCATTTGAGCCATATCCCTCCAAACACACACACACACACACGCACACACATACATACATACACACTCACACAGCTGTTTGTTATATAATCTCCCTTTTTTTGTTGTTGGTCTATCTTGGCAAATAATCCCCTTCTGTAAATTCTCCACGTCACTCTCATGATGATCCTACCGTTGTAAAAGCCAACTTCGGCAGGCTGGCAGGACTATATTTTACAACCTGGACATATTCGAGTTGCCACACACACTTTATTTCATTCGCGTTGATAAAGGCTATAGTAAACAGACTCACTCTGATTGCCTGGCGAGAGCCAACGAGCGACAGAGAGTGGTAGGAGTGAGTGGAGCTAGGGGAACCAGGGGAACCAGTGTGCGGCAGCCCGTGCTGGTCCTGCTGCCCTCCCCCTCGCCCGGGATAGCCTCGCCTGGCTGAGGGCTCGGTGACTGTGGCTGGGGTTGGGACGGTACCAGCTGCATGTCCTCCGGATTGGCGGGCTGAGGAGAGGACTTTCCTGGCTCAGCAGGATGGACCTCAGGCAGGGGCTGGGCGTGGGGCTGGACGGGCTGAGAACCGGTGTCTTGTGGGTATGGATGTTGGTGCTGAGGATGATGATGATGAAGGCTCAGGTTGCGGTCCGGGTGATGATGGTGAGGTTGTACACCTCTTGCTTCGCGCAGATTCCTGTTCTCCCCAAGCAGCTCATCCACGCGTCGGTCCAGTTCGTCAATGCGTAGGCGCTGTGTCTGGATGAGGCTCTGCTGGTTCTGAACTATAGTGGTCAGTTCTCTAAGGTACAGAACCGCCTGAACTGGGTTCTCTAGCAGGCTGGTCCCCTGCACAGCCATGACCATAGAGAGAGAGAGAGAGAGAGAGAGAGAGAGAGAGAGAGAGAGAGAGAGAGAGAGAGAGAGAGAGAGATGATCAAGTGCAGAGGAGAGGTAGCCTAAATTCCTTCTTCCTGCTAGAACAGACGAATGAGATGAGAGGTCTTCCTCCTCTCTTCTCCTTTGCTTTTTATTCTTCCATTAGTCTCTCCCTTCGTTTTACTCTTCTCTTCTGTTTTTAATATTCTGTTCTATTTCTGAGATGATCGATAGCGAAGAGACAGATAAATAAGCTATTCCGTTTCGAAACGGAAAGAGAGAGAGAGAGAGAGAGAGAGCCATAGAAAAAGGGAGATAATGATCGGATGTAAATATTCCTGTCTTCTCGTGATAAGAGATTCTCTCTCCTCTCTCCCTCCCAGCCACCGATACGGCTCTGCTGAGTGCTGCTGATGATGAGAGGATCCAGATCCAGATGGGAGCAAGGGTGTGTGGCGTCATCACACATGAATGCGTACGCACGCGCGCACACACAGCCTAGTGTGTTTAACACTCTCCTCTCTGTATCTCTATAGTTATTTACAGAAGGCCTATTTCTAAATTATGTAAGACATGCTCTGTCTGCGCACTATAGCCCGTGACACACACAAACACTCTCACACACACACACACACAAACACACACTACTGCTCTGTAGCAATCACATCTGTAGCCATGAAATGCTTTGAAAGGCTGGTCATGGCTCACATCAACACCATCATCCCAGAAACCCTGGACCCACTCCAATTCACATACTGCCCCAACAGATCCACCAATGACGCAATCTCTATTGCACTCCACACTGCCCTTTCCCACCTGGACAAAAGGAACACCTACGTGAGAATGCTGTTCATTGACTACAGCGCAGCGTTCAACAGCATAGTGCCCTCCAAGCTCATTACTAAGCTGAGGAACCTGGGACAGTACACCTCCCTCTGCAAATTGATCTTGGAGGTGGTGAGGTTAGGCAATAACACATCCGCCACGTTGACCCTCAACACGGGGGCCCCTTAGGAGTGCGTGCTCAGTCCCCTCCTGTACTCCCTGTTCACCCACGACTGCGTGGCCGCGCACGATTCCAACACCATCATTACGTTTGCCAACAACACGACGGTGGTAGGCCTGATCACTGACGACGATGAGACAGCCTATGGAGAGGTCAGAGACCTGGCAGAGTTGTGCAAAGACAATAACCTCTCCCTCAACGTGGGCAAGACAAAGGAGCTCATCGTGGACTACAGGAAATGGAGGGCCGAACACGCCCCCATTCACATGGACAGGGCTGTAGTGGAGCAGGTCGAGAGCTTCAAGTTCCTCGGTTTCCACATCACTAAGGACCTATCATGGTCCAAACACACCAACACAGTCATGAAGAGGGCACGACAATGCCTCTTCCCCCTCAGGAGACTGAAAATATTTGGCATGGGACCTCAGATCCTCAAAAGGTTCTACAGCTGCACCATCGAGAGCATCTTGACTAGCTGCATCACCGCTTTGTATGGCAACTGTTCGGCCTCCGACCGCAAAGTGCTACAGAGGGTAATGCGTACGGCCCAGTACATCACTGGGGCGAACTCCCTGCCATCCAGGACCTCTATACCAGGCGGTGTCAGAGGAAGGCCCTAAAAATTGTCAAAGACTCCAGCCACCCAAGTAATAGACTGTTCTCTCTGCTACCGCATGACAAGCTGTACCAGAGTGCCAAGTCTGGGACCAAAGGGCACCTCAGCAGCTTCTACCCCTAAGCCATAAGACTGCTGAACAGTTAATCAAATGGTTACCTGGACAATTTACATTGACCCCCTGGATTATTTATTTATTTTTCTTAATTGTTTTGCACTGACTCCCTTGCACTGGCTCTATGCACACTCACTAGACTCTATCCACACACTCACACATAAAAACAGATCCACGGACGATGCAATCGCCATTGCACTGCACTCTGCCCTATCCCATCTGGACAAGAGGAATACCTATGTAAGAATGCTGTTCATCGACTACAGCTCAGCCTTCAACACCATAGTGCCTTCCAAGCTCATCACTAAGCTCAGGGCCCTGGGTCTGAACCCCTCCCTATGCAACTGGGTCCTGGACTTCCTGAAGGGCCGACCTCAAGTGGTGAAGGTAGGCAACAACACCTCGGCAACGCTGATCCTCAACATGGGGGCCCCACAGGGGTGCATGCTCAGCCCCCTCCTGTACTCCCTGTTCACCCATAACTGTGTGGCCACGCACGTCTCCAACTCAATCATCAAGTTTACTGACGACACAACATTGTTAGGCCTGATTACCAACAATGACGAGATAGACTACAGGGAGGAGATGAGTGCCTTGGCGGAGTGGTGCCAGGAAAATAATCTCTCCCTCAACATCAACAAAATGAAGGAGCTGATCGTGGACTACAGCGGACAGCAGAAAGAGCACGCCCCCATCCACATCGACCTCGGTCTGCAAATCACTGACGACCTGAAATGGTCCCTTCACAGAGACAGTGTTATGAAGAAGGTGCAACAGTGCCTCTTCAACATCAGGAGGCTGAAGAAATTTGGATTGTCCCCTAAGACCCTCACCGACTTCTACAGATGCACCATTGAGAGCATCCTGTCGGGCTGTATCACCGCCTGGTACGGCAATTGCACCGTCTGCAACCGCAGGGCTCTCCGGAGGATGGTGCAGTCCGCCCAACGCATCATCGGGGGCACACTGCCTGCCCTCCAGGACATCTAAATTGTCACAGGAAGGCCAAGAAGATCATGAAGGACCCCAGCCTGTTCACCTGCTACAATCTAGAAGGTGGAGACAGTACAGGTTCATCAAAGCTGGGACCTAGAGACTGATAAACAGATTATATCTCCAGACATCAGACTGTTAAACAGTCACCACTAGCCGGCCTCTTCCCTGAACCTCAGACACTGTCACCAGCCGGCTACCACTCTGTACTTTACCCTGCACTTTAGAGACCGTTGCCCTATGTACATAGAGTCATTGAACACTGGTCACTTTAATATGTTTACATACTGTTTTACTCACTTTATATGTACAGTGGTGGAAAAAAGTATTTAGTCAGCCACCAATTGTGCAAGTTCTCCCACTTAAAAAGATGAGAGAGGCTTGTAATTTTCATCATAGGCACACGTCAACTATGACAGACAAAATGAGAATTTTTTTCTCCAGAAAATCACATTGTAGGATTTTTAATGAATTTATTTGCAAATTATGGTGGAAAATAAGTATTTGGTCAATAACAAAAGTTTCTCAATACTTTGTTATATACCCTTTGTTGGCAATGACACAGGTCAAACGTTTTCTGTAAGTCTTCACAAGGTTTTCACACACTGTTGCTGGTATTTTGGCATATTCCTCCATGCAGATCTCCTCTAGAGCAGTGATGTTTTGGGGCTGTCGCTGGGCAACACAGACTTTCAACTCCCTCCAAAGATTTTCTATGGGGTTGAGATCTGGAGACTGGCTAGGCCACTCCAGGACCTTGAAATGCTTCTTACGAAGCCACTCCTTCGTTGCCCGGGCGGTGTGTTTGGGATCATTGTCATGCTGAAAGACCCAGCCACGTTTCATCTTCAATGCCCTTGCTGATGGAAGGAGGTTTTCACTCAAAATCTCACGATACATGGCCCCATTCATTCTTTCCTTTACACGGATCAGTCGTCCTGGTCCCTTTGCAGAAAAACAGCCCCAAAGCATGATGTTTCCACCCCCATGCTTCACAGTAGGTATGGTGTTCTTTGGATGCAACTCAGCATTCTTTGTCCTCCAAACACGACGAGTTGAGTTTTTACCAAAAAGTTATATTTTGGTTTCATCTGACCATATGACATTCTCCCAATCCTCTTCTGGATCATCCAAATGCACTCTAGCAAACTTCAGACGGGCCTGGACATGTACTGGCTTAAGCAGGGGGACACGTCTTGCACTGCAGGATTTGAGTCCCTGGCGGCGTAGTGTGTTACTGATGGTAGGCTTTGTTACTTTGGTCCCAGCTCTCTGCAGGTCATTCACTAGGTCCCCCCGTGTGGTTCTGGGATTTTTGCTCACCGTTCTTGTGATCATTTTGACCCCACGGGGTGAGATCTTGCGTGGAGCCCCAGATCGAGGGAGATTATCAGTGGTCTTGTATGTCTTCCATTTCCTAATAATTGCTCTCACAGTTGATTTCTTCAAACCAAGCTGCTTACCTATTGCAGATTCTGTCTTCCCAGCCTGGTGCAGGTCTACAATTTTGTTTCTGGTGTCCTTTGACAGCTCTTTGGTCTTGGCCATAGTGGAGTTTGGAGTGTGACTGTTTGAGGTTGTGGACAGGTGTCTTTTATACCGATAACAAGTTCAAACAGATGCCATTAATACAGGTAACGAGTGGAGGACAGAGGAGCCTCTTAAAGAAGAAGTTACAGGTCTGTGAGAGCCAGAAATCTTGCTTGTTTGTAGGTGACCAAATACTTATTTTCCACCATAATTTGCAAATAAATTCATTAAAAATCCTACAATGTGATTTTCTGGATTTGTTTTTCTCAATTTGTCTGTCATCGTGTACCTATGATGAAAATTACAGGCCTCTCTCATCTTTTTAAGTGGGAGAACTTGCACAATTGGTGGCTGACTAAATACTTTTTTCCCCCACTGTATATACTGTATTCTAGTCATGGCTCATCCTATATAACTACTGCTATACACACCTTTTCTATTCACATACTGTCCATACTGTCTATACACACCATTCACATACTGTACATATACACTATTTATACTCCGGACTCAGGCCCGGAAGCTAATTTTCTGCAATTCTATCCATTTTGCTATGGGGTTTTGTACTGTGTATTTACAGTTTAAAGTCGAAGGTTTACATACACCTTAGCCAAATACATTTAAACTCAGTTTTTCACAATTCCTGACATTTAATCCTAGTAAAAATTCCCTGTCTTAGGTCAGTTAGGATCACCACTTTATTTTAAGAATGTGAAATGTCAGAATAATAGCAGAGAGAATGATTTCTTTCAGCTTTTATTTCTTTCATCACATTCCCAGTGGGTCACAAGTTTACATACACTCAATTAGTATTTGGTAGCATCGCCTTTAAATTGTTTAACTTGGGTCAAACGTTTCGGGTAGCCTTCCACAAGCTTCCCACAATAAGATGGGTGAATTTTGGCCCATTCCTCCTGACCGAGCTGGCGTAACTGAGTCAGGTTTGTAGGCCTCCTTGCTCGCACACGCTTTTCAGTTCTGCCCACAACTATTCTATAGGATTGAGGTCAGGGCTTTGTGATGGCCACTCCAATACCTTGACTTTGTTGTCCTTAAGCCATTTTGGCACAACTCTGGAAGTATGCTTGTGGTCATTGTCCATTTGGAAGATCCATTTGTGACCAAGCTTTAACTTCCTGACTGATGTCTTGAGATGTTGCTTCAATATATCCACATCATTGTCCTTCCTCATGATGCCATCTATTTTGTGAAGTGCCCCAGTCCCTCCTGCAGCAAAGCACCCCCACAGCATGATGCTGCCACCCCCATGCTTCACGGTTGGGATGGTGTTCTTCGGCTTGCAAGCAACCCCCTTTTGCCTCCAAACATAACGATGGTCATTATGGCCAAACAGTTATATTTTTGTAAAAAGTACGATCTTTGTCCCCATGTGCAGTTGCAAACCGTAGTCTGGCTTTTTTATGGCGGTTTTGGAGCAGTGGCTTCTTCCTTGCTGGGCGGCCTTTCAGGTTATGTCGATATAGGACTCGTTTTACTGTGGATATAGATACTTTTGTACCTGTTTCCTCCAGCATCTTCACAAGGTCCTTTGCTGTTGTTCTGGGATTGATTTGCACTTTTCGCACCAAAGTACGTTAATCTCTAGGAGACAGAACGCGTCTCCTTCCTGAGAGGTATGATGGCTGCGTGGTCCCATGGCTGGCGGCGCGCACCGTAGACTTGGTGCGGGTGGCAGGAACAGGCCGGACCGGGCTGGCGACGCGCACCGTAGGTTTAGTGCGTGGAGCAGGGACAGGCCGGGCTGGGCTGTCGACGCACACCGTAGGCTTGGTGCGTGGAGCAGGGACAGGCCGGGCTGGGCTGTCGACGCACACCGTAGACTTGGTGCGGGTGGAAGGAACAGGCAGGGTCGGGCTGGCGACGCGCACCGTAGACTTGGTGCGGGTGGCAGGAACAGGCCGGACCGGGCTGGCGACGCGCACCGTAGGTTTAGTGCGTGGAGCAGGGACAGGCCGGGCTGGGCTGTCGACGCACACCGTAGGCTTGGTGCGTGGAGCAGGAACAGGCCGGGCTGGGCTGTCGACGCACACCGTAGACTTGGTGCGGGTGGCAGGAACAGGCCGGGTCAGGCTGGCGACGCGCACCGTAGACTTGGTGCGGGTGGCAGGAACAGGCCGGACCGGGCTGGCGACGCGCACCGTAGGTTTAGTGCGTGGAGCAGGGACAGGCCGGGCTGGGCTGTCGACGCACACCGTAGGCTTGGTGCGTGGAGCAGGGACAGGCCGGGCTGGGCTGTCGACGCACACCGTAGGCTTGGTGCGGGTGGCAGGAACAGGCCGGGCTGGGCTGTCGACGCACACCGTAGGCTTGGTGCGTGGAGAAGGGACAGGCCGGGCTGGGCTGGCGACGCACACCGTAGGCTTGGTGCGTGGAGCAGGGACAGGCCGGACCGGGCTGGCGACGCACACCGTAGGCTTGGTGCGTGGAGCAGGGCCAGGCCGAACCGGGCTGTGGAGACGGATAGGAGGCCTGGAGTGAATAGCGGCCACCACCCGTCCTGGCTGAATGCCTACCCTCACACACTCTGTGTGAGGCATCCGCACAGGACGTACAGGGCGGTGTACCCCTGGCCTGGTGGCCTTCTGGATCCGCCCCCTTTTCTCCTCCGTCAGCCCCGTCGTCCATGCCGTGTGCCCCCCCCTAAAAAATTTCTGGGGTTGCCTCACGACCGTCCGACGACGACCCTGATCACGCCGTAGCTCCTCTCTACGGCGCGCCTCCACCGTCTCACTCCATGGCCGGCGATCCATCCCGGCCAGGATTTCCTCCCAGGTCCAGGACCCCTGCCCGTCCAAGATCTGCTCCCACGTCCAGGCTGCCTGCTCCTGGACACGCTGCTTGGTCTTGGTATGGTGGGTTTTTCTGTCACGATCGTCGTAGTAAGGAGTAGACCAAGGCGCAGCGTGAGAAACAAACATGACTTTAATTAGTTAAAGTTTCTAAATACAAACAAAACACGACTCGTGAAGTCCACGGTGACACTGACCGAACACGGAACAAAAACCCACAAACCCAAAGTGAAACACAGACAGTTAAATATGGCTCCCAATCAGAGACAACCAGCAAACAGCTGACACTCGTTGCCTCTGATTGGGAGTCACTCAGTCCAACCTAGAAATAAACACAACAGAACTACCAACATAGAAATAATCACATAGAATGAACACACCCTGGCTCAACATAATGAGTCCCAGAGCCAGGGTGTGACAACATCATTTTCTGGAATTTTCCAAGCTGTTTAAAGGCACAGTCAACTTAGTGCATGTAATCTTCTGACCCACTGGAATTGTGATACAGTGAATTATAAGTGAAATAATCTGTCTGTAAACAATTGTTGGAAAAATTGCTTGTGTCATGCACAAAGTAGATGTCCTAACCGACTTGCCAAAACTATAGTTTGTTAACTATACATTTGTGGAGTGGTTAAAAAACGAGTTTTAATGACTCCAACCTAAGTTTATGTAAACTTCCGACTTCAACTGTACATACAATACTTATGTATTCTCGACATAGCTCATTCTAATGTTGCTACTACTGTACATTGCATTTTAGTTACACTATTTATACACACCACATATTTATTTATATACTGTATTCTTGACATAGCTCACTCTAATATGTCTACTGCTGTACATATCATTCCTAGTATATCTTGTGTAAATTCATCTGGTGTAGATACATATAGATTGCATTTGGATTATTGTTACAGTGCTATTTGGGTTGTTAATTGGATTGTTTCCGACATTTCTTGATTTCTTGTTGTACTTTCTGTTTTTTAATGGATTATTTGTGTACCTGTTTGACATTTTACTGCATTGTTAGGAGCTAGTAACATAAGCATTTCGCTGCACCCGCTATAACATCTGCTAAACTGTGTACGCGACCAATACACTTTGATTTGATTTGATTTGTATAGTGGTTGTCTCCAGCTGTGTCTGTCTATAGGTCATCATTGGTAGGCCTAATGGTTCACATAGGTCATCTTGACAAAATTGTCAAATAAAGGCTGAATGAAATCGGTGTTTTGATTCTGCGCTGTGTTGTTGCTATCATAACCAAGTACTGACTGTTGCCATGGTGATCCCCTACTGACTGTGCTGTTGCCATGGGGCTGCTTGCTTACAGTCATCTACCTGTGTCTTTGACCTGCCTCCTACCTGTTGTGTGTGTGTGTGTGTGTGTGTGTGTGTGTGTGTGTGTGTGTGTGTGTGTGTGTGTGTGTGTGTGTGTGTGTGTGTGTGTGTGTGTGTGTGTGTGTGTTTGTGTGTGTGTGTGTGTGTGTGTGCGTGTGTGTGTGTGTGTACACATTTTACTATACTTGTGAGTACCAGAAGTCCTCACAAGAATAGTAAACCAACTAAAATTCAGAGAAGTGAGGACATTTTGCCGGTTCTCACTTGTGAAAAGGCTATTTTAGACTTACAGGTTAGGTTTAGAGTTAGAGTTCGAATTAGGGTTAGGGTTCGAATTAGGGTTAGGGTTAAGGTTAGGGGTTACTGGTTAGGAGTTAGGCTTATTAGGTTTACATTTAGGGTTAGGGGTTAGGATTAAGGTTAAGGTTAAGGTTAAGGTTAAGGTTAAGGTTAAGGTTAAGGTTAAGGTTAAGGTTAGGGTTAGGGTTAAGGTTAAGGGTTAGGGTTAGGATTAGGGGGAAGGGAAGATATGATTTTAAATGAAAATCTGATGTTGGCCCTCAAAAAGTCCTGACATGTATAGTAAGACATAGTGTGTGTGTGTGTGTGTGTGTGTGTGTGTGTGTGTGTGTGTGTGTGTGTGTATGTGTGTGTGTGTGTGTGTGTGTGTGTGTGTGTGTGTGTGTGTGTGTGTGTGTGTGTGTGTGTTTTAGATGGGGAGTTGGGAGACAAAATGAAAGATAGTTTCCATGGTGCAGCAGCAGACAAGATGAAAGATGAAAGGAGCGCTTCTCCTCTGTGATATAACACACACACATACACACACACATACACACGCGCCTATTCCCACATCACATGTAGTAGATATGGCGTATAGTCTGTCCCACCATGACTTGAACCTGTAACCTTGATTCTCTCAGTCCAATCTTAGCCACTATACCAAGAGGTTTGAACCTCTGGATGCCACATCACTAATAGATCAAGTCAAATATCTAGGAACTTGCTTTGCACATGGATTATAATTCTCAGCAACGAGCCATATAGTACTTGTGCTTATTCAAATAATTTAAGTCAGAGCTTCTTTCGTCCTTCATAATGCACAAAGACATTCCTTGTCGGGCGTCAGTGAATGTAGAACACAACAACAATATGGCATACAATGCGTAAGTCATCTATGATATATTTTATCTTAAATAATGTATGTGGCATGCATGAGACATCAGTAGATATTTATCTGGCAAAGCCTACAATGATGTCTGTATTGTTAGTGAACTGTCCCTTTAAGGAACAGAACCTGTCACGCGGTACGACCATGCGGAAGTGGTTGTTGTGTTTTTAGCGGAGTGTAATAAACAACCAACCATCAGATAGCTATCTGCGGCCGTGTACACACTACACGCTGTCAATGGTCAGGTAAGACCAATGAAACATATGTTCACTTCATTATATTGTCTATAATAAGATAGCTCAGTGAGTAACGTTATTTGACTCCAGCTGTGAGTGTGCCAATCCCCGGAGCTGTCTGGGTCCACAACCCGGAGAGAGGGGGCTGTTGCCGGGGAGCTGATGACTCCAGCACAGCAGTGGCTGGGGCTGCCGAGAGCGGGGATGATGTGAGAAGCTCTCTGGTGTAACATAAAGAAAAACGTTTACATGATCTCGCTGCACGGAAGATAAACTAGTTTAATAGCTAGCTAGCTAGCTATCTGGACAGTACTCAACGCTAACTTTGCTATATGGGACATCATTATAAGGATGAGTTGCCAAGGCTGTCACTGCTTGTCACTTCCCAGGTTATTTATCTGTGTATGAGGTGACAGGTCCAGGAAGGACCAGAGCTGTCATGGCAGCTAGGGCTAAATGGTAAACCCCATCACATGACAGTCAGCTGGGCCTGGGAGAAATAGTGAGAGAGACAGATGAGAGAGAGCTCACAGCTCACATGCAGCTGTAGGTGAAAAGTCAGAAAGGTTAGTTAGCTACTTACTGCATTCTGCTTTTAGAGAGAGAGTTCCTTTAGCAAGATCCCTTTGTCCCTCTGCACTACCCTCATTATTTCACTCACTGTCTCTCTCTCTCTCTCTCTCTCTCTCTCTCTGTAGGATGAGTGTGAAGCAGTGTCTGGAGGGTCAGGTGTACTCTGTGCCTCTGATCCAGTCAGACCTGAGGAGGGAGGAGGCTGTTCACCAGATAGCAGACGCCCTGCTCTACCTAGAGACTATCTCTACTGACATCTTTACCAGGTAGACACACCAGGTTGCCTGTTAGCTAAGATGCTCCTGGTTTATACATGAAATATAACATAACACTGAATGACACACACACATACACACATTTAACTACTTTATCAGCAGAACACACACACTCACATACTGTGACTTTCCCCTGGTGTGTATGTGTAGGGTGTCTGAGAGTGTAGAGCGGAATCGCTGTCAGCTGCAGAGTGTGACAGATCGGATCAGGCTAGCCCAGGCCCGCGTCGACAAGATCAAAGGAAGCAAGAAGGCCACCAAGGTAACACACAGAGTTGTGACACATGTTCCCCTTCTAATCACTGTTCCCAATACATGCAGATCTCTGAGAGTACAATACTTGAGAGTACTATGAGATTTTGATTTGTGTGTGTGTGTGTATGTAGGTGTTCTCCAGTGCTAAGTATCCAGCTCCAGATCGTCTCCAGGATTACTCCTCCATCTTCAGTGGAGCCACAGACCCTGCCTCTCAGATACGCCGCCGATACCGCATACAGGCCAAACTACGACCCCTTGACGACAAGGCCCTGCAGGTAACACACACACACATACACACACACACATTTGGATCTACTGTAAAACATTTCAGTACAAAGGACCTACATATTTCAGAGGTCATGCAGATTACTGGACTTTGGAAACAGAAAGCACTTGCTCCTCTACAACGCTAAACTACCCATTACAGCTGGTATATGCATAAATCAAATGCAGTTTTATAGCAGTATAGGCCTAGCTGATTAGATAAATGTAATATGACTATACCTTTTTGGCTTTCATCCATGATATACAGTCTGCTCCACTCAGCTTAGTCCACAGGGCTTTTACTGCTGCATAGACAGACCTGGGGGATGCGGTGATGGGCTTTCACCTGGCTCGGATACACTTACCGCTAGTTAGGCTCTGACCTGACCTGCCTGAGGACAGACCTGTTCTGACCTGGGGACATGACATGAAAAGCCCTGACTAAAACTACCCACAGGAAACTACTCCCTACACCAGGGTTCCCCAACTGGCAGCCCACGGGTGAAAAAAAAGATGTATATATATATTTTTTGGGTGGGGGGACATAAAAGGGCGGCAGGTAGCTTAGTGGTGAAGAGCGTTGTGCCAGTAACCGAAAGGTCGCTGGTTCTAATCCCCGAGCCGACTAGGTGAAAAATTTGTCGATGTGCCCTTGAGCAAGGCACTTAACCGAATTGCTCCTGTAAGTCGCTCTGGATAAGAGCGTCTGCTAAATGACTAAAATTTAAAAAATGTAAATAAAAGACAGAAAAACACCAACAAATTAGCTCCAAGTCATTTTAATTTTGGAAATCTGTTCCAAAGTAGTCCCACGCAAAATAGAGAGATATACACTGAGTGTAGAAAACATTAAGAAGAGTTGCCCCCCCTTTGCCCTTCATCAGGGCATGAACTTTACAAGGTGTCAAAGGCGTTCCACTGAGATGCTGGCCCATGTTGACTCCAATGCTTCCCAAAGTTGTGTCAAATTGGCTGGATGTCCTTTGGGTGGTGGACCATTCTTGATACACACGGGAAACTGTTGAGTGTGAAAAGCCCAGCAGCGTTGCAGTTCTTGACACAAACCGGTGCACCCTCTGAATGACACACATACACAATCTATGTCTCAAGGCTTAAAAATACTTATTTAACCTGTCTCCTCCCCTTCATCTACACTGATTGAAGTGGATTTAACAAGTGACATCAATAAGGGATCCTAGCTTTCACCTGGATTCACCTGGTCAGTCTATGTCATGAAAAGAGCAGGTGTTCTTAATGTTTTGTAAGCAAGGTTTGAAATGAATATGTTTTAGTCAAATATTATTTATGTTTGGGCTTCTTGCGGTCAATTTGCAGTCTCCAAATTATTTGTAATTATGTAACGGCCCCCTGACCATCCGCTCAAGAAAAATTGTCCCACGGCTGAACCTAGTTGATGATCCTAGCCCTACACTTACGTGTGTGTGTGTGTGTGTGTGTGTGTGTGTGTGTACACCTTAGCTCAGCAGTGAAGTTGTGCATTATTGATAGTGAACACCACTGAGTTCTCCCTCGCTTCCCGGAACCGAAAACTTACAGGAACAGGAGTATATTTTGCTGTGTCTGAGAGAGGGAGAGAACGATTTGTGCACTTCCCTAGCTCAGAGATGTATTATTTATAAAACCTCAAGCACTGCAGAGAGAGAGGGAGATGCGAGTGAATGAATGAATGTGAGGGAGAGAGAAATAGACAGAGGCTGATGACAAAAAGAGAAAGAGTGGGAGTTATTCATTCTGTTGATGGTTTTGAATATGTTGCTCTCTCTCTCTTGCCTGCAAGGCTGTCTATTGAAAGCTACTAGCTCTCATTTCGTACATAAACAGAGATGCAAAGCCAATGCATGTTTATGTCTGGTGGCCATTTGTGTTTACTAAAGGAGGTTCTTACCAGACTCATCCCATCTAATATCTGTCCTCTCTTGTTCTACACCCCCTCTCTCTCTGTCCACCTCTAGGAGAAGTTGTGTTATTATCCGGTGTGTGTGAGCAGTAAGAAGCGTTCGGAGGATGAGACCGAGGAGGGGCTGGGCGGTCTGCCTCGAAACATCTCCTCTGTCAGCTCCCTGCTGCTGTTCAATACTACAGAGAACCTGTTAGTGCACAAACACACACACACACATACACACACACACACACACACACACTCCTCTAACTGGTTGTGTTTGTGTATGTGTTTAGGTATAAGAAGTATGTTTTCCTGGACCCCCTGGCGGGGGCGGTGACTAAAACACACACCACCCTGGAGACAGAGAAGGAAGAGAAACCATTTGACGCTCCGCTATCCATAACCAAGAGAGAACAGCTGGAGAGACAGGTACACACACTCACACCATACATACTGTATTCACACTCCCACACTATTCTCTAAAGAACAAGAGGCCTGTGGCATTGCTCTCTTTGGACTATAATATTTTTTCAATGGGCCTTGCTAACAAGTTAAAGTGTGACTGTAAATTATTACACTTTCTTTCTTCCTCACGCTCTCATTCCCTCTCCATCTGTCCCCCTGTAGACAGCAGAGAGTTACTTCTATGTTCCAGACCTGGGTCAGGTCCCAGAGATAGACGTCCCCTCCTACCTACCAGACCTGCCAGGCATCGCTGACGACCTGTCCTACAGCCAAGACCTGGGGCCCGGCATCGCACCCTCTGGACCCACACACACCTTCCCTGAACTACCCTCCTTCACTGGGGAGGACATGCCCGGTACACAGACTGTCTCTGTTGTGTGGATTATACAGAAGTTTCCGTGTCAAATGAGGGAAATGTTTCTATGGGTTGATGTTGATTTGTTTGTTTGCTTGTTTGTTACAGGTTCTCAATTCCAAATTGCAGTCCCACCTCCTCCCCCACCTCCTCCTCCCCCACCAGAGCCCACACATACCCCCACCCCTCCCCCTGGTCTCCCCCCTCCTCCACCGCCTCCCCCACCTCCCCCTGCAAATAGCCCTGCAGACGCCAGCTACACTCAGAGCACAGGTAACACACACACATGATACACACACTATACACAAACACACTCTCCTTCTCTTGAACTATGTGTTTACCTCCAGCTACTGTAGTGGGCGCTCCCAGCGAGGTGGTTGAATCAAAAGGCCGGGCCAGTCTACTAGAGTCCATCCGCAACGCTGGAGGCATCGGCAAGGCCAAACTACGCAACGTCAAAGAACGCAAGATGGAGAAAAAAAAACAAAAGGAGCAGGAACAAGGTAAACAAGAAGGGGAGCGAGAGGGGAGAGGTGGTGGGGGAGAGAAAATAAACAGATTGTCGTTGGATGAGTGTCTTGGTTTCTCCTCTTGAATGACAAACGAGAGATTAGTCTTGAACCTGGTGACTCTTTTAGAACATTTTATAGTCCCAACAGAGCAATGCTCGCTACAGGCCTCCAGTTCTTTAAAGGGGAAATCAGCAGTTGCTACATCCATTTTTTGACTTATAAATGAATGATATGTACCCATTGATTCTTGAAGAGTACAACTTATAAATGCCTCATGAGCTTAGTTCAACTGTCATACCCAAAATATAAGCTTGTTTTACTCCAACGTTTGTAAACAAAATAAATGTAAACAAACACTGTATAGCCTAAAACATGGTTAAAACTATCATTTTGATATCATGGATGGTCAGAGTCCTTGCATCCATAGCTCTGTCTGAATTTGAGTGATTACATTTCTCCAGCCCCATCCCCCCGCTTTTTACTGAAACAGTGGTGGGGAGAACACTTTGTTATTGTTTTAACTGCTGATTGTCGCTTTAACTTACAGAGCATATTTGGGACATAGTGTGTGTGTGTGCAGACTCCAAACCACAGGGTTACCTAACTAGTCATAGAGAACAGCTCAGGGCTGCATGACCTTTAGATGTATAAACATCACCTTCATTAAAGCACTGATTAAACTACACTGTTTTATCTGTAAGACTTTGCTGTGTGTGTGTGTGTGTGTGAGGGAGCGGGAGCGAGCGAGCGAGCATGTGTGTTAGACCTTTAAGTGAGTCCACAGTCATCAGTGCTGGTTCAGTTGTTGCTGGGCCACTAACATTTAACAGCTGGGTTCATCTGAGCAGGACATGAAAACTACTACAGTTGTTCACTAGCTGAACTATTTATGTAGTGTGTAGCTACAGTAGATATAACTGCTCTGGTCTCTCCACTGTACTAAAAAGGACATAGAAATGTCATATATAATCTGCTTCACTGCATTGTGTTCTCCCTCCTCTCTCTCAGTGGTAGCAGCAGCCAGTGGAGGAGACTTCATGTCAGATCTCTTCAATAAGTTGGCCATGCGAAGGAAAGGTGAGAACACTCCTCTCCTTCCCCATTCTTCTCTCATCTCCCCTGGGCTATTGTCCCTCAGTAGTGTAGTAGTATTTCTAGGTCTTGGTGATAGTGGTGTTTGTGTGTTTCCCAGGTATCTCTGGTAAGGGTCCTGGAGGCGGGGACTCAGGGGAGGGCCCAGCTGGCTCTGGCAGCGCATTCGCTAGGATGTCCGACGTAATCCCGCCTCTTCCTGCCCCCCATCAGCCAACCGCTGAAGACGAGGATGACTGGGAGGCCTGAGACTTGCCAATCAGAACCAACGGAACTCTGAGCACATCTAGCTCTAAGCCGAAATACTGAGGAAGGAAACTAACGCTTGTTGAGGAGAGGTGATGCTGTGCTGTCAGTGGGGTTCCTTCCAGATCAGGGATGGGCAACTGGCGGCCCCCCTTTTGTAGACCCACGGACCAATTAATGTGGGTAAGCAGACCCACGAGCCACTGCGGCCCCTCATGAGTTCCGTTTTTTTGTGGTCCCCACCCCCCATCAAAGTTGTCCATCCCTGTTCCAGATGATAGACAAATGTACTGATCTTTCCTGAGAGAATACAGGACAAACTACAGGAGAGAAGTCAGGCCTCATCTCAGCATTGTAAAGATGTTTATTATAAAGTAATAATCAAGTAACACCTAAATATAATTACATAACTAACGCCACACTAAAGCAGCAGAACATTTCTATCAGAATGTTAAACATCATTCAATAAAAATCTTTTTGCATAAAATACTGGCAGTGGAGAGTTTACTAATCTGTACTGCTGGAGAGGTATGGGTGTAAAAGAGCCTCAACCAACATGCTAGTGTGTGCATATGTGCTTTAATTTGATAAGAACATCCCTCCAATCAAAGAGAATCCAATCAGAAGTCCTGTCTCCAGAGCGAGGATACCCGAGAGGCGAGATAGCTCTCTTCTGACCAGCGCTACACACCAGCACTCCTTCACCTGCTACACCTTCCTCTCAAAGCTGCTGCTGTTGTTGCTTCTTCTTCTCCATAAAGAACTGAGAAAGAGACAAGAAGAAGTTGGGTCAGCGAGGGCCTGTGCTCTACAGACGTAGAGTGTGTGTGTGTATTACCCATTGCCGGTGTGTGCGTGTGCATTACCCGTCTCAGGCCGGCAAAGGCAGGGCCGAACTTGGTGTGTGTGTGCGTGTGTGCTCTGATCCAGTCAGGGAGTTTGGCCAGCGTTGCAGGTCGGGAGTAGCGTCGGTCACACAGAACAATACACGCATAGTCTCCACGGTGACGGATGGCTCTTCCTGTGGGGAGAGGAAATTAGGTAATCCCCAGAAGATTGTTTGATTAGGGGTACAGAATGATTGATTAGGCCAGGGGTATACATAGCTGTAGATATAGATAGTTAACTATAGATTAACTGAGGTGTATAGATATGGGTAGAGTACCTATGGATTGATTGACAGCCTTCATACAGAGGTTATCTATCAGAGCCTGGCCTGGACTCCTCCCACCAGAGTGAGGCTGAAACAGAACAGAGTTTGAGTGTGACTAAGCCATAGACTAACAATTAATGGATCCAGGATGGACTGAGCTTTCCATTCATCTCTATGGCCCAGATTCCGACCAGAGTTCAGCTTGCATAAATGGAACGTAATTCCCTTTTTATGCACTGTTCTCTCTATGTGTATTCTGACCTTGAATTTAAGCTTGAGAATAGCATGCTATTCACCCACTATTCGTTTGAGGTGGAGCTTGAATAAATGAACGTGTGTCTACAAACACCGTATTCTGACCTTGACTTAATTCTCTAATTGTTCCACCACCAATACGCACGAGGAAACCATGAATAAGGTCTAGCGAATCTACCGGTTCCAAGTGGAAAAATAGTTGATGTATGCGCTTTAGAATGGTTTGATTATATGCCCAGGCTTTTCTCAGTTTTATTTTACAATTTGTATCATGTTAAATATTAGCCACTATCGGGAGCCACCCACATACATTTATTTTTGCATCATTCCATTCCGTTTACCTTTCTTTCCTCTGTCACGTCTGTGTAGTTGTTCCTGAGGGTCGCTAGCATTAGTGGATCATATCACATTAGGCTAACATTGTGCAATCATTTGGGACATGTAGCCTATTTGAATCATTATGGAAGTCAGACCACACGTAGCAGGTTAAACCTGGAGACTGGCGCACGGTTCACGACGACTGGACCGTTGTCATACAGTTCCATGATTAGTGAGAATTAGGATAGATTTATAGGACTATTGTCAACCCTTATTGTACACTTTTTCCCCACCTTCCAATATTTAATGGATTGAACTTTAATATGACAAGTTTCAGGATGAATCAAACCCATGTATTTTTTATTTATCAATATACAGTATCTTTTGTGTAAAGGCTCTTCAAACCGTTGTTTTTAGTTTTTTTATGATTCATACATACTTTCCTAACCCTACAATGTGCCTAAATAATCTACAAATAATCTTTTTTTTTTTTATTTACCAGTTGGTGCTGAAATGGAGACAAATATGCATAGATGGCTTTCTTTAATTGATCCCTATATTGTGAACCTGTTTTCTGTGTATTTTATTGAGTCTTTCGACGAAATTATAATTAAAAAGGTGCACCATATTTAAAGGGATGGCTTAAGATAAATGTACTGAAAACCCCATTGAATGAAAACTCCAAGAGAAAATCTGTTGGCCAGCAAGTGGGAGGGTTTTCAGCAAGATAGCCACACCTGCAGAGTGCGTTACGTGACTGAATAAGGCAAGTCTGAATGCCAAATACTGAGAAGTGTGTAGGAAAGGCATAAATTCCTAAATTGGGATTGGCCCCTATGAGAAGTGGAGAATGGCAAATGAATACCAGAAAATGTGTGAGCGAGTGTTCCCTCTCACCAGGTTCTTGTCCAGGTAAGCCATCTTCTCCTTTAACTCTGGAGACTTGATGTTTGGATATGGCATCCCTACCATCACAATACACCTATACACACGCACGCACACACACACTTTATTAACATACACCGGGGGTCGGCATTTTAGTTTTGGGTCAAGAAAGACTGTAAAATCACCAGGAATTAAGCTAAAATTAGTTACATTTAGGAAATCTGTTTCCAAGTAATCCATGAATAAAAAAAGGACATACAGTGCATTCAGAAAGTATTCAGACCCCTTGACTTTTTCCACATTTTGTTAAGTTACAGCCTTATTCTAAAATTGATTAAATTGTTTTTTCCCCCTCAATCTACACACAATACCCCATAATGACAAAGCAAAACAGGTTTTTATAAATTTTTGCAAATAAAAAAATAGATATTTATTATATTTAGTTCAGACACTTTACTCAGTACTTTGTTGAAGCACCTTGGGCAGCGATTACAGCCTCAAGTCTTCTTGGGTATGACGCTATAAGCTTGGCACACTTGTATTTGGGGAGTTTCTCCCATTCTTCTCTGCAGATCCTCTCAAGCTCTGTCAGGTTGGATGGGGAGCGTCACTGCACAGCTATTTTCAGGTCTGTCCAGGGATGTTCAATCGGGTTCAAGTCTGGGCTCTGGCTGGGCCACTCAAGGACATTCAGAGACTTGTCCCGAAGCCACTCCTGCATTGTCTTAGCTGTGTGCTTAGGTTCGTTGTCCTGTTGGAAGGTGAACCTTCGCCCCATTCTGAGGTCCTGAGCGCTCTGGAGCAGGTTTTCGTTAAGGATCTCGCTGTTCTTTGCTCTGTTCCATTTTTCCCTCGATCCTGACTAGTCTCCAAGTCCCTGCCGCTGAAAAACATCCCCACAGCATGATGCTGCCACCACGCTTCATCGTAGGGATGGTGCCAGGTTTCCTACAGACGTGACGCTTGGCATTCAGGCCAAAGAGTTCAATCTTGGTTTTATCAGACCAGAGAATCTTGTTTCTCATGGTCTGAGAGTCCTTTAGGTGCCTTTTGGCAAACTCCAAGAGGAGTTACTGAGGAGTGGATTCCGTCTGGCCACTCTACCGTAAAGGCCTGATTGGTGGAGGGCTGCAGAGATGGTTGTCCTTCTGGAAGGTTCTCCCATCTCCACAGAGGAACTCTGGAGCTCTGTCAAAGTGACCATCGGGTTCTTGATCACCTCCCTGACCAAGGCCCTTCTCCCCCGATTGCTCAGTTTGGCCGGGACGGCCAGCTCTAGGAAGACTCTTGGTGGTTCCAAAGTTCTTCCATTTAAGAATGATGGAGGCCACTGTGTTCTTGGGGACATTCAATGCTGCAGAAATTGTTTGGTACCCTTCCCCAGATCTGTGCCTTGACAAAATCCTGTCTCGGAGCTCTACGGACAATTCCTTCGACCTCATTGCTTGGTTTTTGCTCTGACATGCACTGTCAACTGTGGGACCTTATATAAACAGGTGAGTGCCTTTCCAAATCATGTCCAATCAATTGAATTTATCACAGATTGACTCCAATCAAGTTGTATAAACATCTCAAGGATGATCAATGGAAACAGGATGCATCTGAGCTCAATGTCGAGTCTCATAGCAAAGGGTCTGAATACTTATGTAAATAAGGTATGTTTTTTATTTTTAATACATTTGCAAAAAATGTCAAAAAACCTGTTTTCGATTTCTCATTATGGGGTATTGTGTGTAGATTGATGAGGGGGGAAAAGTCAAGGGGTCTGAATCCTTTCCGAATGCACTGTATGTGATCATGTCAATGTAATCAAGGCATGAAATTATTGTTATTTTCAAACACAATCTCTTTTTGGGCTCAGTTGTGGTCAATTTGCAGTGTACAAATTATTATAATTATTTTCCCCTGACCATCCGCTCCGACAACAATCGGCCAGTGGCTGAATCTAGTTGCCTACCCCTGACGTACACAGTCTTTATCTAAGAAACAAACAACTGCTGTTTTCACAGATGAGAAAGTCTACAAATGAGAGATCTGTAACACACACACCTGCCCAGGTCGTCTGAGAAGTTGATACCCTCGCTCATCTTTCCCCCAACCACAGAGAACAGCAACGCTCCAGAGAGTGTACCCCCATCCACAGCACACCTCTGAGAGAGAGAGAGAGGAGTCTTTCAACAAGCATTCCAATAAGCAATATCTTTATCTGATGTTTAAATCTCAGAAAGGTGAGATGAGAGGTCTTTTGTAGTGATGGTAGTTTGTTTTGTGTCTCTCACCTGGATTGTGCATGAAAACTCATTGAGCACCTGTTCCACCTGGTTGGCTTTCTTTGGCTCCTGGAAGATCTGAGAAACACACATACTGAATATATGGACTTTCAAGACAGAAAACTTGCAGAGGCAGAAACATATATATTTGATTGCTAGATGGTATGTGTACCTTCTTCTTGCTAGAGAGGCGTGCCAGGACGCCGCTGGCCTCCCAGTGTTCCAGAATCCTTCTGGAGTAATCGTAGGAGGGGAAGAAACACACCACGCCTCCCGGCACCACGTTACACAGGTTAGACAGCACACGGCCAGTCTCCTCCATCTACACACACATGGACACATACACACACATTACACTCCCCTCCGCCCATTAACATTAACATTGGCTTCTCCGAATGGCAGAATGCGGCTTTAAAAAGGTGCGTGTGTAACCATGCGTGGTGTGTCTCTGTTCTGGAAGGTGAACTCCAGCTCCTGACCAGACGGGCCGCTGCACAGCACTATGGGTAGGATATTCTCTGGAGGAATCACATGACCTGCCAAACACACAGTCAGTTTGTCCAAACCAGGTGCATCTCAGCTAGGACCAATGAGAAATTACTTTATGCTTTACTATTACTGTAACGCTGACCTTTAACCTGCTCTCTTATTCTAACTACCCCCAGTCCTCCCAGATCAATCCCAGGGTGCAGTATCTTAGGGTACTCACCACAGGAGAATTCTATGATGCGATCCGCTCCAACACCAGCAGAGAACAACAGCTCCTGCTTAAAGTCAGACACCTAGACACACGCACAGAGTAGTTGTCTTGACTTTCATTTGCCTAGGTCATCACAGGTGATGAAGATAAGAGTGTGTGCGTGCGTTCTTACAGGCTGCATGGTTCCTCCAGCGATGATGACAGCTCTACAGTCCTTCAGCACCTGAGAAAAGTGTACCGCTGGGTTCAACAGGAGGAACTTCATACTACTCACCGCTACACTACCTGGAGAGAGAGAGAGAGAGAGAGAGATGTAATAGAGAGAGAGAGTGAGAGATGTAATAGAGAAACATTAGCATGTTTGGAGAAACTAGTTTCTGCTCAACAGAGAAGTTGGTGTATGTGTGTGTGTGTGTGTACCTTGTGTGTGTAGCACCACACGTCCGTCAGTGTTGGTGTTGGTGAGAGCCATGAAGAAGCCCTCTACCTGCATCATAGGGGATGCTGCCAGCTCCCTGTCCTCTGCTGCTCCCTGTTGGCCTGGAGGTGACTCTACAGGAGAGAGGGAAAGAGAGAGAGTATGAGTGTCTCTGTTAGGCAGCCCTTGCACCTTAAACATGGTGAGAGTCCGTTTTTCGTAGGTCAGGGAGCTTGGTTCATCACAATACCGTCAAAATCTTATAAGGTGACATCCCAAGTGTGTGTGTGTGTGTTTACCAGTGTCAGGCTGTTGGCTGCTCTGCAGTGTCTGTAGGTAGCGGTTCAGGCCTTCAGTGCGACGGTTCTCTTTGTTGGCAAACTGTGTCTGTGTGTGTGAGGTTTGTGTGTGTGACGTCACACCTGTACCTGCATACTTTTCTATGAAGCCACAAAGCTAGAGGGAGAACAAACAACATTAGAAAACACACTGTATCATAACAAACACACACACACACACACCACTTACCTTTCTGCTGATCATACTCTTCTCAAAGTATCTCTGTACCTTCATAGACAGACAAAGAGGAAGAGAAGGAGAGAGATGCAATGCAATTTGTCACCAATAACCATAAAATCCATCAATCCCTTCCCCAATTTCTGTGCCAATCGCAGTGTGTTGTGGTTGTGGTCTTGGTTACCTTGAAGAGGTTGATGTTGTCTATCTGAGCCTTGAACAGGAAGTTGTTGATAGTCAGCAGTTCGGTTGCTGGGAGACAAAGTGAGCAGAGGTCACTTCATACTGTGTGTGTGTGTGTGTGTGTGTGTGTGTGTGTGTGTGTGTGTGTGTGTGTGTGTGTATTTGTGTGCGTGTGTTCTTACCTGGCTGAGTAGTCTGGCTGTGTGGATTCTGCCCCACCTTACCTGAAGACAATATAGATATAACATGGTTTTATAAGTAATATGGTTTAAACTCCACTTAGCCTAACAGAAGGCGTTCAGAGTACTGATGGAGCTATTACCATATACCAGTGTTACTCACTAGTTTTTGTAAGGGGACCACTTTGGGTTGAGACAATCATTCAGAGGGCCGCACAGATCTTTAAGTTCTTGTACTTTTTCTTCCAATATTATCAATTATCAATTGAGAGCAAATTCAGAGCAATAGAGCACATGCAATTGATTTGATGTACAGCACATCACAAATAATATATTTGATATATACATCAAATAGGCTACATCACACGTATAAGACCCATAAGGGTTACATCAGTAGTTGGATGAGCGAAAATGGCATTCCTCCAGCAACTCGAGGAATTGCTGGTGATTTAGTGCCCTCGCAATAATAATGTTCACCACTCGCATGACTTGCTGCATCACATTCTGTAAGTCAGTCTTTGAGTTTAGCCACAAGTGCTTCCTGATGAATGATACAATGAAACATAACAAATTGGGAATATCCTCTCTTTTTCTCATCAGGCCTATGAGTTCCTTCTCCTTCCCTCGCATGTTTGGGGCGCCGTCAGTGCACACAGATGCCAGATTTGACCAGTCAATATTATTATCAGCAAAAGTGTAACAAGGGCTTTCAGAATATCCTCTCCTCGTGTTTGTCCCTGAAGGGACAGTACACATAAAAGTTCCTCTCTGAACGACTTGTTTTGAGGGAAGCGGACCCAAACACATAATTGGGCAATTTTGTCAAGCGCAATACTAAAACACTGCGCCACGGATGCCAGGAATCAGTTGCTTACCGATGTCTTCTATGCGTCTTGTTATGGTCGAGTCAGAGTTGCAGTCCCTTAATTTGCTTTAAAATAGCTTCCTTGTTTGTGAAATCAGCATACAATATTTTGGCTGAGGCCAAAAATCATTATTTGACAATCTCCGCGTCTGTGAAGACCTTCTTGTTTCTCACGAGTATCCAAGCAATCTCATATATTGCCTCTGTCGTTTTCTCTGCAACAGTGCTAGATCAGTCCATCATTTGTTGTTGTCCTTTGAGCTGTTTCCATATGTGTTATTTAATAGTTTTGATGTCTTCACTATTATTCTACAATGTACAAAATAGTAAAAATAAAGAAAAGCCCTTGAATGAGTAGGTGTTCTAAAGCTTTTGACCGGTAGTGTATATAAGGTCCTACAGTTTTGACAGTGCATGTCAGAGCAAAAACCAGGGTAGTGAGGAATTTGAGATTTTTGGTTCCAACCACCGTGTCTTTATGAGACGCGGTGTGGGTGAACGGATGATCGCCGCATGTGTATTTCCCACCGTAAAGCATGGAGGAGGTGGTGTTATGGTGTGGGGGTGCTTTGCTGGTGAGGTCGAAGGAATTGTCCGTAGAGCTCCGAGAAAGGATTGTGTTGAGGCACAGATCTGGGGAAGGGTACCAAAAAATGTCTGCAGCATTGATGGTCCCCAAGAACACAGTGGGCTCCATCATTCTTAAATGGAAGAAGTTTGAAACAACCAAGACTTGTCCTAGAGCTGGCCAAGAACCCAATGCTCACTCTGACAGAGCTCCAGAGTTCCTCTGTGGATAAGGGAGAACCTTCCAGAAGGACAACCATCTCCGCAGCACTTATGGTAGAGTGGCCGGACGGAAGCCACTCCTCAGTAAAAGGCACGACAGCCCACTTGGAGTTAGCCAAAAGGTACCTAAAGGACCCTGACCATGGGAAACAAGATTATCTGGTCTGATGAAACCAAGATGGAACTATTTGGCCGGAATGCCAAGCGTCACGTCTGAAGGAAACCTGGCACCATCCCTACGGTTAAGCGTGGTGGTGGCAGCATCATGCCGTGGGGATGTTTTTCAGCAGCAGGGACTGGGAGACTAGTTAGGATCGAGGGAAAGATGAACGGAGCAAAGCACATAGAGATCCTTGATGAAAACCTGCTTCAGAATGCTCAGGACCTCAGACTGGGGCAAAGGTTCACTTTCCAACAGGACAATGACCCTAAGAACACAGCCAAGACAACGTAGGAGTGGCTTCGGGACAAGTCTCTGAATGTCCTTGAGTGGCCCAGCCAGAGCCCGGACTTGAACCCGATCGAACATCTGTGGAGACACCTGAAAATAGCTGTGCAGCAACACTCCCCATCCAACCTGACAGAGCTTGAGAGGATCTGCAGAGAAGAATGGGAGAAACTCCCCAATTACAGGGGTGCCAAGCTTGTAGTGTCATACCCAAGAAGACTCGAGGCTGTAATCGCTGCCAAAGGTGCTTCAACAAAGTACTGAGTAAAGGGTCTGAATACTTATGTAAATGTGATATTTTCTGTGTTTTTGGGGGGGTTTGCACACATTTCTAAACACCTGGTTTTGCTTTATCATTATGGTGTATTGTGTGTAGATTGATGAGGGAAAAAAACAATTTAATCATTTTTAGAATAAGGCTGTAAGGGTTCTGAATACTTTCCGAATGCACTGTATATAGGTATCTTGTTCTGGCTCTTTTTCACGGCCTACTTGAGTGCACACACACACACACTTACCTCCCAGCACACGCACCAGCCCCTCCACCACAAAAAGGATCTGTTTAATGTACATCAGGTTCTTGGCCTTCAGTCGACTCCTGTTACAATGACAATCAGACACATCAGACACTGTGTGTGTGTGTGTGTGTGTGTGTGTGTGTGTGTGTGTGTGTGTGTGTGTGTGTGTGAGCTTACCTGTAGCGTTCAGAGTACTGTGCAAGCTGGGAGTGTGCACGGCATAGCTGGACACAGGATAAAAACGTCATTAAACAATATAGACAACAACAAATGTTATTCCTACCACAGACACATCGACAAACTACAGTTCTTGTGTGTGTGCGTGTGTGTGTGTGTGTACCTGTGCTCCAGTTAGTTCTGAGCTGTGTATACAGGAGAGAACGTCACTGAGGTTGTGGGCCTCATCTATGATCAGCACCTAAACCAATAAAATCAAACAGGTAAAACAGCTCAATACATTGTACAATAGGTAGACATAGCACAAGGGCAAAATACATATTCAAGGTATTCAACGGTGGAGTATAGAAAGCTAAAATATTAATGTTAAAAGGTGTGTGTTTTAAGCGTGGTTAACCTGTCCTTTCAGCTGCACCCCTGATGCTCTTCTCGTCCCCTCATGGAGTACTGTCTGATAGGGCAGCACCACCAGCTACACACACAAACACGTCAAAGACCAGGGTCTTACAATGCAATACCATAATAATTTGACGGAAACAGTGCGATAGTGTGTACCTGTGCGGGGGGTATAGCGAGGCGTGTAGCGTAGTAGGGACAGGATCGTGTTTCTCTGGCCAGGCTGAGCAGCTGTTCTATGTCTCGTACTGCCCCCAACACTGCATCCCTCAGTGTCTGCAGCCCCTGAGCCCCTATGTACGGACACACCGCCTTAGACACACCCCTCTTCCTCTTACCACCCTCCACTTCCTTTGGACGCTGGTCTGAGAGAGAGCGAGAGAGAATACAGGAGAGAAAGATAGGACATCTTTGAGAAAAGAGAGCAATGCGACAGGCCTACAGTTCTTTAAAAAGGATAGATTCCTCCTAATATAAATGTGTATGACTTTCCTTAACTGTAGTTGATTCACCAACAGTTTTTGGATATGACTTCCCTTACTGAGATACTGAATAACCATATTTTGTTGAGTCAGCATTGCCATAAGGACCCATTCATTCTGGGAGCATATGTTCTCACCGTGTTTGTTCTTCTGCATTTCCATACAGCGGTCGTTGATACGTTGGACGCTTCCCAGCCGACGCACCTCCTCATTTACACACATATTCTACACAGACACACACACCTCATTAATACACAGGAATGGAGAGAATGTGTAAAGATCAGTGTGTGTGTGTGTGTGTGTGTGTGTGTGTGTGTGTACCTGTCGGGACCCCAGTGTGACCAGGCTGATGTCCTGGCTGAAGGGACTCTTCTGCACCTCGTGGACAAACTGAGCCAGCTGGGAGTGTGTACGGCTGCAGTAGTAGATCTGATGAAACGCACACACACACACACAACAATGAGTGGTGTTGACCAAGGACAAAATTCTATGTAAGAGAAATAACCTAAGAATCCCAAATACACCTTAGTGACGTGCTCCTCCACCAAGTCATCTTCATCATCGTCATCACCTCCACAGAACCTGTAGAGGTGAGACAGGGGTGTCATTATGTGTGTCAAATTGAAACACTCTGTACTATTTTATTAGGCTACACTCAATTGTGGCCTAGTAATTGGGTTGTCCTTACTTGTTCTTAGTCTTCGATTCGTCATCGCTCTCATACTCAGCCACAATAAGCTCCTCCTCCTCAGGATCCTTTAGCTCCTCCCCCTGGGGGTCCTTACTGAGCTGCAGCAGCTTCACCGCCTCATCATCCTCACAGCTCTACATATACACACACGCACAACATTTAAGCTGTTACTGTATACATCTATACTCTACTGCGTATTATAATGTTATTATAATGTTATGCTCTACCTTTCTCTTCAGAGCGTATTTCAGCTGAGAGTTGTTTCTGATCATTTCCAGGTGTTCCTCCCTCTTCTTCCTCCGCAGCTCTTCATCCTGACACACACACAAAGATACAGACACACAGTGATGCTAACACTCTGCAAACACCTAAGTCACACCAAACATGCACATATACTCCACTACCTTCAGTTTAGACACAAAGTCCCGTTCTGCCTTCTTCTGCACAAAGTCAGTGATCCAGTCAGGCTCAGCAGAGGAGGATGTTGTGGTAGAGAGGGATGAGGAGATGGAGAGAGCTGTAACTCCACCCCCCTGCAGCAGTCTGTCTGCCTCCTGTCTCCTCTTCTCCTCATGGTCCCTCAGCCAGCTCAGAGCTCCACAGATCAGACTCAGAGACTTGCCCTGGAACACACACATACATATACAGTACCAGTCAAAAGTTTGGACACACCTACTCATTCAAGGGTTTTTCTTTATTTGTTCTATTTTCTACATTGTAGAATAATAGTGAAGACATCAAAACTATTAAATAACACATATGGAATCATGTAGTAAGCAAAAAAGTGTTAAACAAATCAAAATATATTTTAGATTCTTCAAAGTAGCCACCCTATGCCTTGATGACAGCTTTGCACACCCATGGCATTCTCTCAACCAGCATCATGAGGAATGCTTTTCCAACAGTCTTGAAGGAGTTCCCACATATGCTGAGCACTTGTTGGCTGCTTTTCCTTCACACTGCGGTCCAACTCATCCCAAACCATCTCAATTGGGTTGAGGTCAGGTGATTGTGGAGGCCAGGTCATCTGATGCAGCACTCCATCACTCTCCTTCTTGGTCAAATAGCCCTTACACAGCCTGGAGGTGTGTTTTGGGTCATTGTCCTGTTGAAAAACAAAATGATAGTCCCACTAAGCGCAAACCAGATGGGATGGCGTATTGCTGCAGAATGCTGTGGTAGCCATGCTGGTTAAGTGTGCTTTGAATTCTAAATAAATCACAGACAGTGTCACCAGCAAAGCACCCCCACACAGTCACACCTCCTCCTCCATGCTTGGAACCAAAAATCTCAAATGTGGACTCATCAGACCAAAGGACAGATTTCCACTGGTCTAATGTCCATTGCTCGTGTTTCTTGGCCCAAGCAAGTCCCTTCTTCTTATTGGTGTCCTTTAGTAGTGGTTTCTTTGCAGTATTTCGACCATGAAGGTCTGATTCACAAGTTATTGATATTTTCCATATTGACTGACCTTCATGTCTTAAAGTAATGATGGACTGTCGTTTCTCTTAGCTTATTTGAGCTGTTCTTGCCATAATATGAACTTGGTCTTTTACCAAATAGGACTATCTTCTGTATACCACCCCTACCTTGTCACAACACAACTGATTGGCTCAAATACATTAAGAAGGAAATAAATTCCACAAATTAACTTTTAACAAGGCACACCTATTAATTGAAATGCATTCCAGGTGACTACCTCATGAAGCTGGTTGAGAGAATGCCAAGAGTGTGCAAAGCTGTCATCAAGGCAAAGGGTGGCTACTTTGAAGAATCTCAAATATAAAATATATTTTGATTTGTTTAACTATTTTTTGGTTACTACATATGTGTTATATGTGTTATTTCATAGTTTTGATGTCTTCACTATTATTCTACAATGTAGAACATAGTAAAAATAAAGAAAAACCCTGGAATGAGTAGGCGTGTCCAAACTTTTGACCAGTACTGTATATATTAATACACAGACAGAGACAGCTAGACACACACAATCACATGCACATTAATACACAGATATGAACACACACACCGTTCCAGTAGGGCTCTCGAAGATGCCGACTTTGCCGTGCTCCAGTGCCCCGTACAGGGCCTGCATGAACTGCTCCTGGATGGGGTATGGCTGGTAGGGGAAGGGGAAGTGGGGGGCACCAGCCTCTTCCATCACTGCTAATAATGCTCCTGCTGCCAGGGAGTTAGAACACTGACATAAACTCAGTTGTAATTACCGGTACTATAGAAACTCTTTAGAAAGTGAAATGCACATCTAGAGCTAGCTAGCTACTTTTTTTTTCCCGTAACAGTACTATACTGTTGACTTGTAAACTGAGAATTCTCATATCGTGGAGTTGAGAATTCTCAGTTAAACTGTAACGTTACTGGACTTTCTCAATTCTCAGTGCCATACATGGTAACTGATGTGACACTACATTGGGAGGATCCTGTTACCTATGGGTTTTAGATCAATGGTTTTTAGATCATTGTCTAACTTGTCTAACACCAGAGATTTTACATTGTAACGTTATGTCTGGGACTGCCAGCCTTGGCAAATGATTTAGCTACATTGCATGGATGAGCATGCATTAGCTAGCTACTACTAGACTGGTCAGTTGTCGATTATGTTAGTTCGAAACGATCGTGACACTTAACCGTTGAATAGTTAAAACAAGAAATCCAAATACTCACCGGTATGGTTTGATTTTAGTTAATTGACCACCTGGAGACTGGCTGGGGCTAGCAAATATGTGTTGACAGAATTCCTGCCTCTTCAACAAGCGCGCCAAGTATTTCAGAAACTGACCAATGACACGCCGGTGAAATGAAACGTCAAGATGGGCGTGCCCGGGCGGAGTGTCTGGGCTTTTATTTTTAAGAATTTGAGCGATGGTCGTATATAAAAAAATAATTTGACCATTTGAGCGATGGTCGTATATATATAAAAAAGAAGCTCTTTCTCCCCCCCAAAAACGTTATTGTTATTTTAAAAAATATATCCCTCAATGTGTTTACCCCACCAGACATTTTTTGGTGAGATAATGTACAGTATTTGGTTAGATGGCGATGAGTCACTTCACTACCGTCCCTTCCAAAGCCCGCTCCACCCCCTTTTTAGCGTATCGAAAGTTCTCGGCCTTTCTTCCAGACTCCAGCAGCCTAGACAACTGTCAGATGCTAGACAGAGCAACGAGCAAGCAACACAGCAAAGTGGACCCCTGGATTTATTAGCGAGCTAAGCAACTCAACCGCACACCTTCAGTTTGGAGACTGGTGCACAACGATTGACATCCGGCATAATTTGGCACTAAAAGTGCAAACCCAAAATATAACTAACGAGAAGCTGATTCTTATAGCCATCTAAGGTTATCTTTGATTTGTGGCGCAGCTAGCCTGCACAACCCAGTTGGTATCTAGATCTAATCTAGGCGGTCGAAACTTGAAGTTGTGTGGTTTGCTCGTTAACGTCAGCTAGCTGAGAAGGAGAGGTTTTCAGAAAGTGCTCCAGGGCTATGACTGCGGAAGAGGTGACCAACGAAGGACCGAACATCCCATTCACGATGGAGGGAGAGGATATCACGCAGAAGAAAGATGGAGGGGTTTTAAAGGTAACTAAACTAGCTAGCGGTCGACACTAGTTACCACTGCCACAAAGTCTTAAACCCCGCCTATTTCTAACATGTATCTTCTTAAAAGGTGGTTTTAAACCTAACTGTAACTCTAACCTTAACCACATTGCTAACCTTACACCTAACCCTAACCTTAAATTAGAACCAAAAAGCACATTGTTGTCATTAATTTGTACGATATAGCCAATGTTGACTTTGCAGCTGTGTTAACTAGTGGAAACCCCTAGCGAGCCAACAAGCTAACGTTAGCTTGCTCGCTATCTAGCCAATAGCAATTCATTGAATGGCATAACCAGCTAGCTAACCTAGCTAGCTTGACTGAAAAACATTCTAAGATATTCTGGTCAATTGGCTACAGTAGGGTAATTTAGATTAGTGAGATGATTTTGCAGCGCAGTCCATGATCTATTTGCAACATTTGGGGTTTGCTACTGTAGTTATATCTAGCTAGCTATTGGCTTGCACCTCACATCGTGACATCATCACCTCGAACAAGTTAGCTAGCTTCCCCACCAGCCCAGCATCCCACAATAGTATCCAGGTGCAGACCCGCAGCAGCCTGTGACTAAAACTACCCTGTCACTAAAACCATAATATCGCGATCTACTGGCTGTGGTTAACCCAGGGGAGAATGACTGCCCCCTCTCGTTGAAGCCAGGAAGTTCAAGGCCGACCGCGGTACTACAGGCATTGTTATCAGAAAACATTGAAATTCGCAATCTTAGTGTAAATACATTTCGAAGACAATCATGGTACCAATTTTTGTTCTGTATGTCCTTGAACCGATTATTATTTTTTAAATCGCACGGATTATCATTTAGTAGCTAATGGCAGCCAGCAGTATAAGGGGGCAGCACTGAGCTAGCCTGCAACGTTACTTCCTGGAATGGCTCGAACTGCGCTTTTTATGTCTTCATAGACAGGTTGGTTGTTTAAATGCATCGTTATAGTTGTTGGTTAGCTAGCTAGCGAATTTTAGTTATATTAGCATAGAAGTGACATCAGTCAAACACCCCAAAACAAGATATGGTATCAATAACAAGATAAAACGAGGCTACAGTAAACATATCCTCCCCTCACGAATGATGCAGCTCCCCCTTGGGTCAATCAGTGTAATTTTGTAAATGAGGGATCTCTATAGCGAGACACATTATTCACCCAAGTTTTGTCAAAATCGGGCCAGTGGTGTCTGAGATATCGAGTGTGATTAACATAAATACATTTCCTCTCCTTCCCTATATCCCTTTCCTTATCTCCAAACCTTTCCTAGCTCCCTTTTCCTAGCTTCCTTTCCTCATTTTCTTTCCTAGATTCCTTTACTCCTTTCCTCGCTAGTTTATTTTCCTTCTTTCCTAGCTTCCTTTCCTTTCCTAGCTTCCTTTCCTTCCCTACCTCCCTTTTCTCCCTCCATCCCTATCTCCCTTTCTTTGTATCCTTTCCTTTTCCTAGCTCCCTTTCCTAGCTCCCTTTCCTAGATTCCTTTCCTCCTTTCCTTTACTCTTTTCCTAGCTCCCTTTATTTTCCTCCTTTCCAAGCTTCCTTTCCTCCTTTCCTGGGATTAACCACAGCCAGTAGAGAGGAAAATTAAGGGAGATGGGGCGGTAGGAAAATAAGATAAGGAGGTAGGAAAGGAAGCTAGGAAAGGAGGAAAAGGGAGCTAGGAAAGAAAAGGAGTTCACATGTACAGTGCATTCGGAAAGTATTCAGACCCCTTGACTCTTTCCACATTTTGTTACGTTGCAGCCTTATTCTAAAATGGATAAAATTATATATTTTTCTCATCAATCTACACACAATACCCCATAATGACAAAGTGAAAACAGGTTTTTAGAAATGTTTGCAAATGTATAAAAAAAAAAAAAAGATACCTTATTTACATAAGTATTCAGACCCTTTGCTATGAGATTCGAAATTGAGCTCAGGTGCATCCTGTTTCCATTGATCGTCCTTGAGATGTTTCTACAACTCGATTGAAGTCCACCTGTGGTAAATTCAATTGATTGGACATGATTTGGAAAAGCACACACCTGTCTATATAAGGTCCCACAGTTGAAAGTGCATGTCAGAACAAAAACCAAGCCATGAGGCCGAAGGAATTGTCCGTAGAGCTCAGAGACAGGATTGTGTCGAGGCACAGAACTGGGGAAGGGTACCAAAAAATGTCTGCAGCATTGAAGGTCCCCAAGAACACCGTGGCCTCCATTATTCTTAAATGGAAGAAGTTTAGAACCACCAAGACTCTTCCTAGAGCTGGCTGCCTGGCCAAACTGAGCAAACAGGGGAGTAGTGCCTTGGTCAGGGAGGTGATCAAGAACCCGATGGTCACTCTGACAGAGCTCCAGAGTTACTCTGTGGAGATGGGAGAACCTTCCAGAAGTACAACTATCTCTGCAGCACTCCACCAGACGGTAGAGTGGCCAGACGGAGCCACTCCTCAGTAAAAGGCACATGACAGCCTGCATGGAGTTTGCCAAAAAGCACCTAAAGGACTCTCAGACCATGAGAAACAAGATTCTCTGGTCTGATGAAACTAAGATTGAGCTCTTTGGCCTGAATGCCAAGCGTAATGTCTGGAGGAAACCTGGCACAATCTCTACGGTGAAGCATGGTGGTGGCAGCATCATGCTGTGAGGATGTTTTTCAGCGGCAGGGACTGGGAAATTAATCAGGATCGAGGGAAAGATGAACGCAGCGAAGTACAGAGAGATCCTTGATGAAAACCTGCTCCACAGCGCTCAGGACCTCCGACTGGAGCAAAGTTTCACCTTCCAACAGGACATCGACCCTAAGCACACAGCCAAGACAACGCAGGAGTGGCTTCGGGACAAGTCTCTGAATGTCTTTGAGTGGCCCAGCCAGAGCCCGGACTTGAACCCGATCGAACATCTCTGGAGAGACCTGAAAATGGCTGTGCAGCGACGCTCCCCATCCAACCTGACAGAGCTTGAGAGGATCTGCAGAGAAGAATGGGAGAAACTCCCCAAATACAAGTGTGCCAAGCTTGTAGCGTCATATCCAAGAAGACTCAAGGCCGTAATCACTGCCAAAGGTGCTTCAACAAAGTTCTGAGTAAAGGGTCTGAATACTTATGTAAATGTGATATTTTTATTTTTGTTACATTTGCAAAAATTTCTAAAAACAGTTTTTGCTTTGTCATTATGGGGTATTGTGTGTAGATTGATGAGCGGGGAAAACGATTTAGTCCATTTTAGAATAAGGCTGTAACGTAACAAAATGTGGAAAAAGTCTAAACTTTCAGAATGTACTGTATGTGGTAGGGATTATGGTGCTTTCACGACAACTGAGAACTCAGAAAAAACGAGTTCAAGGGAAGGAGGAGAGGAGAAAGAAAAGACAAGGGAGGTAGGAAAGAAAGTGAGGAAAGGGAGATGGGGAAGGAGGAGAGGAAATGGAGGTAGGAAAGGAAGTTAGTAAAGGAGAAAAGGAAGCTAGGAAAGTTGTAAAGGAAAGGGAGCAAGAAGAGGAGAAAAGGAATCTAGGAAAGAAAGAGGTTCACATATATGTGGTAGGGATAAACCATGGCCAGTAGAGAGGAAAGGAAAGGAAGAAGAAAAGGAATCTATGAAAGGAGGCAGGGCATAAAATTACAATTTTGGTCCACCAGCCACTGTAGCAGGTAGATAAAAAGATCTACCAGCCACTCAGATCTTTTACCAGCCAAAATGTATATTTTTTCTGCAAAAATTACACCAACAAAACACACAAAAAACGGATGAGCATGCTTTGTAATGTTTCTAAAACAATACATGTGTTACTACACTGCTCAAAAAAATAAAGGGAACAATAAAATAACACATCCTAGATCTGAATGAATGAAATGATCTTATTAAATACTTTTTTCTTTACATAGTTGAATGTGCTGACAACAAAATCACACAAAAATTATCAATGGAAATCAAATTTATCAACCCATGGAGGTCTGGATTTGGAGTCACCCTCAAAATTAAAGTGGAAAACCACACTACAGGCTGATCCAACTTTGATGTAATGTCCTTAAAACAAGTCAAAATGAGGCTCAGTAGTGTGTGTGGCCTCCACGTGCCTGTATGACCTCCCTACAACGCCTGGGCATGCTCCTGATGAGGTGGCGGATGGTCTCCTGAGGGATCTCCTCCCAGACCTGGACTAAAGCATCCGCCAACTCCTGGACAGTCTGTGGTGCAACGTGGCGTTGGTGGAAGGCGCGAGACATGATGTCCCAGATGTGCTCAATTGGATTCAGATCTGGGGAACGGGCGGGCCAGTCCATAGCATCAATGCCTTCCTCTTGCAGGAACTGCTGACACACTCCAGCCGGTCTTGCATTGTCTTGCATTAGGAGGAACCCAGGGCCAACCGCACCAGCATATGGTCTCACAAGGGGTCTGAGGATCTCATCTCGGTACCTAATGGCAGTCAGGCTACCTCTGGCGAGCACATGGAGGGCTGTGCGGCCCCCCAAAGAAATGCCACCCCACACCATGACTGACCCACCGCCAAACCGGTCATGCTGGAGGATGTTGCAGGCAGCAGAACGTTCTCCACGGCGTCTCCAGACTCTGTCACGTCTGTCACATGTGCTCAGTGTGAACCTGCTTTCATCTGTGAAGAGCACAGGGCTCCAGTGGCGAATTTGCCAATCTTGGTGTTCTCTGGCAAATGCCAAACGTCCTGCACGGTGTTGGGCTGTAAGCACAACCCCCACCTGTGGATGTCGGGCCCTCATACCACCCTCATGGAGTCTGTTTCTGACCGTTTGAGTAGACACATTGTTACGTTAATTATTTAACAAAACTATTTCAGTGTCTCGGTGCATCTCCCAAAAGGTTGTAAGTCTTTTGGGATTTAAGTAACGGACAGAGTCTCGATCTGCATAGTCAGAGATTTATTCATTGAGAATTCTGCCATCACAATTTCAGAGTCCATCTTTTATAGTCATACGTCATACAAAAAAATCCCTCCCCTCTGTAGGGGGGCTGTAGTTTTCCACTCTAAAACTGCTCTCCTGACCATCAGTTCACACACACACATATACACACATGCATACACACATAAATACACACACACTTTCTTATCATAGCCTACTACCTGCATTCCTCAGTTATTGCCGTTCTCACAATATTCTGCACCATGTTTTCATAACAGTTTCTCTACTCCCTAAATTCCTCAGTTATCAGTTGCCTTTGTTGTCTGGCCTAACTCTTACTCACATTGCTAAATAGTGGCTCAATGCCATAGCCTTTACTGGTCCTACACTCACACATTTCTAACACATTATACACAGTTTCAGGGTGTAATAATTAGTCATTAATAATTAATCTATCACACACGCACATTTGTGGCCTGCTGGAGGTCATTTTGCAGGGCTCTGGCAGTGCTCCTCCTGCTCCTCCTTGCACAAAGGCGGCGGTAGCGGTCCTGCTGCTGGGTTGTTGCCCTCCTACGGCCTCCTCCACGTCTCCTGATGTACTGGCCTGTCTCCTGGTAGCGCCTCCATGCTCTGGACACTACGCTGACAGACACAGCAAACCTTCTTGCCACAGCTCGCATTGATGTGCCATCCTGGATGAGCTGCACTACCTGAGCCACTTGTGTGGGTTGTAGACTCTGTCTCATGCTACCACTAGAGTGAAAGCACCGCCAGCAAGTGGTCTGTGGTCACCACCTGCAAAACCAGTCCTTTATTGGGGGTGTCTTGCTAATTGCCTATAATTTCCACCTGTTGTCTATTCCATTTGCACAACAGCATGTGAAATGTATTGTCAATCAGTGTTGCTTCCTAAGTGGAAAGTTTGATTTCACAGAAGTGTGATTGACTTGGAGTTACATTGTGTTGTTTAAGTGTTCCCTTTATTTTTTTGAGCAGTGTATTAAGAAATTGTGTGATTGTTTAATTTCATTTTTTGTGACCTGATTCTTGTAACCAAAATATCACAGATGAGACAAACATTTTCACCTGCCCCTTTATGGTTGGGGGTTACCATGGTAACGTGGCATGTTTGTGCCTGTGAGATTGAGTCTGACTAGTAGAAGTGTTGTCTTCTCTTCCCAAGCAGTTGAAACTCAAACATAGAAATATAACCTAGCTTGTGAACGAAAACAATGTAAATGGCCAAGAAACACAATGACAAAGTCTCACTTCAGTAGACTTTCGTTTCAAGTAAATTAGACTAACTTTTATGCCTACAAATTAATATTTCACTCAGCTCTTCACGTGCGCACAGCCCCCAGCCAGGCAGTGTTGCAGTGCGAGGTGGAATAGGCTATAAAGTATTTGTAGTTCTTTGACTTTGTGCGATTTAATTTAGCAGCTATGAAACAAAATGGCAGCAACACTTAAACAGCTACTGCAGCAATTATTTTACTATAAATGTGATCATACTTGACTTTTTATTCACAAATGCGATTAAAATGCTTGCCCTGTGGAGCCCTGACCACCCATGAGGAAAGGAATCTAGGAAAGAAAAGTTCACATGTATGTGGTAGGGATAAACCACGGCCATTAGATGGTGATAGTATTGGTTTTAGTGACAGGCTGCTGTGGGGCTGCAGCTGGATGCATCTTCTGCAGCTAACTATCACATGTCTAGTCATCCCTATTCATTGTGAAGATTTAGCAGTGATCTAGCAGTGTCTTAGTTTTGGCTGGAAGGTTCTGGCCTGGGTATAAGCATTTCGTGGTTTCTTGTTTGTCAGCAAACGTATCTCGTTACCTGGACGTTTTCTAGAATGCCAAGAACATATGCTATTTACTTAGCTAGCAGTAGTAAGCTAGCAAGCCTGCCATATTCGGGATACACACAGCTGCTTGGAGGGGTGTGTGTGGAGATTCTCCTTCTGGTTTTGGTGACCTGACCCTGCCCTGCTGAATATCCTATTTCTGCAGACAGTGTGGCTGGTCACTGCTGATACTGAGAAGGGTGTGTGTGTGAGAGACTGTCAGTCAGTCTGTCCCATGGTGTATTTCCTACAGGCAGACTTGCAACACATGGTGTCTCATCAGACAGTTCCCACATTTCCACATCATCACACAAATACATCACCTCTTGAACAGTTTTAGAGCCCACAGCCCAAGACCTAAACACAACAGCAGCCCAAAGTACTAGAATGCATAGAGTAAACATGCACCTGTTAAGAAACTGACTGTTAGAACTGTTAAGGCTCCTGTATGGTTGAAAGAGATGGGGCAAAAGGAGTGGCTAATAAGTCTGCCTGCACATCTGACTGGCTGACTTACTGCAAATTGAGACATTATGTGACTAAACTCAACAAAAAGAAGAAGAAACTGTATTATGAAGCCAAGATCAATGATATAAAGAATGATGGGGAAAAAAAACAACTTTGGAGGACTTTTTAAATGAAATTATGGGCAGAAAGACAAATTCAACTCAATCTTTCATCGAATCAGATGGCTTATTCATCACAACCATTTGATGTTGCCAATTATTTTAATGATTACTTCATTGGCAAAGTGGGCAAACTTAGGCAGAAAATGCCAACAACGAACAGTGAGCCATCATATTCATGCTTAAAAAAAAAAAAATGAAAGAAAAGCATTGCAAGTTTGAATTTTGTAAAGTTAGTGTGGAAGAAAATGATCAATGACAAACCTCCTGGCATTGACAACTTAGATGGAAATCTACTGAGGATGGTAGCTGACTATAGCCACTCATATCTGTCATATATTTAATCTGAGCCTAGAGGAAAGTATTTGTCCTCAGGCCTGGAGGGAAGCCAAAGTAATTCCGCTACCCAAGAGTGGTAAAGCGGCCTTTACTAGTTCTAACAGCAGACCTATAAACTTGCTGCCAGCTCTTAGCAAACTGTTGGAAATAATTGGGTTTAACCAAATACAATGCTATTTCTCTGTAAACAAATTAACAACAGACTTTCAGCGTGCTTATAGAGTAGGGCACTCAACATGTACTGCACTGGCACAAATGACTGATAATTGGTTGAAAGAAATTGATAATAAGATTGTGGGAGCTGTACTGTTAGATTTCAGTGCAGCCTTTGATATTGACCATAACCTGTTGTTGAAAACGTATGTGTTATGGCTTTTCAACCTCTGCCATATCGTGGATTCAGAGCTATATATCTAATAGAACTGAGGGTTTTCTTTAATGGAAGCTTCACTAATGTCAAACATGTAAAGTGTGGTGTACCGCAGGGCAGCTCTCTAGGCCCTCTACTCTTTTCTATTTTTACCAATGCCACTGGCATTAAACAAAGTGTGTGTGTCCATGTATGCTGATGATTCAACCATATATGCATCAGCAACCACAGCTAAAGTCACTGAAACCCTTAACAAAGAGTTTAGTCTTTTGGAATGGGTGGCCAGTAATAAACTGGTCCTGAACATCTCTAAAACTAAGAGCATTGTATTTGGTACAAATCATTCCCTAAGCTCTAGACCTCAGCTGAATCTGGTAATGAATGGTGTGGCTGTTGAGACAAAATTACTTGGCGTTACCTTAAATTGTAAACTGGCATGGTCAAAACATATAGATTCAATGGTTGTAAAGATGGGGAGAGGTCTGTCTGTAATAAAGAGATGCTCTGCATTTTTGACACCACATTCCAAAAAGCAAGTCCTGCAGGCTCTACCTTTGTCTTATCTTGATTATTGTCCAATCGTGTGGTCTAGTGCTGCAAGGAAAGACCTAGTTAAGCTGCAGCTGGCCCAGAACAGAGTGGCACATCTTGCTCTTCATTGTAATCAGAGGACTGATATAAATACTATGCATGCCAGTCGCTCTTGGCTAAGAGCTGAGGAGTGACTGACTGCATCACTTCTTCTTTTTATAAGAAACATTCCAAATTGTTTACGTCGTCAACTTACACACAACTTTGACACACACACACTTACCCCACCAGATATGCCACCAGAGGTCTTTTCACAAGTCCCCAAATCCAGAACAAATTCAAGAAAGCGTACAGTATTATATAGCGCCATTATTCCATATTGCTCAAATAAACAGCAAACCTGGTTTCAAAAAACAGATAAAGCAACACCTAACGGCACAACGCCTCCCCCCTATTTGACCTAGATAGTTTGTGTGTATGTATTGGTATTGATATGTAGGCTACGTGTAATTTTTTATTGATGTTGTTCTGTCCTTGAGCTGTTCTTGTCTATTAATGTTCTGTATTATGTCATGTTTTGTGTGGACCCCAGGAAGAGTAGCTGCTGCTGTTGCAACAGCTAATGGGGATCCTAATAAAATACCGAACACTACCACAGACATACTGTGCCATACCCTGCTACAGCACAACTAACCTTCAGTGTCTCTCTTTCCCTCTCTCCCTCCCCTACATCTCTAGTTGGTGAAGCAGGAGGGCACAGGGACAGAGCTGCCTATGACGGGGGACAAGGTGTTTGTTCACTATGTTGGCACGCTGCTGGATGGAACCCCATTTGACTCCAGTCGCGAACGAGGAGAGAAGTTCTCCTTTGAGCTGGGCAAAGGTGTGTGTGTGTGTATCAAATGTGTGTCTGTGTGTAAGTATAAGCCAGGTGATCAAGGCATTTGACCTGGGTGTAGCTACTATAAGTGTTTGTGTGTGTGTAGGTCAGGTCATCAAGGCGTGGGACCTGGGAGTGGCTACTATGAAAGTAGGAGAGATCAGCCAGCTGATCTGTAAACCAGAGTACGCTTACGGCACCGCCGGCAGCCCCCCGAAGATACCCCCCAATGCTACTCTTGTCTTCCAGGTAACCTTCTGTCTGTCTGTGTGAACATTGACGTTTGACTTTGTGAGTGCTTAAATTTATGTTTAGTGTGTGTGTGTGTGTTAGGTGGAGCTGTTTGAGTTTCGAGGGGAGGACATCACTGAGGGAGAGGATGGAGGAATCATCCGTCGCATCATCACTAAGGGAGAGGGATACTCCAAACCTAACGAAGGAGCTGCCGTAGAAGGTACACACACAAACATATCGTCATCAATAAGGAACAGGGATATTCCAAACCAAACGAAGACCTACTGTACAGGATACAAGCTCTCACACCTTTCTCTGTCTCTTTCCCCTGCAGTGTGTGTGGAGGGCAGCTGTGAGGGCAAGGTCTTTGACCAGAGGGAGCTGAAGTTTGAGTTGGGAGATGGAAAGAGCCTGGGTCTGCCAAATGGAGTGGAGAAAGCCCTGACTGCCATGGAAAAGGGAGAGGAGTCACTCTTTATCATCAAACCCAAGTAATACACACACACCCACAATTACAAACCTAGTCTACATACTATGTTGTTATTTTGAGAAATGTGTAGTGGTGTGTTCTCTGGTTATATTGGCCGAGTTGTGTGACTGTGTATGTATGGATATCTAATTGTAGTGTGTGTAGATATGGATTTCTAAGTGTGTGTGTGTGTGTGTAGGTATGGCTATGGAAACACAGGAAGCAGCAAGTACAGTATTCCTGGTGGAGCCACTCTGCAGTACAAACTCAAACTGACCGCCTTCGAGAAGGTATGACCCCTCACCCTTTAGCCATATCAACCAGAGGGTCCTGTCCAGAAACATGCCTTAGGCATTTTATTCATGACATTTCCAAACCATTTGCCTACTAAGTGTGCCCCAGATAAGTCTGGTGTTCTGAGAGGTGATTTGCTGACTGACTGAAGCATTTCCTGTTCCCCAGGCCAAGGAATCCTGGGAGATGAACTCAGCAGAGAAACTGGAGCAGAGTATCATCATCAAGGAGAAGGGAACACAGTACTTCAAGGTCTAGATTTAGATTTTAGTCATTTAGCAGACCCTCTTATCCAGAGCGACTTACAGGAGCAATTAGGATTAAGTACCTTGCTCAAGGGCACATCGACAGGTTCTTAACCGCTAGGCTACCTGTGGGTGGGTGGGTGGGTGGGTGGGTGGGTTGGAGGGAGGAGAGAAGTAGCTTCAAGCAGCAGTGCAGTATAACCAGCCAGGTCGCCCGTGATACAAGTCAGTATTAGACGTCCAGCCATGTCTGAGGATGTCGGGAAATGATGTGGAAACTGGCCACTAGGAGCAACAGTAAGCGCTGTTACCTTCAAATAGGTTTCGATTTTGCTAGGGCAGTGGGGTTGGCGGATGGGCATCTGCTTCTGGTGCAAAAGGTTGCATGTTTGAATCCAGCGATAGAAAGTTATTTTTGAGATTTTTGTTTTAAGCTTATCCCAAACCTTAACCCTTACCTTAACCATTTGGAGTTAATGCCTAACCTTAACATTTCAGAGATAATGCCTAAACTTAACCATAAACGTAACCTTAAACACTTTGAAATTTGACATTTGAGAAACCTGGATGAACATCTAATTCTGACGTGAGACTGTGCGAGCTTGTTTAGTATAACAGGATTGTGTGTGTGTGTGTGTAGGAGGGGAAGCATCGCCAAGCGGCTGTCCAGTATAACAGGATTGTGTGTGTGTGTGTGTAGGAGGGGAAGCATCGCCAAGCGGCTGTCCAGTATAACAGGATTGTGTGTGTGTGTGTGTGTGTAGGAGGGGAAGCATCGCCAAGCGGCTGTCCAGTATAACAGGATTGTGTGTGTGTGTGTGTGTAGGAGGGGAAGCATCGCCAAGCGGCTGTCCAGTATAAGAGGATTGTGTGTGTGTGTGTGTGTAGGAGGGGAAGCATCGCCAAGCGGCTGTCCAGTATAACAGGATTGTGTGTGTGTGTGTGTGTGTAGGAGGGGAAGCATCGCCAAGCGGCTGTCCAGTATAACAGGATTGTGTGTGTGTGTGTGTAGGAGGGGAAGCATCGCCAAGCGGCTGTCCAGTATAAGAGGATTGTGTCATGGCTGGAGAATGAATCAAGTTTGCCCGAGGGGGAGGAGCAGAAAGCTAGAGCCCTGCGATTGGCTGCTCACCTCAACCTGGCCATGTGCTTCATCAAGCTACAGGAACCAAGCTCTGCCTTCGACAACTGTGACAAGGTACACATGCACACTCACTCAGGAGACACACACCTGACCTGACTGTATCTGAACCTATCTGACATCCCAAATATTCCACATCACACCTATTCCCCGACCTACTTTTGGTTTCTGCTCTCTCTCTCACGTGTATGCGAAGGCCCTGGAGCTGGACGAGGCCAATGAAAAGGCTCTATTCCGGAGGGGGGAGGCGCTGTTTGCCATGAAGGAGTTTGATAGGGCGAGAGCAGACTTCCAACGCGTCACACAACTTTATCCTAGCAACAAGGCCGCCAAGAGCCAGGTACTGTACTAGAATGGTCTTTGTGTACCCCCGTCTAAACTTCCCTCTCATCTGGATGTCCATCTCTCTGATCCGGGGCTCTCTGTCTTCCCTCCCAGGTGGCTCTGTGCCAGAAGCAGATTAAGGAGCAGCATGAGAAGGACAAGAGGCTCTACGCCAACATGTTCCAGAAGTTTGCAGAGAGAGACGCCAAGGTGAGTCAAACAGCCCTTAGTCCCTACACATTTCCTGTAGCCTCAAGGTGAGTTGAGATGGAATACTGAGGAGACATCAGAACAGGGCTGAAGTTTTCTAAATTAACCACTAGAGGGCAGACTAACCCACACTTAGCATCATATCTTTTAATTTTAATTTTACAATGACGGCCTACCCCGGCCAAACCTGGACAACGCTGGGCCAATTGTGCGCCGCCCTATAGGACTCATAATCACGACCGGATTGTGATACAGCCTGGAATCTAACCAGGGTCTGTAGTCACGCCTCTAGCACTGAGATGCAGTGCCTTAGACCACTGCGCCACTCGGGAGCCCATATAAGAAAGTGTTCCATAGGGATGCTGGCCATGTTGACTCCAATGCTTCCCACAGTTGTCAAGTTGGCTGGATGTCCTTTGGGTGGTGGACCATTCTTGATACACACAGGAAACTGTTGAGTGTGAAAAACCCAGCAGCATTGCAGTTCTTGACATACTCACACCGGTGCGCCTGGCACCTACTACCATACCCCGTTCAAAGGCACTTAAATATTTTGTCTTGCCCATTCACACTCTGAATGGCACACATACACAATCCATGTCTCATTGTCTCGAGGCTTAATCCTTCTTTAACCTGTCTCCTCCCCTTCATCTACACTGAAGTGGATTTAACAAGTGACATCAATAAGGGATCATAGCTTTCACCTGGTCAACCTATGTCATGGAAAGAGCATGTTCTTAATGTTTTGTATACTCAGTGTAAATGTACTGTTTTTTAATGTCTCTCTCTTTCTCTCTGCTGTGATGAACAGAAGGAGGCTGACAAGGGGACGGAGAACGTAGGAGGGATGGAAGTGGAGGAGAGTGGAGGACAGGAGTAATGGCTGCTGGAGAAAGATGTGGCAGTCTGTCTGTCATGAATACTTTTAAAACTTCATACATTTATGTTTATAAAGAGAGAATGTGTTTGTGTTTGTGAGAAGTGTGTGTGTGTCCATGGCTCAACTGTATCTCGTGTGTGTGTGTGTGTGTGTGTGTGTGTGTGTGTGTGTGTGTGTCTGCGTTCTATTGTCATGGCAGCTAGCTGGCTGGGTGGGCCTTCTGTAGCTGACTGCACTCGGGAGGTGTGGCTAAAAGGAGTGTCCCCCATCCCTCTGGTTAGCATGTAGCAGGCTGCCCCTCCCTCCACCACTCCGCCTCCCTCCACCACTCCCCCGCTCATAGAGCTCTTTGCTTAATGGAGTTGGAAGCCCAGTACTGGGTGTGTGCGTATTTGTGTGTGTGTAAACCCCCCTTCTTTCACCAAGCAAGGGCTAATCCCCAAACCCCCTTCTCTTCTCACCCCCTCCCCCTTCCAAGGCCAACTGATCAACTCCTGGGGACTGCTCCCTGTGTATGTGTGACTGCGTGTCTGCAGACAGTAGCAGCACCCTCTCTAGCAGCAGTCATGCTAACTAAGCGGTTGCTCTCTGCTTCTCAAACACACTGTATGTTCTTACCCTGGGTTTATGATTTCTCTTAACTGTTCTTCATGGGATGATGATTTACTTCACACCTAGAAGGGTGTGTGCGTGTGTGTGTGCGCAAGTGTGTGTGAAGCAGCTAACGCAGCTTCTCCTGGTCAGACTCAACCAGTATAAAGCTCAGTCACATTACATATATAGTCTTACTGTAGTCTGTCTGCATCCCAAATGATACTCTATACCTTGTAGATCAGGGATTCCCAAACTCCAGCTTGGGGCCCCCAATGGGTGCACGTTTTGGTTTTTGCTCTAGCACTACACAGCTGATTCAAATAATCAAAGCTTGATGATCAGTTGGTTAATTGAATTATCTGTGTAGTGCTAGGGCAAAAAACAAAACATGCACCCAGAGGGTGGGGCCCCAGGACCGAGTTTGGGAAACCCTGTTGTAGATGACACAATATGCCCTACTTTTTGACCAGTGGTCAGAGGTGGCTACTAAAGTAGTGCACTATATAGGTAATGGGTGTCATTTGAGATGCAGACTTACTGTAATCTTACTCTTACAGACAGCATCTCCAGCTCCAGCAGACCTGGCTCTAGGTTCAGCTAAACAAGGTCCTGTGGAGCAGGGCAGAGCAGCTAGGGAATGCGATTGGTCAGTGGGTGGGGTTTAGGGTGTCAACTGTGTGCTGGTTGGTTGGTTGGAGGGGGGGGGGGGGGGGGGGGGGGGGGGGGGGTCTGTCTGATTGGAGCATCACGATTGGTTCTCAGACTGAAGGCTCTAACTCAGGGTTCTTCAATTCCGGTCCTGGAGGGCCGAAACACTTCTGTTTTTTATTTCTACCTGGTAGTTAATTGCACTCACCTGGTGTCCCAGGTCTGAATTAGCCCCTGATTAGAAGGAGAGGATGAAAAACAGAGGTGTTTCGGCCCTCCAGGACCGGAATTGAAGAACCCTGCTCTAACTGCTAATAAACAGAAATTACGCAAACTCTGGTCTCTGTGTCCTCATTTTTTGTACAAGGGTCAGTGTACCTTTTGGCCAATCGATTTTGTAGTATACAGTGGAAACGATAAAAGTAGTTTTTTCAAGACTGACAAAATTAAAATGCAAACTAATTGGGTAAACCAAAAGCAATCCTCCCAGTTGAGATATAATTTATTTGTCATGCATAATCGTTAGATGCTAAGCCGGTTCCTTGGGATGACCCTAAACCAACCCTTAACCGTTTCAAATGTAAACTTCAGTGGGGTGACATCAGATGTGGGTCCTCCCAAGCAAAAACCATGCATTACCCTGGCCATAACTAAAACCATATCTCAATCCCATTTTCACTCAACAGTTTGGCCTGTCAATCAATGTAGGTGGGGTTTTCAAAGAAGGGGGTGGGATGTTTGTGAGAGACAGTTGATAGAGCTCCAGACCTGTCTATCAATCACTGGGGGTGGTGTACCAGGAGGGGGTAGGGTGCTACTAGTGGCTAGGTGCTACTAGTGGCTAGGCCAAGGGTATTCAACTCTTACCCTACGAGGTCTGGAGCCTGCTGGTTTTCTGTTCTACCTGATCATTAATTGCACACACCTGGTGTCCCAGATCTAAATCTGTCCCTGATTAGAGGGGAACAATGAAAAAGCAGTGGCAATGGCTTCGAGGTCCAGAGTTGATTTTGAGGGGGCTAGGCTGTTCTGACAGGCACAACAGTTGGGTTTACTAAATCTGGTATGCACCATGGCAGTTTTAGCATGTTTGAAGGATCTGGCCTTTGAAGGGTCTGTGTGATGTATTATTTTTTTAAATCCTAAAGATAGTAATGATCTGATTATCTGGCAAAATTTTCTCTTTAATCCAGAGCAGTGCTCTCCAACCCTGTTCCTGGAGAACTACCGTCCTGTAGGTTTTCGCTCCAACCCTAATCTAGCACACCTAATAATTACCTGGTTTATAAGATGAATCAGGTCAGTTACAACTAGGGTTGGAGCAAAAACCTACAGGGTAGCTCTCCAGGAACAAGGTTGGAGAGCCCTGATCCAGAGCCATATAATCAGTATACGTGGCCCATGCAGAGCTCAAACCTACCACCCTCTTCTATAAACCAGCTATCTGAACCAGATCTGGATCGACATGATCCAGAGTTGTTGAAGTTATTGTTCACTCCTGAGTGGCGCAGTGGTCTAAGGCACTGCATCGCAGTGCTAACTGTGCCACTAGAGATCCTGGTTCGAATCCAGGCTCTGTCGCAGCCGGCCGCGACCGGGAGACTCATGGGCGGCGCACAATTGGCCCAGCGTCGTCCAGGGTAGGGGAGGGAATGGCCGGCAGGGATGTAGCTCAGTTGATAGAGCATGGCGTTTGCAACGCCAGGGTTGTGGGTTCGATTCCCACGGGGGGCCAGTATAAAAAAATATATATGTATTCACTAACTGTAAGTCGCTCTGGATAAGAGCGTCTGCTAAATGACTAAAATGTAAATGTAAATGTAATGTAAATGTTCTGTTAGCTGTGGATATGATCCCACCACAAACAGGAACTAGGCTAACTCAGATCACTAGACATATTTGTGTTCAGTTGGTGGTGGGTCAGTAGGGGTGTGTGTGGGTCAGTGGTACTGACCAGCAGCTAAACCTGTCTCTCCTTTCACCTGCATGGCTGCTTAGGTGGCCATGACATTATCAGGTGGCTCTACTTCCTGTTTCCTTCACACACAACTGTGTCCTGGTTTCCATCTCAATGAAAAAGTAAACATATGAAGGTCACATGCTGTGACTGGAGAGAAAGGAGGGAAAACAGGACTGGTGACAGCAACATGATGGATGTGTAGCCTATATCAGCTTTTTGCTTTCACCTGTAGTTCTTTGCTATCAATGTAAAAGAGGAGAGGTTCCTACTGAATTAATTAAATATTGTAGCTTATTGAATTAGGGTTTTTCTTTTCTATATGTTCTTACAACCTTGCATACAAGGACTTCTGTATGAAGAAAGAAGACTTAAAGACACCCTTTAGGTGGCCCCTCCAAGGCTTGAACGCCGGATCTCTCTCCCCATTGCAGAGTCACTGCTGGGTAACACACACACGCTGGGTTACTGGGCGCCAAGCAGGGCCATCCGCAGTGTCATCTTACAGACGCTCTCTCTTCTGATGAACACAGGCTGCCACACACAAACACACTCTGACATAAGCTACTCAATCCCTATCGATAGAGCTGCCAGCCTGCCACATAGTTAGTTTGACTATGACAACAAAACACTGTATTACAAAAACACTGAACAGGACCAGGTGTGATGCTTCCGGATACATTAACTTGACCATACAATAACTCATCAACTGGCAGTGGTGGAAAAAGTACCCAATTGTCATACTTGAGTAAAAGTAAAGATACCTTAATAGAAAATGACTCAAGAAAAGTGAAAGTCACCCAGTAAAATACTACTTGAGTAAAAGTCTAAAAGTATTTGGTTTTAAATATACTTAAGTATCGAAAGTAAATGTAATTGCAAAAATATACTTAAGTATCAAAAGTAAAAGTATAAATCATTTCAAAGTGCTTATATTAAGCAAACCAGACAGCACAATTTTCTTGTTTTTTTATTTTTTATTTACGGATAGCCAAGGGCACACAACAACACTCAGACATAATTTACAAATGAAGCATTTGTGTTTAATGAGTCCGCCAGATCAGAGGCAGTAGGGATGCCCAGGGATGCAGACCACCATAGTCCCTGTGCCCAAGAAAGCGAAGGTAACCTGCCTAAATGACTACCGCTCTGTAGCACTCACATCGGTAGCCTTGAAGTGCTTTGAAAGGCTGGTCATGGCTCACATCAACACCGTCATCCCGGAAACCCTAGACCCACTCCAATTCGCATACCGCCCCAACAGATCCACAGATGACGCAATCTCAAGTCGCACTCCACACTGCCCTTTCCCACCTTGACAACAGGAACACCTATGTGAGAATGCTGTTAATTGACTACAGCTCAGCGTTCAACACCATAGTGCCCACAAAGCTCATCACTAAGCTAAGGACCCTGGGACTAAACACCTCCCTCTGCAACTGGATCCTGGACTTCCTGACGGGCCGCCCCCAGGTGGTAAGGGTAGGCAACAACACATCTGCCACGCTGATCCTCAACATGGGAGCCCCTCAGGGGTGCGTGCTCAGTCCCCTCCTGTACTCCCTGTTCACCCACGACTGCGTGGCCAAGGACGACTCCAACACCATCATTAAGTTTGCTGACGACAACGGTGGTAGGCCTGGTCACCGACAACGATGGGAGAGACCTGGCAGTGTGTTGCCAGGACAACAACCTCTCCCTCAACATGAGCAAGACAAAGGAGATGATCGTGGACTACAGGAAAAGGAGGGCCGAGCACGCCCCCATTCACATCAACGGGGCTGTAGTGGAGCGGGTTGAGAGTTTCAAGTTCCTTGGGTCCACATCACCAACAAACTATCATGGTCCAAACACACCAAGAAAGTCGTGAAGAGGGCACGACAACGCCTTTTCCCCTCAGGAGACTGAAAAGATTTGGCATGGGTCCCCAGATCCTCAAAAAGTTATACAGCTGCACCATTGAGAGCATCCTGACCGGTTGCATCACCGCCTGGTATGGCAACTGCTCGGCATCCGACTGTAGGACGCTACAGAGGGTAGTGCGTACGGCCCAGTACATCACTGGGGCCAAGCTTCCTGCCATCCAGGACCTATATACTAGGCGGTGTCAGAGGAAGGCCCAAAAAATTGTCAAAGTCTCCAGTCACCCAAGTCATAGACTGTTCTCTCTGCTGGTGCACGGTAAGCGGTACCGGAGTGCTAAGTCTAGGTCCAAAAGCCTCCTTAACAGCTTCTACCCCCAAGCCATAAGACTGCTGAACAATTAATCAAATAGTCCACCCGGACTATTTGCACTGACACCCCCCCCACCCCTTTGTTTTTATACGGCTGCTACTCACTGTTTATTATCCATGCATAGTCACTTTACCCCTACCTACATGTATAAATTACATTACATTTACATTTTAGTCATTTAGCAGACGCTCTTATCCAGAGCGACTTACAGTTAGTGAGTGCATATATATATATATATATTATTTTTTTTCATACTGGCCCCCCGTGGGAATCGAACCCACAACCCTGCTCTACCAACTGAGCTACATCCCTGCTGGCCATTCCCTCCCCTAACCTGGGCCAATTGTGCGCCGCCCCATGGGTCTCCCGGTCACGGCCAGCTACGACAGAGCCTGGATTCAAACCAGGATCTCTAGTGGCACAGCTAGCACTGTGATGCAGTGCCTTAGACCACTGCGCCACTCGGGAGATTACCTCGACTAACTTCACTACATTCCTAAAGAAAATAAGGTACTTTTTACTCCATACATTTTCCCTGACACCCAAAAGTACTCCTTACATTTTGAATGCTTAGCAGGACAGGAAAATGGCCCAATTCAAATAAAAATCAAATCAAATTGTATTTGTCACATGTGCAGAATACAACAGGTGTAGACCTTACTCTGAAATGCTTACTCACAAGCCCTTAAACAACAATGCAGTTTTAAGAAAATAGAGTTTACTAAATAAAATATTTAATATTGAGGCTATATACAGGGGGTACCGTACCCAGGGTGCACATTGACTCGGTACCGGTACCCCCTGTATATTTGATTTTGATTTGAATTGGGCCATTTTCCTCTCCTGCAAAATGTAAGGAGTACTTTTGGGTGTCAGGGAAAATGTATGGAGTAAAAAGTACCTTATTTTCTTTAGGAATGTAGTGAAGTAAACACAAAAGTTGTCAAAAAATATAAATAGTAAAGTAAAGTACAGATACTCAAAAAAACTACTTAAGTAGTACTTTAAAGTATTTGTACTTAAGTACTTTACACCACTGTCCACTGGTATGGCAAATATTCAGATGTAAAGGAGGGTAAGTATTTAGCCTACACTCTCACAAACATACAGCACACTCACTCTCTCTGCTAGACTGTAACAAATGGTTTGAAAATGAACAGATTAGAATCAAGATCATGTCGGATGTAATCTCGTTCCCAGACACTTTAGCCCAAATGCGCGAAGTGTCTGGTGGACCAACGCGTCAAACGTGGTTTTAGCCAATACAAAAAGCCCGGGAGAAGGTCCCAACGCGTGGGCATTGAGGGGATTCGATTAATCTGGAGGGCGCCCATTTGAGTGTAGTTTGCACCGGGTGAAAAGTGATTGCATTCGTTTTGGAACCGGGCTGGCAATTGGCGAAGTCGGCTCAAAACAGAAGTGACGTAGGTTAATTACGTGGAGTAATGAATAGGATTCTGTGTTTTCACATGTAAAGGTGTTTGCTCTCGTGATAAAAACGCATAGGCCTATGTCCTTAATCTGCCCTCCCAGGTAAAACTAGTTCAAAAATTCGAAAATATACTTTATGGAAAATATATGTTTCTGAATGATGCGCCATGCTTGCTGCCTTGTTGACAATATGACCGGGTGGCACAGATTACGGTTCGATTTGAGAAGTGTGCTCCTCCCTTAATGTCACAGGCCATAGTCCGGTGCAACTCAGGGCATCTTAATCGAATCCCCTCATTGGTTTAATCACTTAATCTACCAACCAATCATTTCCCACAACACATTCCCCATAACCCTCCCCAATCACTAGCACACCATCAGCACAGAGCCACGCCTCGCAGTCGTGTGATTGGCTAAAATTGACAAACATTACTCACTAAGGCCAATTTTTGAATAGCTGATGTACCAGGTTTATGCTGCGTTGCTAAAGGTGGGTAGGTGGTCATTACCAGTTGTGAAGTCGTAAATATCAGTTGTATGCATTTACATGCTTTGAACTCATTGAGAAACGCTAATGGCTAGTGGCCAACAAGCTGCATCCAACCATAAACTAAAAGTACAGCTATGATGCTTGTAAATAAATTATAGTGTTCAAAAACCATATTAGATTGCTTTTTATAAATAATGTTTTGTTGTTGCATTTAACTGCCGAAAATGCTTTTATCGAAGTTATTATCTTAGTAGGTGACGTCAGAGGTCAGCATGTGGGAGGAGTCGGAGCTCAGAGATGAGAGACGAGTTTCCCACTAGTAATTACCAGTTATAGGCGCGTTCTTATGTTTCTTTCCCAGGCGTATGGGTAAATACCACATTCTCACGTTGTTATGAACGCAGCATTAAATGCGCAATAGCCTGGGGACGAGGTTCTGGCGGATGTGACACTGTGATAGGCTAACCTATGATAGCAGGGGTAAAAGAAACGTGACCACGCTAGTGACAGGCCTACCTATGTCTCCCAGGTAGGCTATACACTCGTATGCCGCGTTTTTATGCTAGTCGGAACTAGTGCGGTGTTTATGTGCTAGTCGGAACTAGGAAACTCGGAAATGTCCGACTTACTATATGGTTGTAGTTATACACGTGCCGTGTTCAACCAGTTAGCAAATCAGACATGTTCGGACCAGTAGTACGTGAACGCGGCATAGGAAACTCTTACATTTCCGACTTGCTGATTCGTTGAACGCGGTGCGTGTATAACTACAACCAGTTAGCAAGTCGGACAATTCCGAGTATGCATGTGAACGCGGCAATAGACATTAAAACCAGGGTATACTAGGGAGAGGCTGTTCGAACACGCCTGGTGGCCGAGTTAAATTACTCATTGCAGGACAGCAGTGCTCCGCAATCGAGAGCGAAGGACACATGTTGTGTTGCCGGCTTGCAGCGCAAATTCTCCCCATTGAGCAGACTGTATCAATGTGACATCCAGATGGTTCTATACTACCAATATTACAAATTATTTATCGTGTAGGCTGCTATCCTACTCGAAATATAATCAAGTGGGATCGAACAAATTGGCCACGTTCGCTACCGCCTGCGACATGTGATACAGCTGTCCTGTGAAGCAAGTACAACTGCTACCCAGTTGGAAGCAACAGTCGGAAGCACCTCGAAATAGCCAGCTTGCTTACAGCTGCACTAGGGTCAGATTAGCCCTTGATCATGAATCTCAGTTCCATTACATTACACATAAGAGTCATTGGACGAAGGCGTTTTCTATATTAAGACACCACAGAGCCGGTGCTAGATATGGCTTGGAAAAAGTACCTCAATCCTGGGATGAAATGCGTTATATCCCAACTGTAACACCGAGAAGATTGAAAGACTGCTCGTTTTTTAGCAGTCGTTCAATCTTCTCGGTGTAACAGTTGGGATAAAGATACAATTTGGATTACAATGCATCTCATCCCTGGATTGAGGTACATTTCCCAAGCTCCCCAGTGCCTTAATCTACAGTCATGCTGTCCGACCGTAGTGCCAGCATAAACTAGCTATCAGGAAGGGCTAAGGACAACTGACTGAACCTAATCCATTCGTCTCCACTCGAATCTCAGCTGCGCGACATACGTCATCAATTTGGGCACCATGCGTGTCCGTATAGCCTCTCCTGGTTTCTACCTGATTTGACTTTTCGTAGCAGGTTAGGAGAATTAGGTTAAGGTTACAAAAGCTGTATCCCATCTAGTCATGACCTACCACCTGGGCCACTGGCTGCGATACGATGCGGGCGTGGCCACGTAACCCCACCCCTAAATCTCTCTGAGCGGGTGCGTATGTGCTTGTTCTGTTTGTGTTCGCGCAGTGAAACGAGAAGGGGACAGAAAAGAGAGCGGGGTTGGTAGGACTTTTGTTTAGTTCGTTCTGTAGCTTAGTAGTAGTCAGCCAACCCAAGAGCCAGTTTCGACTCGATTAAAGAGGGGTAAATGCAAGATAGCGCTCGAGTCAGAGCAAACTCAAAGCCGGAGCCTGCCGGCTTATTTACGGGATGAAATAAAAGCCACCTCGCGACCAGCGGGAGGTGAGAGTGTTGGGGTCGCCGGCGGTGTATCGCGAACGGGGTTCGCGAGATTGACGGGCCGTCAGCCTGGTCCAACTTTGCCGAACGAACAAAGCCGCTATATTCACTGACTGGGTCCCTGGGAGCAAGCAGCAGGGAGATCAATCAACATGGTCAAGTCTTTCTTCCCGCTGAAGAAACTGAGACGGAGTGGGAAACATCTGCTGTTCTTAATTCTGCTGATGCTGGGAGCTTTCGCTGTCTACCACGAGTTTGTTGCTACTAATGCGTGGAGGAGCACCAATAGCCGTAAGTAGGCTATCATGGCTAGCTATCTGAACCATTGCTATGATGATCAACAAGTGTATACTGCTAGTTTTGTTCATTGTCAACTGTATTGCCAAATGAGCTAACTTGCTAGTTTTTCACCAAGTCTAGGGTATTTTATCAATGGTACATGCCATGGTGTCATTGAATGGTAGGCCTATCCTGCAAGGTGGAAAATAAAATTACTCTACACTGTAGCTGAGTCAACAACTTTTTCAATGCCTGGGTTATTGTAAGGACTTCTAACTTTCTAACTAACTTTAGAAAGATGTAAGTGTTGCTGATGGGCTGCTGACATACTAGGGATTTAGAGGAACGTCCCATACTCTACAGGTGATCACGCCTACACATCTGGGAGATCCCTTTGTTCTGAATGCTGATAATAGTGTAATAATAATGTAGAGCAGTCGGTGTCAATCATTCAACCATTCAGCATAACAACTACAACAAATTGCACAGACCATGATGAAGCCCGTTGAAGTGGTTGAAACATCAAACTGGAAATATGACATGCAAACACAACCATACAAGTGTCCAGACAAAGTATGTGGGTTGGGTCCTATGTGGGGCTTGTGTGTACATGTTGGTCTTTGTTGGGTGGCTTTTCTTTCCCATTGTCCCTTGTACCTGCTATCGCTAGTATACACACACAGACACACACACACACTGGTTTGTAGCAGTGGTAGCCTCATACCTGGGGCTGGAGGGGGCAGAGCTTTGGAACCCTGCTGTAAATACACACACTCCTGTAAAGATGGCCCACCTGACCTAACCCCATCCCCCTCTCACACACACCCTCAAACACACACTCCTTCCCATTCTTGTTCAAGAGGTGTGTGTATTTGTAAAGGAGAGAAAATGAATAATACACCTCCTTCTGAACAAACAGACCCACACACACACACATCTTCGTCACTAAGGGACAGGGGTACGCCAAGCCTCATGAAGGAACTGCCTTAGAAGGTACACACACAGTGCATTCCTGAACCCCCTCACAATGGGGAGTGAGGACATCACCCTCTTATGTGTGTGTATAGTGTTGGGACACATTTTGTAGATCGGAAGTTGGTCTATGTGCCCATACACCTAGGAAGAGGAGTTGGGAGAGAAGAGAGATGCATAAAAACATGGGATGGGAGAAAGGAGGGGGATAATCTCTTATTCTTTCAGTTAAAAATATCATTCTTTTTCTGTCCTCAACTACCACTCTAAAATGACCCTGTGTGTGTCTCCTCTCCACCTACCCCATTCATAGACACTAACTGCTTTAGCGCCTATTGACGATAGGATTTTCTGACCGGGGGAGTTTTGTTAAGAGCCCTGACACTTGCTCTATATGTAAACATGCATTGCTTGCGGTACGTTTTTGGAAACATAAGTAACGTATCTTTCATATCAGCAATAAATAATTTGCAAAAAACTAAAGGTTAAATTACTACACACCTTTTTATAGGGTTAGGGTTCCCACACGGCCATGTCTCCATGTTACATCGCTTGTTTACGGAAAACATAGGCGATCTAACGTGCTCCGAACACCTGTGTGTAAGCCGTAACTGGGGAGGAAGTGTAGTTCATCAACTGGAGGCACACAGCTTGTGGATCTCTGCAAAACTGCTACAGTAAGTGTATCTTTTTTTATTTGATGGATTCTTTCTCGCTGATATGAAAGATAAGGGGCATATCTGCAAATGTTTCCAAAACCTGTTTGAATGAATATTGACTTTTCAAATGTTAAAACACAGCGTCTGAATTGTAGTTCACATGGAGCCAAATGTGTGCGACTGTAACCGCTGAAAACCCTACATACGGAGTAGGGTTTTCAAAAGCTACTCTCCACCCTGGTGATAATGACAGACTTCCAGACCAGCAGTACTTAAAGTTCTCTCTCTCTACCTCAACCTCCCCCTACACCCACACACTAACCCTATAGCATTGCCTATAAATACACACAGGGTAGCCTCATTGTGTGTGTGTGTGTGTTTTTGTGTGCGCGCCTGGTTAGTGTTTCTGAGTCCAGAAGGCTGGTGTTCATTCCCAGACCCGATTCCTAGGCTTTAGCTCACTTGTCTAAAATGGTCTTGAATCAAGCAGACAACCCTTATTGGAACATCAGCAGTAGAGGGTTGTATGGGAAACGAGGAGTGTGTGTTAACCCTTTACACTCGTACCCGTATAAGTGTTGAAAAAGGCAGATTTGGTCACTAATAAGCGCCTAAATTGGAACATAATGGCTGTACAGTAACATGCTATACATGACGTCAAAGCTCTTCACTTCACAGTGCTGAATGGGTTTTGACTGACAGCCGTTCTGAACTTGAGCATCTCGCGCAACAATAAGTTGCTCCAATTCATCCCAGTAATTGTGCAACTTTTACAAATTTGTTGTTGTCTGAGTGAGGGAAATCCTTTAAATTAAGATGACTCGATGTACACTGAACAAAAATATAAACGCAACATGTGAAGTGTTTGTCCCATGTTTCATGAGCCGAAATAAAGTATCCCAGAAATGTTCCATATGCACAAAAATCGTATTTCTCTCAAACTTGGTGCACAAATTTGTTTACATCCCTGTTAGTGAGCATTTCACCTTTGCCAAGATAATCCATCCACTTGACAGGTGTGGCATATCAAGAAGCTGATTAAACAGCATGATCATTATACATGTGCACCTTGTGCTGGGGACAACAAAAGGCCACTCTAAAATGTGCAGTTTTGTCAAACAACACAATGCCACAGATGTCTCAAGTTTTGAGGGAGTGTGCAATTGGCATGCTGACTCCAGGAATGTCCACCAGAGCTGTTGCCAGATAATTTAATGTTAATTTCTCAACCATAAGCTGCCTCAAACGTTGTTTTAGAGAATTTGGCAGTAAGTCCAACCGGCTTCACAACAGCAGACGATGTGTAACCACGACAGCCCAGGACCTCCACATCCGGCTTCTTCACCTGCGGGATCGTCTGAGACCAGCCACCCGGACAGCTGATGAAACTCTGGGTTTGCACAACCGAAGAATTTCTGCACAAACTGTCAGAAACATCTCAGGGAAGCTCATCTGCGTGCTCGCCGTCCTCACCAGGGTCTTGACCTGACTGCAGTTCGGCGTCATCACCGACTTCAGTGGGCAAATGCTCACCTTCGATGGCCACTGGCACGCTGGAGAAGTGTGCTCTTCACGGATAAATTCCAGTTTCAATTGTACCGGGCAGATGGCAGACATGGCGTCATGTGGGCGAGCGGTTTGCTGATGTCAACGTTGTGAACAGAGTACACCCTGGTGGGGTTATGGTATGGGCAGGCATAAGCTACAGACAACGATCACAATTGAATTTTATTGATGGCAATTTGAATGCACAGAGATACCGTAACGAGATCCTGAGGCCCATTGTCGTCCCATTCATCCGCCGCAATCATCATATGTTTCAGCATGATAATGCACAGCCCTTTGTCGCAAGGATCTGTACACTTCCTGGAAGCTGAAAATGTCCCAGTTTTTCCATGGCCTGCATACTCCCCAGACATGGCACCCATTTGAGCATGTTTGGGATGCTCTGGATCGACGTGTATGACAGCGTGTTAAAGTTCCCGCCAATATCCAGCAACTTCGCACAGTCATTGAAAAGGAGTAGGACAACATTCCACAGGCCACAATCAACAGCCTGATCAACTCTATGCAAAGGAGAGGCATGAGGCAAATGATGGTCACACCACATACTGACTGGTTTTCTGATCGACACCCCTACTTTTTTTTTTAAAGGTATCTATGACCAACAGATGCATATCTTTATTCCCAGTCATGTGAAATCCATAGATTAGGGCCTAATTAAAATGATTTCAATTGACTGATTTCCATATACAGTGGGGAAAAAAAGTATTTAGTCAGCCACCAATTGTGCAAGTTCTCCCAATTAAAAAGATGAGAGAGGCCTGTAATTTTCATCATAGGTACACGTCAACTATGACAGACAAATTGAGGAAAAAAAATCCAGAAAATCACATTGTAGGATTTTTAATGAATTTATTTGCAAATTATGGTGGAAAATAAGTATTTGGTCACCTACAAACAAGCAAGATTTCTGGCTCTCACAGACCTGTAACTTCTTCTTTAAGAGGCTCCTCTGTCCTCCACTCGTTACCTGTATTAATGGCACCTGTTTGAACTTGTTATCAGTATAAAAGACACCTGTCCACAACCTCAAACAGTCACACTCCAAACTCCACTATGGCCAAGACCAAAGAGCTGTCAAAGGACACCAGAAACAAAATTGTAGACCTGCACCAGGCTGGGAAGACTGAATCTGCAATAGGTAAGCAGCTTGGTTTGAAGAAATCAACTGTGGGAGCAATTATTAGGAAATGGAAGACATACAAGACCACTGATAATCTCCCTTGATCTGGGGCTCCACGCAAGATCTCACCCCGTGAGGTCAAAATGATCACAAGAACGGTGAGCAAAAATCCCAGAACCACACGGGGGGACCTAGTGAATGACCTGCAGAGAGCTGGGACCAAAGTAACAAAGCCTACCATCAGTAACACACTACGCCGCCAGGGACTCAAATCCTGCAGTGCAAGACGTTTCCCCCTGCTTAAGCCAGTACATGTCCAGGCCCGTCTGAAGTTTGCTAGAGTGCATTTGGATGATCCAGAAGAGGATTGGGAGAATGTCATATGGTCAGATGAAACCAAAATATAACTTTTTGGTAAAAACTCAACTCGTCGTGTTTGGAGGACAAAGAATGCTGAGTTGCATCCAAAGAACACCATACCTACTGTGAAGCATGGGGGTGGAAACATCATGCTTTGGGGCTGTTTTTCTGCAAAGGGACCAGGATGACTGATCCGTGTAAAGGAAAGAATGAATGGGGCCATGTATCGTGAGATTTTGAGTGAAAACCTCCTTCCATCAGCAAGGGCATTGAAGATGAAACGTGGCTGGGTCTTTCAGCATGACAATGATCCCAAACACACCGCCCGGGCAACGAAGGAGTGGCTTCGTAAGAAGTATTTCAAGGTCCTGGAGTGGCCTAGCCAGTCTCCAGATCTCAACCCCATAGAAAATATTTGGAGGGAGTTGAAAGTCCGTGTTGCCCAGCGACAGCCCCAAAACATCACTGCTCTAGAGGAGATCTGCATGGAGGAATGGGCCAAAATACCAGCAACAGTGTGTGAAAACCTTGTGAAGACTTACAGAAAACGTTTGACCTGTGTCATTGCCAACAAATTGTATATAACAAAGTATTGAGAAACTTTTGTTATTGACCAAATACTTATTTTCCACCATAATTTGCAAATAAATTCATTTAAAATCCTACAATGTGATTTTCTGGATTTTTTTTCCTCATTTTGTCTGTCATCGTTGACGTGTACCTATGATGAAAATTACAGGCCTCTCTCATCTTTTTAAGTGGGAGAACTTGCACAATTGGTGGCTGACTAAATACTTTTTTTCCCCACTGTATGAACTGTAACTCAGTAAAATCTTAGAAATTGTTGCATGTTGTGTTTATTTTTGTACAGTGTATTTTGAAAGATGAGATGTTTAGGATTATAATAAATACCGCTTTGATGTCATACAAGCAAGCCAAACACCCGTGAGTCCAAAGATGCACTTCACATTTCAAAATCATAAGACTCATGTCATATACAGTGTCAACGTTTATGTTAACAACAACAGTATTTGTGTGATGGCTGGGATGCAGGGTTGTGTTCCAAATGAAAAGGCTACAAGTGTGGTTGCACTAGTTCCTCAACGGCATAGCTAAGAGAGGTCAAAAAAGTACCTTATAGGTGAAGACTCTACTTTGACTCATAAAAATTGCTTAGGAACTGTTCACACTTTTGAGAGGTGTGTGTGTGGCCTCTTGGAGACACCAGTTAGTCCTGTCACTCAAAACCTTGTAAATTGTTTGTCTTATTTGTATTTTTTTGTTGCACCTACCCCACATTTTCCAGGAATAGTCTTAACATGTTACTGAATGTATCCGGAGTATTTTCAGATTTCGTTGTCAACAAATGCGGCGAAAAGTACAGTAAATGTAAAATGCACATAAAATCAACAGTGTAATGTTTGTAGTCAGTCTTGTAAGGTGAGCTGTTGTGTCTTGTTTGTTTAGTTATTTTCCCATTATAGCCAAGCTGTTCCCTTTCAGTTGCGACCATGGTTTCATATTTATTCTGTAAGAATTTAAGGTCGTTCAAGGTCATTTTAGCAAGCCATGACACCCACTGTCTCAGATTGTTCTGAAATTGTTTTTATAGTTAGAAACACAAGAGAAGCATTCCTGCAACATTAATTTGTTGAAATATAATTTGATCTCTGAGAAATTAGGCTAATTGATTGCACCCAAATTGGCCATTTTGTGGCACAAATCCAATGCAAGTCAATGGTACCTATATTAGCACTTTCACGCTTCATATCCAAATCATCTATAAGTAACATCATTGAGTTACACACTTTTTTAAAAATACTTTAGGATGATTTGAACATGAAGCATGATAATGCTAATATTGGTACCATTGACTTGCATTGGATTGGTGCCACAAATGCTAAAATGTTAGCATTTGAAACCAGGGGTTGTATCCAGTTCAGGGAACAGAACAGAGAACTGGAAAATAACTACGTCTTTCAAGGAACAGAATCCCAACCTGGAATGAAAGTGATCCATACTGTTCCAGAACAGAACCGTTATATTAAACGCATGGGAACTGCTTAATAACGTTGTTTTACGTTCAGGGTATTTTTTTCCAATCCCACAAAAAAACGCAACAAAGAACTTATGCAAGGCCCTCACTCTGTCACTCAAACTTTTTCCAATGTCTGCCTGCCAGCTGAAAATCTTTGCCAGTCTTTGTGAGTGTGTAGGCTACCTGCCCCTTCCCCTCTGAGGCATAGGCAACTGTAGCCTACTGATGTGATTCAGAAATTAGGGAGAGATATTTTTAATTAGAGAATAATGGATTTTCAGTGCTAATTAAGGATAATATAGTTATAATGTTTCACATTGGATTTATTACCTACACAAAGGTAAGATGTGTTTCTATTTTAATTCTGGTGCTGCTCTGCACACAAAAGCTTGTTTGTCAGCTGGTCCAACGCTAAGCCAACTATCAGAAGTTCAAAGACATTCAAAGTTCCTTCATAGAAGCCACTCCCCTGTAGGTATAATTCTGTCAGCCTAATTCAGATAATGCATGTCATAACAAGATGCCCAGAGCTTCAAGCCAAGCGTCCTCCTCCACCCTCTCTCGCTTTCTCCCCACCTGCAAAATTTGTTGCATCTCGTGCCCTACACTTGTCTGTCCAATGCATGTAAACAATAGCTTGCCCCCTCCATAGTAAGCTGCTCTATCTGCACTGATTGGTGAAGTAATTTTAAAGTCAAGCTAAATGTGAAAATACATAGATTTCAGAGGTTTAAAAAGGAACAGAAAGGAACAATATACACAGTGTACAAAACATTACATGCTCTTTCAATGACAGACTGACCAGGTGATTCCAGCTGAAAGCTATGATTCCTTATTGATGTCACTTGTTGAATCCACTTCAATCAGTGTAGATGAAGGGGAGGAGATGGGTTAAAGAAGGATTTTTAAGCCTTGAGACAATTGAGACATGGATTGTGTATGTATGCCATTCAGAGGGTAAGAAAAGATTGTAGTGCCTTTGAACAGGGTATGGTAGTACGTGTCAGGCGCACCAGTTTGAGCGTGTCAAGAACTGCAACGCTGCTGGGTTTTCTACGCTCAACAGTTTCCCATGTGTATAAAGAGTGGTCCACCACCAAAGGACATCCAGCCAACTTGACACAACTGTGGGAGTCAACATGGGCCAGCATCCCTGTGGAATGCTTTCGACACCTAGAGTAGAGTCCATTTTCCGACGAATTGAGGCTGTTCTGAGGGCAAAAGGGGGTGTGCAACTCAATATTAGGAAGGTGTCCTTAATGTTTTGTTCACTCAATGTAAACAGTTACTTTTTTGGGGTTCAAACCGGTTCAGAACCCCTGTTTTGAAACAGTGGCCAACAAAACCAAAGCATGGGTTGCTGTCATACCTTGTGCATAGAGTGCTTACAGGCTAATGAAACCAATATGTAATTTTGTTGAACTATCCTTTTTAACATTGAGGTGGTGGGGGATATTCAAACTTGTTTAACCTAATAGCAGGAACAGCACAATCTAGTGGTCAGAACCCGGTAATAACAGGATGTAGGATGGGACATAACCATAACAATTTAAATTACTAATTTCTGAACAGGGGATGCAAAAACATCACAGAATTCACTGAAAATACATTACATGGAATGAAGAAACAATACTCTGAGCCGCAGCTCCATACTACTTATCAGACACGTAGAACTGATACTACGCTGAATAAAAATATACACGCAACATGTAAAGTGTTGGTCCCATGTTTCATGAGAAGAAATAAAAGATCCCAGAAATGTTCCATATGTACAAAAAGCTTTTCTCTCAAATATTGTGCACAAATTTGTTTACATCCCTTTTAGTGAGCATTTTTCCTTTGCCAAGGTAATCCATCCACCTGACACGTGTGGCATATCAAGAAGTTTTGTCACACAACACAATTCCACAGATGTCTCAAGTTTTGAGGGAGCGTGCAATTGGCATGCTGACTGCGGGAATGTCCACCAGAGCTGTTGCCAGATAATTTAATGTTAATTTCTCTACCATAAGTCGCCTCCAACGTTGTTTTAGAGAATTTGGCAGTACGTCCAACCTGCCTTACAACCGCAGACCAAGTGTAACCACGCCAGCCCAGGATCTCCACATCTGGCTTCTTCACCTTCGGAATAGTCTGAGACCAGCCACCAGGACAGCTGATGAAACTGAGAAGGATTTCTGTCTGTAATAATGCCCTTTTGTGGGGAAAAACTCATTCTGATTGGCTCGACCTGGCTCCCAAGTGGGTGGGCCTATGCCCTCCCAGGTCCACCCATGGCTGCGCCCCTGCCCAGTCTTGTGAAATCCATAGATTAGGACTTAATGAATTAATTTCAATTGACTGATTTCCTTTATATTAACTGTAACTCAGTAAAGTTGTTGCATGTTGCGTTTTATATATTTGTTCAGTGTATATATACTCGTTGTTGGGGTGGGATTGGTGTGGGGGTCTGTGGGTGGCTTTTGACCATTGCTTTCGATTACTCATGTCTAACTCATTGTTCTAAAAAGGTTTGGTCCAAATCGGATGTTAGGTGCTATATTTATTTCATATTATATGAATCCTATGAATTAAAATGCATAATTTAGATGCAATCAATTAGCTTAATTTTGCAGAAATCAAATTATATTTCAACAACATAATGTTGCAGGAATGCAAATCTTACCTGTTTCTAACAACAGAAACAATTTCAGAACAATCTGAGATGGAGGGTGTTCAAAATCCTCTTGGTTCCTTTTAAGGTGGAACGACCCTTTATCCCTATCCATATAGGCCAATTCCAATGACTACAAAGGGTTAAATAGGACTGGCACGGTAATTGTATAATTGTGTAACTGTAACCGTCATAACCGTAAAAATATATATACTGTATGTATAAAGCTATATATTTGTTTTGTTTTATGAACTTCATTTTCAAGTCGACAAACTTAACCCAAAAACAGTAAAGCTATATATTTGTTTTGTTTTATGAACTTCATTTTCAAGTCGACAAACTTAACCCAAAAACAGTAAAGGTAAGCCTGGTTCACATTTAACGGCCGATATAAAGAGCAATGAGAAGAGAAAAAAATTGCCAGTTTTAGAACGTTGTTGAACAAACAGCTGACTGAAGGGCTGCAGCGGAGTTGACATGAATGAGACTGTTTCTGTGGTAACATTGACTCTTTACAAAGTGATGAAACTTTGCTGCTCCTTGTTTTAGCAAGGTTTTGTAGCAAACAAGTATCATGTAATACATGCACCAAAAACAGGGCACACTGGCCCTGTTTAGACTTGACAGTTCATGCAGCTTTAGTATTCTGATCAAAGAGTTCTGATCATGGAATTCTGAACGCGTCATGCATCTACACCTACATTTTAAAGTGTCTACCGTGTCCACAGTGTGCGTTTCCCCCGCGCTATATTAAACTGACAGAATGCATTTTACAAACGGTGGAATATGCAAAATATGATAACACAACAACTGATAGCAGTAGCTAACTACTAACTAGCCAGCTAACCTCTGTAGCTAGCCAGCAAGCTAGCAAGAAACACTAAAGGGATCGCAAACTGGTTAGCATAACTCTAGCCAAACAAATTAGTTTTTCTAAATATTAGCTAGCTGGCTAGCATTTGAGGCCAGCAAACATGTTCCCCACACGCTAGGAATGTATTTCCTCCAACTTTGTAATGAAAAGGGGCCTCTCAGTCTCAAAACACACATTTTCTGGAGACTTGTGGGAGGAGTGCTGATATCGCCCACTGTATGCACTTTCGGTAGCCTGATTGCGTCCAGACTGAGGAGAAATCGGCACACAATGCATCCCTGACCACCAACTGAAGTGGTCACCCAGATCGGACACCATTAGACCAGAAATCGACTTTTGTGCGCCTAGAGCAGTCTTTTCAATGCGGTCTTTGTATTCTGATAGCAGAAGTTGCATGTAAGTGTCAAGCGTAAACACGACCTGAGACAGTCCGGAGCGGAGGAGAGGAGAAAATGTGCAACAAAAAAATATGTTATTATTTTATTTTTATTTTATTAATAACAGTGACCCTAAATTCCATGACCATCAAAGCAATAGTGTTAAAGTGAGTGTGTGTGTGTGTGTGTGTGTGTGTGTGTCTGTGTGTGGGTTCAGATTCATGTGCGTGTGTCATTTCCTTTTTAATAACCAGCTGATTGTGTGATAACAGATGATTTAACCATAGAGATCCTATTAAATTACTAGAGGCTATGTAGGGCTGTGACGGTCACGAAATTTAGTCAGCCGGTGATTGTCAAGCAAATAACTGTCCATTAATTAACAAACACATTTAGCGTCTCCTGGCTTCCACACACAGCCTACAAGCCATTTGAAAAAGTATTATGTCCATGTAATATAGCCTACACCTTCACAATATATCCATTATTTATTTTAGACAGGTCTAAAGAAGCATGATATGAAGAAAATGTAGTCTATTTCAGAAGAAAAGAATAGCATCCGAGTTGTCCTGATGTGGCTATGCCAAATGGCTGTGGGCTACACTCGTTTATTTAGCAGACAAGATTTGATTATAATTCCGTGGCATTAATTTATATTATTTTATAGTATGAAGAAAACAATTGAACAAATCTGAATAAAATAGAAAGGATATTTTCTCAAACGACTTGAGCACATGCGGCAATTCTGTGTTGAGTGGTTAACAAAGAAATGGGTAATCCTATATGCTTAATTTAGTTATTCATGTAACATTAGTTGTTCTACAAACGTTGGGCTATATGTTTTGATTTTTAATACATTGTAAGGCTGCATGATGAGACTAATGATGATTCGAAAAAAGTCGCTTGAAAGGCATGAGCAGGCTGTACACACTCCAATAGTCTCTCATTCACAATTTGACAAGCATTTGATAATGCCTCGAATTTCACGGTGGCATCCCCTTTGTGGCCATAATGCACCCTAAAAAGATACATGCCTTTTGCGGCCCGGAGTGCTGCGTTGTGCCCTTCTCCCGGAGTGTGCTGCGCAATCCGAAGTGTCTCTCGTCACTTGATTTGGTCTTTCTCACAGGCTACAAGTTAAGACCGAAACATCAGGGACGCAACTGTGCACGTCCTTATCCAATTCCGAGGTGCATATTGAAGATATTGGATGAACTGTCTACATTTTACTTTTCGTCAGCCAACAAGATGAGTAGGCCTACCGGACAGCAAAAGCACTAGCCTATGTCAATCTACTATCCCCCATAGTACAAAAGTCGAGCTATTCTATTCTGTGCGAGAAATAGATATTCCAAACATAGTCTGGGACAGTTGTGGGATGCGATAGATCCCAAATTAATACAACCACTAGCATCAAAAAAACATGTTTTATGCAGTGTGGCTTATGCAACAGATCAGAACATTTAGCTTAAAATGTTGATAAACTATTAGGCTATTTCATCACATTATAAGCGCAGCAATGCGCACATGGTAGTAGGCTATAAGCGCAAATGTTCCATTAGCGGAAAACACCATTTATCAAAAGTGAACGCAAATGTAATTATGCATGTAATGCCTTTATTATGAGGGTGCATTTTGTATGGTGAAAATGATCTTCTCCAAACTTGAAACTCACGCGCTGTTTATATATGCCAGTTAGGCTCTACACCCCTTGTAAAGTGGATTAATGTGCTTAATGTTAAGAAGTTATTTGGCCACTTTAGTTGTGATACAAACCTTATTAAAACATATGGGCTAGGCTACATGAGTTGTGCGACTATGATTCAAACAAAGTCGCAAAAAAAAGGCATTGTTCCATATGCTGGGCATCATTCACAAGTGATAATATATAATTCACAAGTGATAGGCTAATATTGTCACCCATCAGACTATTCTTGATTTAATCTTGCCTTTACATATACTAAATAATATATGTGTGACATTTGTTTTGATTTAGAATGGACCATTATGCACCTGTATCCAAACAGGGGCAGCGGAAAAAATACATGGCATCTATGCACTTAAATAGTGAATGGAGAATGCTTTTCCCTGTGGTTTATTTTCATGCCAACCAGGTAGGCTATACTCCTGTTGTAAATATAAGCAATGTGCTTAATATTAGGAAAGTAGAGAAATAAATATAGTAGGCCTAGCCTATATAAAGCTGATGGGTTCCTCTTTTTAAAAGCGGCCATCACTCTGTTTTCTCCTGCAATTGCATAGCCTATAGAAATGTTGTGCAACATGAGCTCATGGGCTCTCATGAAGTGTTTGATTAGATTTTCGATTACATTTCCATTGATGTCAGAGTGATTAGAGGGACAATATAGGTAGCTTAGTGGTTAAGAGCGTTGTGCCAGTAACCGAAAGGTTGCTGGTTCTAATCCCCGAGCCGACTAGGTGAAAAATCTGTCGATGTGCCCTTGAGCAAGGCACTTAACCCTAATTGCTCCTGTAAGTCGCTCTGGATAAGAGCGTCTGCTAAATGACCAATTTATTTATTTATTTATAGTGCTGAGTACCAGGCAGTTAGCAAGTTTGGTACGCTACTAATGAGCAGCAGCATCAGAGCTTGGAGAAGCCTAATTACCGTGACTAAATGCTAATGTGGAATTTGACTGCCTTCATGACTCGTGACCACAGGTGTGGCGGTAATACGGTCACCGCAACAGCCCTAGGGCTATGTCATAAACCCTAAAAGTTCCATAATGGGGCAGCAGGTAGCCTAGCGGTTAGAGCGTTGGGCCAGTAACTGAAAGGTTGCTGGTTCGATTACCCGAGCCGACAAGGTGAAAAATCTGTCTGTGCACTTGAGCAAGGCACTTAACCCTAATTTGCTCCAGGGGCGCAGTACTAAATGGCAGCCATCTTGGTCAGGGAGAAATCCAAAACCAGTCTGGAATGAATGGCAGTAGAGGCATAGGTAATGCATTGCTTTTACTTATGCAGGACAATAAAAGTAAGGCATGTGATGTCAGAAATTGTGTAATGGAATTATAGTCAACCTAAAATATTGTCATATAATTATAAATGCAGTTTATACAGGTTTTATACCAATTTTCTGTATAAATAGCCTCAACTACAGTGAGGGGTAAAAGTATTTGATCCCCTGCTGATTTTGTACGTTTGCCCACTGACAAAGAAATGATCAATCTATAATTTTAATGGTAGGTTTTATTTGAACAGTGAGAGACAGAATAACAACAAAAAATCCAGAAAAACGCATGTAAAAAATGTTATAAATTGATTTGCATTTTAATGAGGGAAATAAGTATTTGACCCCCTCTCAATCAAAAAGATTTCTGGCTCCCAGGTGTCTTTTATACAGGTAACGAGCTGAGATTAGGAGCACACTCTTAAAGGGAGTGCTCCTAATCTCAGTTTGTTACCTGTATAAAAGTCACCTGTCCACAGAAGCAATCAATCAATCAGATTCCAAACTCTCCACCATGGCCAAGACCAAAGAGCTCTCCAAGGATGTCAGGGACAAGATTGTAGACCTACACAAGGCTGGAATGGGCTACAAGACCATCGCCAAGGAGCTTGGTGAGAAGGTGACAAAAGTTGGTGCGATTATTCGCAAATGGAAGAAACACAAAATAACTGTCAATCTCCCTCGGCCTGGGGCTCCATGTAAGATCTCACCTCGTGGAGTTGCAATGATCATGAGAACGGTGAGGAATCAGCCCAGAACTACACAGAAGGATCTTGTCAATGATCTCAAGGCAGCTGGGACCATAGTCACCAATAAAACAATTGGTAACACACTACGCCGTGAAGGACTGAAATCCTGCAGCGCCCGCAAGGTCCCCCTGCTCAAGAAAGCACATATACATGCCCGTCTGAAGTTTGCCAATGAACATCTGAATTATTCAGAGGAGAACTGGGTGAAAGTGTTGTGGTCAGATGAGACCAAAATGGAGCTCTTTGGAATCAACTCAACTCGCCGTGTTTGGAAGAGGAATGCTGCCTATGACCCCAAGAACACCATCCCCACCGTCAAACATGGAGGTGGAAACATTATGCTTTGGAGGTGTTTTTCTGCTAAGGGGACAGGACATCTTCACCGCATCAAAGGGACAATGGACGGGGCCATGTACCATCAAATCTTGGGTGAGAACCTCCTTCCCTCAGCCAGCGCATTGAAAATGGGTCGTGGATGGGTATTCCAGCATGACAATGACCCAAAACACACGGCCAAGGCAACAAAGGAGTGGCTCAAGAAGAAGCACATTAAGGTCCTGGAGTGGCCTAGCCAGTCTCCAGACCTTAATCCCATAGAAAATCTGTGGAGGGAGCTGAAGGTTCGAGTTGCCAAACGTCAGCCTCGAAACCTTAATGACTTGGTGAAGATCTGCAAAGAGGTGTGTGACAAAATCCCTCCTGAGATGTGTGCAAACCTGGTGGCCAACTACAAGAAACGTCTGACCTCTGTGATTGCCAACAAGGGTTTTGCCACCAAGTACTAAGTCAAGTTTTGCAGAGGGGTCAAATACTTATTTCCCTCATTAAAATGCAAATCAATTTATAACATTTTTGACATGCGTTTTTATGGATTTTTTTGTTATTCTGTCTCACTGTTCAAATAAACCTACCATTAAAATTATAGACTGATCGTGTCTTTGTCAGTGGGCAAACGTACAAAATCAGCAGGGGATCAAATACTTTTTTCCCTCACTGTATATGTAAACTGACCATAAGTGTCTCAGATTTTATTTTCTTGGAAAGCTGTGAGTGCTATTTTATGATAAAATAGTTGCATTTACAATTTTACAAGTCCTATCATCAACTGATTTGAGCCAGTTTGAATGGAATGTTGGCCGTTAATTTGAAAAGATCTATGGAATCATTCCTCTAAAACTGGCTGGCTAGCGAGCTAACACACATACAGTGCATTCGGAAAGTATTCAGACCCCTTGACTACTTCCACATTTTGGTACATTACAGCATTATTCTAAAATAGATTAAAAAAAATAATTCCTCATCAATCTACACACAATAAACCATAATGTCAAAGCAAAAACAGGTTTTTAGATTTGTTTTCAAATGTATTACAAATAAAAAACAGAAACCTTATTTACATAAGTATTCAGACCCTTTGCTATGAGACTCGAAATTGAGCTCAGGTGCATCCTGTTTCCATTGATCATCCTTGAGCTGTTTCTACAACTTGATTGGAGTCCACCTGTGGTAAATTCAATTGGTTGGACATGATTTGGAAAGGCACACCCCTGTCTATATAAGGTCCCACAGTTGACAGTGCATGTCAGAGCAAAAACCAAGCCATGAGGTCGAAGGGATTTTCCATAGAGCTCCGAGACACGATTGTGTCGAGGCACAGATCTTGGTAAGGGTACCAAAAAGTTTCTGCAGCATTGATGGAAGAAGTTTGGAACCACCAAGACTCTTCCTAGAGCTGGCCGCATCTGTGGAGATGGGAGAACCTTCCAGAAGGACAATAATCTCTGCAGCACTCCACCAATCAGGCTTTTATGGTGGAGTGGTCAGACGGAAGCCACTCTTCAGTAAAAGGCACATGACAGCCCACTTGGAGTTTGCCAAAAGGCACCTAAAGACTCTCAGACCATGAGAAACAAGGTTCTCTGGTTTGATGAAGCCAAGATTGAACTCTTTGGCCTGAATGCCAAGTGTCAAGTCTGGAGGAAACCTGGCACCATCCCTACGGTGAAGCATGGTGGGGGCAGAATCATGCTGTGTATTGTGTGTAGATTGATGAGGGGGGGAAAACAATTGAATCCATGGCTGTAACGTAACAAAATGTTGAAAGAGTCAAGGGGTCTGAATACTTTACGAATGCACTGTACAGTGTGGATCAATTCTTCACATTCATTGTTTTACACAATATCTTATCACAGCACTGGCAAACCATAGTTGACCAACTCCCTGACAAACATGACTGACCATTGGACCATCATAAGAAGGTTCATGTCCATTCTTGTATTCTAATTCCTAATTCTGTGGGTTTAACTTTTAACTAGAACCTAGGATAGTGTCTGTGTATTTGTTTCCCTTTTCTTTCTAAAATCTCTCTCTCCTCTCTTCTCTTCCCTCCCTCCCTCCTCTCGCTCGCTCTCTCTGCTGCAGGTTTCAGTCTTGCCAGTGAGGATAGCCTCGGGAGAAGACCTACCCAAGAGAGATTGGTAAGGGTGGGGGGAGAGAGAGGAGAAGGAGAGAGGGAGAGAGACAGTATGGAGAGGAGGGTAAGAGAGTGTGGGAGACAGAATTTGTCACATACCAGTTTTCCCATACACACCTATCACAAAATAAAAGTAGTTGCCTGATCTGGTTGTGTGTGTTCCAGTTTGGAGGTGATGCGAAGGAGGATTCAGAAGCCTGGCGTTCCAGCTACACCCCACAGCCCTGGAGGCCAGAGGTACACTCTCTTATTCACCTCACAGGAATAATCCACCACCTGCCCAGGCTTGCTCAACCCCCCCCCTCCCTCCCCCCTCCCCCCTTGTGTAAGTGTGTGTATTTATGCCCTAGTGTATAGTAGGAATCAGTGTTTGAGCAGAATCTAAGTAGGAGTCATCACAGTGTGCTGCTGTGCATAGTTGGTAGAATCATATTTAAAAGGATTCACAGCTTTAATGGCTGCCAAAGGGGCTTCCACCAAGTATTAACTGTGGGGTGTGAAGATGTAAGCATTCAAGACATCTTAGTTAAAAAAATGTTTTTATACATTTGGACAATTTGCTAGAATTTTCTTTCACTTTGAAGATGTGGAGTATGTTGTGAAGATCTGTATGAAAAAAATCGAATGTAATCCCATTTTAGATTTCATTTTAAGGCAGCAAAATGTGAAGACAGTGCAGGGGGTGCGTGTGTATTCTTTCCCAAACCACCTCTGTACGAGTTCACAAAATTGTTTCTCAGAACATTTCTTACCATTCTCTCCCCTTCAGCAGAGCATTGTTATGGCTACCAAGCCTTCAGCAATGCTGTGCTCGAAAGCCAGAGAATTTACGCGTGTGAAAACAAAATTCGGACATTTAGATACTCATAAAATTCATGTCAGCCTACTGTTTGTCCCTAGCACAATATTCTGTGAGGCCTCTATTAGCCTATTCAACAAACATCACAGACAAATATACATAAGTATAGACAGGTAGGTTGTGACCAACAAAACCGATGTGTGCGCAACTTTGGGGCAAGACGGACAGGATTGGCTTTCAATCAAAGGATTATTGACATGTAAACTACATTTAGTCTCCAAGTGTTTACTGAAAACATACATTAATTTGCCCAATAAGCACTTGTTGAGCCTACTCGAATACATAACACACAGCCTTTAGCTTTTGTGATGTTGTCAACTAACCCTGTCTTTATATCCATCTACCAGTATTCAAGGAGTATTCAACATTCTATTCAGGAGGAAAATCATCAAACTATCCAGGTTCACCTGGTTTCTGTAAGACTGCAAAGCTGGGGTCCCAGTACACCCCATTTCCCACTTTAACAAAAAATAAGGATTATGTCCCTACAAAAGCTTTACATTCGCTATGTGTAGGCCTAGTCTAAACAGCATTATTTTAGATTATTTAGTTTAACACCACACTTTAGTTTTCCTGTAAATACAAACTTTTCTAAATAGTTTGTCATTCATTCAAAACCTTAGTTAAAATGCGTTACAAATGCTGAAGATTTATGATACCGTATATGTTTCATAGTATCCCCCCCATCCAAAAATGTGTTTGCATGTCCCTTGAATACTTTAAACAAAACTTTTACAACAGAATGCAAATGCAGTCAACTCTCACACTCATTGTGACTGTATATTTTAAACATTAGTTTCAAATGACTAAGGAATGCCTTGTTAAGACCATTGATTTGTCCCACACAATCATAGAGTCGAAAGCTCTATATATTTCAATTGATTTATGAGCATTGGCTTTGCTCCAGAATTGTTTACCTTCTAACAGCGGTATTCCAAAATTTCACAAAAGCAGCGACTCGCTGAGAGAAGTCATTTTCTTTGGTATGTAGCCTACTCTATCTGTACGTTTAAAGTAGAGTCCTTCCACAACATTATCAAACTGTTTATTTTGTAATTTTTACCATAAAACCCATTTAAAGATATACCATATTTGTATTAAGCCCAAATCACACTTTAGTCTACTTAGCATATGGGTCTACCCCGTGTGATTTGGGCTTATGGAACCATACATATCGTCAACAATTGAACCAGAAGGTTTTTGTGTTAACACTTGCTAACTAAACTTCCAAAGTGTATTTTCGAAACATCATCTGATAGACCTGAGTACCGTGAAATTACGACTCTCTAAATGATTTTGTAACCAGTTATTTTCCGGGCTGTACACCATTTCACTGCTGCTGTATTTTATCTCTACATTTGATATTATTTATTTGTGTTTTCCCTGGTTTCGAACCAGGTTAAACCACCTTTTCATTAGATACAGTGGGGGGAAAAAGTATTTAGTCAGCCACCAATTGTGCAAGTTCTCCCACTTAAAAAGATGAGAGAGGCCTGTAATTTTCATCATAGGTACACATCAACTATGACAGACAAATTGAGAAAGAATCATCCAGAAAATCACATTGTAGGATTTTTTATGAATTTATTTGCAAATTATGGTGGAAAATAAGTATTTGGTCACCTACAAACAAGCAAGATTTCTGGCTCTCACAGACCTGTAACTTATTCTTAAAGAGGCTCCTTTGTCCTCCACTCGTTACCTGTATTAATGGCACCTGTTTGAACTTGTTATCAGTATAAAAGACACCTGTCCACAACCTCAAACAGTCACACTCCAAACTCCACTATGGCCAAGACCAAAGAGCTGTCAAAGGACACCAGAAACAAAATTGTAGACCTGCACCAGGCTGGGAAGACTGAATCTGCAATAGGTAAGCAGCTTGGTTTGAAGAAATCAACTGTGGGAGCAATTATTAGGAAATGGAAGACATACAAGACCACTGATAATCTCCCTCGATCTGGGGCTCCACGCAAGATCTCACCCCGTGGGGTCAAAATGATCACAAGAACGGTGAGCAAAAATCCCAGAACCACACGGGGGGACCTAGTGAATGACCTGCAGAGAGCTGGGACCAAAGTAACAAAGCCTACCATCAGTAACACACTACGCCACCAGGGACTCAAATCCTGCAGTGCCAGACGTGTCCCCCTGCTTAAGCCAGTACATGTCCAGGCCTGTCTGAAGTTTGCTAGACTGCATTTGGATGATCCAGAAGAGGATTGGGAGAATGTCATATGGTCAGATGAAACCAAAATATAACTTTTTGGTAAATGTTTATGTTGGGTCATTGTCCTGTTGATAGTCCCACTAAGCCCAAACCAGATGGGATGGCATATCGCTGCAGAATGCTGTGGTAGCCTGCTGGTTAAGTGTGCCTTGAATTCTAAATAAATCACAGACAGTGTCACCAGCAAAGCACCCCCACACCAAAACACCTCCTCCTCCATGCTTCACGGTGGGAAATACACATGCGGAGATCATCTGTTCACCCACACCACGTCTCACAAAGACACGGCGGTTGGAACCAAAAATCTCAAATTTGGACAAATTTCCACCGGTCTAATGTCCATTGCTCGTGTTTCTTGGCCCAAGCAAGTCTCTTCTTCTTATTGGTGTCCTTTAGTAGTGGTTTCTTTGCAGCAATTTGACCATGAAGGCCTGATTCACACAGTCTCCTCTGAACAGTTGATGTTGAGATGTGCCTGTTACTAGAACTCTGTGAAGCATTTATTTGGGCTACAATTTCTGAGGCTGGTAACTAATGAACTTATCCTCTGTAGCAGAGGAGACTGTGTGAATCCGTCCTTCATGGTCAATTTGCTGCAAAGAAACCACTACTAAGGGACATTCCTGTGACAGTCCTCATGAGAGCCAGTTTCATCATAGTGCTTGATGATTTTTGCAACTGCACTTGAAGAAACTTTCAAAGTTCTTGAAATGTTCCGTATTGACTGACCTTCATGTCTTAAAGTAATGATGGACTGTCGTTTCTCTTTGCTTATTTGAGCTGTTCTTGCCATAATATGGACTTGGCCTTTTACCAAATACGGCTATCTTCTGTATACCCCCCCCCCCCCCCCCCCCCCCCCCCCCCCCCCCCCCTACCTTGTCACAACACAACTGATTGGCTCAAACGCATTAAGAAGGAAAAATATATACAATATTTTGATTTGTTTAACACCTTTTTGGTTAATACATGATTCCATATGTGTTATTTCATAGTTGTATGTCTTCACTATTATTCTACAATGTAGAAAATAGTTTAAAAAAAAAAGAAAAATCCTTGAATGAGTAGGTGTTCTAAAACTTTTCACTGGTAGTGTGTATCTACTTCGGGATTAACAAATAACAATATAATCTTTTCAAGCAGTGTTACCAACTAATTTTCAGGGGAAGTTGCTAGAGGCGGGTTGATTTGTTGCTAAATGACGTTGTGATGTCATTGCGTGATGACGTCATTACATAATAACGTAAAACTGCGTCATTACGTAGAATACACAATAACGTTATTCAAATTGACTGGCCATTTCGGCGACAAATATGATTTGACATTTGTTAGTTTAGATTTGTTTATTATCACATATTTTTATTTTTAAAAGTAATATAAACACAACACATTTTATACGATCAGATATTTATATTTTTAAGCGCAACACATTGAATTATTGAATGTATTTTCTTATTAATAAGTAAACTTACACATTCTGAACAATTATAGTTTTTTAAGCAGTGTATTGGTAGTTAACATGCTACCTAACTGATCAACAATTATAGGTACAAGCTAATAACAAGGTATATATGCTATCTTATTGAGATAGCAACTCACAATGCACTTTTGCAGCCAGGCACATGTGTTGTGACTGAGTATGTGACAGAGAAAATCGTTTTTGTGTCATTTAGAGGGAAAGTGCGTGCATTTTCGCGTTTGAGTCACTTTTCAAAAGTTGCTAAAAGTTCCAAATACTTTTTTTTAAAAGTAGCTAAATTTGTTGCTAGGTGCTGTTTGAAAAAAAAGTTGCCTGGGTAGTCTGAAAAGTTGCTAAATCTAGCAACAAAATTGCTAAGTTGGCATCACTGCTTTCAAGTACGCAGCGCTGAGCTGTCATTTGTATTTTTACCATACAAAAAGTCCAATTTACAGTGGCTTGCGAAAGTATTCACCCCCCTTGGCATTTTTTTCTATTTTGTTGGCTTACAAACTGGAAATAAAATGGATTTTTTGGGGGGTTTGTATTTGATTTACACAACATGCCTACCACTTTGAAGATGCAAAATATTTTTTTTTGTGAAACAAACAAGAAATAAGACAAAAAAACAGAACTTGAGCGTGCATAACTATTAATTAATCAATATTTGTAGAGCCACCTTTTGCAGCAATTACAGCTGCAAGTCTCTTGGGTATGTCTCTATAAGCTTGGCACATCTAGCCCCTGGGATTTTTGCCCATTCTTCAAGACAAAACTGCTCCAGCTCCTTGAAGTTGGATGGGTTCTGCTGGTGTACAGCAATCTTTAAGTCATACCACAGATTCTCAATTGGATTGAGGTCTGGGCTTTGACTAGGCCATTCCAAGACATTTAAATGTTTCCCCTTAAACCACTCAAGTGTTGCTTTAGCAGTATGCTTAGGGTCATTGTCCTGCTGGAAGGTGAACCTCCGTCCCGGTCTCAAATCTCTGGAAGACTGAAACAGGTTTCCCTCAAGAATTTCCCTGTATTTAGCGCCATCCATCATTCCTTCAATTCTGACCAGTTTCCCAGTCCTTGCCGATGGAAAAACATCCCCACAGCATGATGCTGCCACCACCATGCTTCACTGTGGCGATGGTGTTCTAGGGGTGATGAGAGGTGTTGGGTTTGCGCCAGACATAGCATTTTCCTTGATGGCCAAAAAGCTCAATTTTAGTCTCATCTGACCAGAGTACCTTCTTCCATATGTTTGGTGAGTCTCCCACATGCCTTTTGGCGAACACTGAACGTGTTTGCTTATTTTTTTCTTGAAGCAATCTGGCCACTCTTCCGTAAAGCCCAGCTCTGTGGAGTGTACGGCTTAAAGTGGTCCTATGGACAGATCCTCCAATCTCTCGCTGTGGAGCTTTGCAGCTCCTTCAGGGTTATCTTTGGTCTCTTTGTTGCCTCTGTGATTAATGCCCTCCTTGCCTGGTCTGTGAGTTTTGGTGGGCGGCCCTCTCTTGGCAGGTTTGTTGTGGTGCCATTTTCTTTCCATTTTTTAATAATGGATTTAATGGTGCTCCATGGGATGTTCAAAGATTCTGATATTTTTTTAGAACCCAACCCTGATCTGTACTTCTCCACAAATTTGTCCCTGACCTGTTTGGAGAGCTCCTTGGTCTTCATGGTGCCGCTTGCTTGGTGGTGCCCCTTGCCTAGTGGTGTTGCAGACTCTGGGGCCTTTCAGAACAGGTGTGTGTGTGTGTGTGTGTGTGTGTGTATATGTATGTATATATATACAGTGGGGAGAACAAGTATTTGATACACTGCCGATTTTGCAGGTTTTCCTACTTACAAAGCATGTAGAGGTCTGTAACTTTTTATCATAGGTACACTTCAACTGTGAGAGACGGAATCTAAAACAAAAACCAGAAAATCACATTGTATGATTTTAAGTAATTAATTTGCATTTTATTGCATGACATAAGTATTTGATACATCAGAAAAGCAGAACTTAATATTTGGTACAGAAACCTTTGTTTGCAATTACAGAGATCATATGTTTCCTGTAGGTCTTGACCAGGTTTGCACACACTGCAGCAGGGATTTTGGCCCACTCCTCCATACAGACCTTCTCCAGATCCTTCAGGTTTCGGGGCTGTCGCTGGGCAATACGGACTTTCAGCTCCCTCCAAAGATATTCTATTGGGTTCAGGTCTGGAGACTGGCTAGGCCACTCCAGGACCTTGAGATGCTTCTTACGGAGTCACTCCTTAGTTGCCCTGGTTGTGTGTTTCGGGTCGTTGTCATGCTGGAAGACCCAGCCACGACCCATCTTCAATGCTCTTACTGAGGGAAGGAGGTTGTTGGCCAAGATCTCGCGATACATGGCCCCATCCATCCTCCCCTCAATACGCTGCAGTCGTCCTGTCACCTTTGCAGAAAAGCATCCCCAAAGAATGCTGTTTCCACCTCCATGCTTCACGGTTGGGATGGTGTTCTTGGGGTTGTACTCATCCTTCTTCTTCCTCCAAACACGGCGAGTGGAGTTTAGACCAAAAAGCTCTATTTTTGTCTCATCAGACCACATGACCTTCTCCCATTCCTCCTCTGGATCATCCAGATGGTCATTGGCAAACTTCAGACGGGTCTGGACATGCGCTGGCTTGAGCAGGGGCACCTTGCGTGCGCTGCAGGATTTTAATCCATGACGGCATAGTGTGTTACTAATGGTTTTCTTTGAGACTGTGGTCCCAGCTCTCTTCAGGTCATTGACCAGGTCCTGCCGTGTAGTTCTGGGCTGATCCCTCACCTTCCTCATGATCATTGATACCCCACGAGGTGAGATCTTGCATGGAGCCCCAGACCAAGGGTGATTGACCGTCATCTTGAACTTCTTCCATTTTCTAATAATTGCGCCAACAGTTGTTGCCTTCTCACCAAGCTGCTTGCCTATTGTCCTGTAGCCCATCCCAGCCTTGTGCAGGTCTACAATTTTATCCCTGATGTCCTTACACAGCTCTCTGGTCTTGGCCATTGTGGAGAGGTTGGAGTCTGTTTGACTGAGTGTGTGGACAGGTGTCTTTTATACAGGTAACGAGTTCAAACAGGTGCAGTTAATACAGGTAATGAGTGGAGAACAGGATGGCTTCTTAAAGAAAAACTAACAGGTCTGTGAGAGCCGGAATTCTTACTGGTTGGTAGGTGATCAAATACTTAAGTCATGCAATAAAATGCAAATTAATTACTTAAAAATCATACAATGTGATTTTCTGGATTTTTGTTTTAGATTCCGTCTCACAGTTAGTGTACCTATGATAAAAAAATTACAGACCTCTACATGCTTTGTAAGTAGGAAAATCTGCAAAATCGGCAGTGTATCAAATACTTGTTCTCCCCACTGTATGTATGTGCATATATATATATATATATACTGAGATCATGTGACAGTTAGATTGCACACAGGTGGACTTTATTTAACTAATTATGTGACTTCTGAAGGTAATTGGTTGCACCAGATCTTATTTAGGGGCTTCATAGCAAAGGGGGTGAATACATATCCACACACCACTTTTCCGTTCTATATTTTGTTAGAATTTTTTGAAGCAAGTTATTTTTTTCATTTCACTTAACCAATTTGGATTATTTTGTGTATGTCCATTACATGAAATCCAAATAAAAATCAATTTAAATTACAGGTTGTAATGCAACAAAATAGGAAAAACGCCAAGGGGGATGAATACTTTTGCATGGCACTGTACAATCCTTGCTTTGCTTTGTTTTCAAGCTTGATCTGTCCTGTAGGCCAGTGGTTCCCAAACTGTGGGGCGTGCACCCTAGGGGGGGAGCGAGGGGTTGTTGTAATTTTTTAGTCACTCAAATATCACATGAATACACATTAGACATGGCAAAATGTATAGGATTGCAAGAAAATTAGCTTTAAAACTGCAAAATGTTCTTTGCACCATATGACATAATGTGTAGAATTGCAGGAAATAAGCTTTAAACCTGCAAAATTCTCTCCACTGACAAGAGGGGGTGTGAACAGTTTGTGCCGTGAACAGTGCTTGTGCCCATAGGGGCGTGCAGGATGTTCCCCAATGCTGGAAGGGGGGCCCTGAGTGAAACATTTTGGGAACCCCTGCTATAGGCTACATTCATTAAATTATAGGTAGTTATAATTTCTATCTAAAAATAAAACATTCTGTACCCCCAGGATTATCCAATAAGTGTTTTAGATTACACATGCTACTATTTTTATTTACTCTATATCCCAGAGTCCCAAGTGTGGCTCCCCAAAATAAGGTTTTAATGACAAATTTTTTAAATTATAACTAGTTCACATGTGGAGGCTTCACCCTCCCCTTTACTTTCTCCTTATTGGAAGGCATTGTTATGTATTTTAGTCTTACTCCAAAGTTTTACAGTATTTATTACCTATCTCCATTGGATATTCTTCATTTGCTTTACACTCATTAGACCTATTATTTTGAGATGAATATGTAATGCGCCCAAATTATTAAATACATCAGCCATACACTGAGTCTACAAAACATTAGGTACACTTTCCTAATATTGAGTTGAACCCCCTTTTGCCCTCAAAACAGCCTTAATTCATCGGGGCATGGACTACAAGGTGTCAAGCATTCCACAGGGATGCTGGCACATATTAACTCTAATGCTTCTCACAGTTGTGTCAAGTTGTCTGGGTGTCTTTTGGGTGGTGGATCATTCTTGATACACACGGGAAACTGTTGAGCGTAAAAAACCCAGCACCTTTGCAGTTCTTGACACACTCAAACCGGTGCGCCTGGCACCTACTACCATACCCCGTTCAAAGGCGCTTAAATCTTTTGTCTTGCCCATTCACCCTCTGAATGGCACACATACACAATCCATGTCTCAATTGTCTCAAGGCTTAAAAATCCTTCTTTAACCTGTCTTCTCCCCTTTATCTACACTGATCTGAAGTGGATTTAACATCAATAAGGGATCATAGCTTTTACCTGGATTCTCCTGGTAAGTCTGTCATAGAAAGAGCAGGAAATAGAGGAACTAACAATACAGATAGCAATAAAAAACGGTACCATAGAGGCACAGAATAAGTTAGCGGAAAAATTAAAAGAACTGGAGGAACTTATTCAAGAAAGATCAAGTGTAATATATTACTAAAAATAAAGCAAACTGGCTGGAATATGGGGAAAAATGCACCATATAATCTGTTTATCTTCAAATTAGAAATGTTACCAAAAATAATTAACAGAAACTTGTTACAAATGACTGTCATCCATGATTCACTAAACAATATTTTGAAAGGGGAAGCAAAGTACTTTAAGCATATGTTTTAGTTTGTCTCCACTAACTGAAGTTAATTGTGAGGATTTTTTTTCTATTAATAGTGTAAAATGAACAGCTGTACAGAAAGACTCATGTGAAGGCCAAATTACAGAAGAGGAACTTCTAGATGCAATTAAATCCTTTAAGTCAGGAAAAACTCCAGGGCCGGATGGCATACCAGTTGAGGTATATCAAACCTTTTTCGATGTAATCAGAGGTCCGTTATTAGCATGTTTTAACCACTCCTATAAAAATGATTAACTATCAGATACTGAACAAGAAGGTCTGATTTCACTATTACTGAAACAGAACCAAGGTGGTAAATATAAAGATCCAGTCCACCTAAAAAACTGGAGGCCCCTTACACTTCAGTGTTGTGATGCAAAAATTCTAGCCAAATGCATAGAATTAAAAAGGTGTTGTCGGATATTATTCATCCTAATCAGACAGGTTTTTTACATGGACCATGCATTGGAGATAATATAAGACAAGTACTGGAAACAATAAAACAGTATGAAAAATGTGGTAACCCAGGCCTTTTACTCATAGCTGATTTTGAAAAGGTCTTATATATAAACTAGAGTTTGTATATATAAATGCCTGGACTATTTTAATTTTGGAGAATCTCTTATACAATGGGTTAAAGTTATTATACTAACCCCAGATGTAAAATAGCAAATAATGGCTACTTCTCAGAAAGTATTAAACTGTCAGCCTCATACAGGATCTAGATAATTTCTCAAACCTCTCTGGAGTACAACCAAATTATGATAAGTGTACTATATTACGTATTGGATCACTAAAAAATAAAACTTTTACATTACCGTGTAGTTTACCAATAAAATGGTCTGACGGTGAAGTGGACGGACTCGGTATTCATATCCCGAAAGAAAAAAATGATCTCACTACAATACATTTTAATGGAAAGTTAGCAAAAATAGATACGCTCTTGCTACCATGGAAGGGTAAATACGTGTCTATTTGTGGAAAGATCACCCTGATTTAATTATTTAGTTATATCCCAGTTTACCTAATTACTTATGGCCCTGCCTACACCCAACGACTTGTTTTAGAAATATTCCACTTTATTTGGAGAACGACAAGCCAGACTTAAATGTTAAAATGTAAAAATAACCGGGCCTATTTATATAATGACTATAAATTCGGAGGGCTGAAATTATTTCAATATTAAAGCGTTGAACCTCTCACTAAAGGCTTCAGTCATACAAAAGTTATACTTAAATCCAAACTGGTTCTCCAGCAGATTAGGAAGAATGGCTCACCCTGTGTTCAAAAATGCCCTTGTTTTCGCTTTATTCATATTACAGGTTATTTGAAAATGAAATCATCTCCCAAGATATAGCAAATTTTTTAACAAGAAAGCTGTTTGCAATTTTGGTTTAATCCACCAGAAAATACAGAACAAATATTATGGTTAAATTCAAATATACTAATTGATGAAAAACCATTATAAAAAATAAAGGTATAATCTTTAATGATATCATAAATAGGTCACAAATGCAGCTAACAAATATACTGAACAAATACATAAACGCAACATCCAACAATTTCAAAGATTTGACTGAGTTACAGTTCATATAAGGAAATCAGTCGATTGAAATACATTCATTAGGCCCTAATCTATGGATTTCACATGACTGGGAATACAGATATACATCAGTTGGTCATAGATACCTTAAAAAAAACAAAAAGTAGGGGTGTGGATAAGAAAACCAGTCAGTATCTGGTGTGACCACCATTTGCCTCATGCAGCGCGACACGTCTCTTTCGCATAGAGTTGATCAGGCTGTTGATTGTGGTCTGTGGAATGTTGTCCCACTCCTCTTCAATGGCTGTGCGAAGTTGCTGGATATTGGCGGGAACTGGAACACGATATCGTACACGTCGATCCAGAGCATCCCAAACATGCTCAATGGGTGCCATGTCTGGTGAGTATGCAGGCCATGGAAGAACTGGGACATTTTCAGCTTCCAGGAATTGTGTACAGATCCTTGCGACATGGGGCCGTGCATTATCATGCTGAAACATGAGGCGATGGTGGCGGATGAAAGGCACAACAATGGGCCTCAGGATCTCGTTACGGTATCTCTTTGTATTCAAATTGCCATAATCCCACCGCATACCATAATCCCACCGCCACCATGGGGCACTGTTCACAACGTTGACATCAGCAAACCGCTCGCCCACACAACGCCATACATGTCGTCTGCGGTTGTGAGGCCGGTTGGACGTACTGCCAAATTCTCTAATGATATTGGAGTCGGCTTATGGTAGAAAAATTAACATTCAATACTCTGGCAACAACTCTGGTGGATGTTCTTGCAGTCAGCAATCCAATTGCACACTCACTCAAAACTTGAGACATCTGTGACAAAACTGCACATTTTAGAGTGGACTTTTATTGTCCCCAGCACAAGGTGCTGTTTAATCAGCTTCTTGATACAATGGGGAAAAAAAGTATTTAGTCAGCCACCAATTGTGCAAGTTCTCCCACTTAAAAAGATGAGAGGCCTGTAATTTTCATCATAGGTACACGTCAACTATGACAGACAAAATGAGAAAAAAAAATCCAGAAAATCACATTGTAGGATTTTTTATGAATTTAGATGCAAATTATGGTGGAAAATAAGTATTTGGTCAATAACAAAAGTTTCTCAATACTTTGTTATATACCCTTTGTTGGCAATGACACAGGTCAAACGTTTTCTGTAAGTCTTCACAAGGTTTTCACACACTGTTGCTCGTATTTTGGCCCATTCCTCCATGCTGATCTCCTCTAGAGCAGTGATGTTTTGGGGCTGTCGCTGGGCAACACGGACTTTCAACTCCCTCCAAAGATTTTCTTTGGGGTTGAGATCTGGAGACTGGCTAGGCCACTCCAGGACCTTGAAATGCTTCTTACGAAGCCACTCATTCGTTGCCCGGGCGGTGTGTTTGGGATCATTGTCATGCTGAAAGACCCAGCCACGTTTCATCTTCAATGCCCTTGCTGATGGAAGGAGGTTTTCACTCAAAATCTCACGATACATGGCCCCATTCATTCTTTCCTTAACACGGATCAGTCGTCCTGGTCCCTTTGCAGAAAAACAGCCCCAAAGCATGATGTTTCCACCCCCACGCTTCACAGTAGGTATGGTGTTCTTTGGATGCAACTCAGCATTCTTTGTCCTCCAAACACGACGAGTTGAGTTTTTACCAAAAAGTTATATTTTGGTTTCATCTGACCATATGACATTCTCCCAATCCTCTTCTGGATCATCCAAATGCACTCTAGCAAACTTCAGACGGGCCTGGACATGTACTGGCTTAAGCAGGGGGACACGTCTGGCACTGCAGGATTTGAGTCCCTGGCGGCGTAGTGTGTTACTGATGGTAGGCTTTGTTACTTTGGTCCCAGCTCTCTGCAGGTCATTCACTAGGCCCCCCCGTGTGGTTCTGGGATTTTTGCTCACCGTTCTTGTGATCATTTTGACCCCACGGGGTGAGATCTTGCGTGGAGCCCCAGATCGAGGGAGATTATCAGTGGTCTTGTATGTCTTCCATTTCCTAATAATTGCTCCCACAGTTGATTTCTTCAAACCAAGCTGCTTACCTATTGCAGATTCTGTCTTCCCAGCCTGGTGCAGGTCTACAATTTTGTTTCTGGTGTCCTTTGACAGCTCTTTGGTCTTGGCCATAGTGGAGTTTGGAGTGTGACTGTTTGAGGTTGTGGACAGGTGTCTTTTATACTGATAACATGTTCAAACAGGTGCCATTAATACAGGTAACGAGTGAAGACAGAGGAGCCTCTTAAAGAAGAAGTTACAGGTCTGTGAGAGCCAGAAATCTTGCTTGTTTTAGGTGACCAAATACTTATTTTCCACCATAATTTGCAAATAAATTCATTAAAAATCCTACAATGTGATTTTCTGGATTTTTTCCCCCTCAATTTGTCTGTCATAGTTGACGTGTACCTATGATGAAAATTACAGGCCTCTCTCATCTTTTTAAGTGGGAGAACTTGCACAATTGGTGGCTGACTAAATACTTTTTTTCCCCACTGTATGTCACACCTGTCAGGTGGATGGATTATCTTGGCAAAGGATAAATGCTCACTAACAGGGATGTAAACAAATATGTGCACACAATTTGAGAGAAATTTGCTTTTTGTGCGTATGGAACATGTTTGGGAATCTGTTATTTTAGCTCATGAAACATGGGACCAACACTTTACATTTTGCGTTTATATTTTTGTTCGGTGTATATGGAAATGTCTGCTCTATCCAAAATTATATCCAACTGATTGCAGCATTACCGCAAAAAATGGAGGAGGCAAGTGGAAGTGGAAGTGTGATAATGTAAGGAACTTGTCTGTCGGCCCTCCATTAAAGACCAAAATTGGTTAAAGAAAATTGTGAAAAAAAATTAAATAAGTATATCAGTTTCATTTAAGGACCTAAGAATTGACGTACAAAATTGACAGCTGCACCATACAGGTTGCAAAATAGTTGGGAAGAAATGTTCGATGTGCCGCTTCCATGGCACATAGTTTATGAACTGATACACAAAACAACAACGGATTGAAAACTTCGTTTTTCAATTTAAATTATATTATACAAAATTCTTGCAACCAATAGAATGTTATGCATATGGGGGATACAACCATCCCAGCTCTGCAGATTTAGCTGCGCAGAGACCGAATCATTAGATTACTTGTTTTGGTACTGCCCATATGTAGGTTGTTTCTGGTCGCAGGTTCAGGAATGGCAAAGAATTGCAACGTTTACCTGGAGCTAACTTATAAAATAGCATTGCTGGGTGACTTATAAAGACATTGTCAATCTATCAATACTATAATAATACTCTTAGTAAAAATGTTCATATTTAATTTAGGATCTGTAGAAACTATGAGAATGGAAAGGTTCAGACCTTTTGTGAAACAGCACAGTTAAAAAATAAATTTAATTTAGAATCAAAACTGGATGGTTTTCAGAGATAGATGGGAAGAGTTGAGGATAGCTGAAGGATGGGACTAAAAATCTAAAAGCGATAACTCGTAAAATATACAGTGTCTGTAAAATTTATATAGTATGTAAGCTGGAAGTAGAAGCCTAAGTATTGTTGTCCATTAGTTTACTCCAATTAGGGGAGGGGTGGTAGGGTTAGGGGAAAATTAATAAAGGAAAATATATTTCATTAGTTTACTCCAATTAGAGGAGGGGTGGTAGGGTTAGGGGAAATTAATAAAGAAAGAAAATATACTTATATATTTTCTAATGTTTTGTACACTCAGTTCACCAAATGTAAAACTAGTAACTGTATTGTTTGAACTACTCCTTACAGATTTTTCATACCAATCACAATCGTGCAATTTGTCAGACAACTCAAAGAGCTTCACATTAAAAATAGATGAGTATGTCAGAAATTTCACATATCAATACGGCTTCCTTCTCAGCCTTACCTTTCTTATTTTTCTACCAAACGCTCCAGCCATTCGCCCGGCTGGCCATTCACATCCCACCGTCCTTTCTCCATTTTGTCACGTGTTTTAGCAACTTTGTTCTACTCCACTGACAATTGGTAGAGTAAGTTCAAATATAATTTTATCCTACATTCATGACAGACTAGGGATGTTTAGTTTCCGTCGATGTAATAATGCGTGGCCCTGCTGTCCAGGGAGTGAATATCATGGCCACATTGGGACTAGTTGCCACCAAGCTAACTGACTGTAGCCACCAAGCTAACATTCTAAGCCACCAAGCTAATGACTAATCATTAGCATCTCTGCTGTTAACTGAGGACAGCTCCTCTCTTCGAGAGGCTTTGGATCTGACCTGCTTAATTCACACACACACAAACACACTCTCTCACGCACTCACTCACACAGCTCAGATATCTGTCTGTCTTGTGCGTGTGATGGAGAGAGGGAGTGTATTTTGGTGTCACACTGTCATGTGTTCTCCCCCCCCCCCCCCCAGTATAAGGGTCAGGCTAATCTCCATATCTTTGAGGACTGGTGTGGCAGCTCTACAGCTCAGCTCCGCAAAAACCTGCATTACCCGCTTTACCCACACGTGAGTCACACACAGTTCCCCAGCCAACATATACACATGACATGCCATAGTTCAACTGAAGCCTACACCCATTACTTTCTCACTCTCTCCTCTAGTCTAGAACCACAGTAAAGAAGCTGGCTGTTTCTCCCAGATGGACGAACTACGGCCTCAGGATCTTTGGCTATCTCCACCCCTATACCGACGGTATTGTTTTATTTTGGAAATCTGTTCCAAAGTTTTCCCAGATTTATGTGATCGTATACACATGTAAGCAAGGTTTGAAATGATTGTTTTAGTCAAATATTATATCTGTTTGGGCTTCTTGCAGTCAATTTGCAGTCTACAAATAAATTATTTGTAATTATGTTCCATGCCCCAAGGCTTTTAACAACTGTGTTTGGTGCAGTAAGACAGCCATTCAGATATACGATCAGGTCTGACAACTTTACATGACACAGGGCGACTGAACCACAGGGAACACCTAATTCAAATAATTATCTGTCAAGATTTGTCATCTCTGTGTGTCTGTTTGTTCCAGGTGAGTTTGTGTTTGCGGTGAGCTCTGATGATAACTCTGAGTTCTGGCTGAGCCGGGATAACTCTCCACTCAACCTGCAGCTACTGGCCTGGATCGGCAAGGTGGGCTCTGAGTGTGTGTGTCTGTTTGGACCTGCATACCTGAGATGGCTACAGTGACTGTAATGAGTGTGTTTATTTGGGGTTCTGGCAGCTCTCTGACTATGTGTGGTGTTTTTCAGACTGGTATGGCGTGGACGGCTCCTGGTGAGTTTGGGAAGTACGCCAGTCAGACATCCAGACCAGTTAGGTGAGTCGGCTAAACACTGTGTGGGTGTGTGTATTAGTGAAGGATATGATTGCAGAAGTTTGGGGGGTAACAAAATTCTGTATGAATCTATTTGTCTCAAATGAATAACTGAAAATGCACCCAAACACAGGGCTGAGAGTTATTTTTAGCAGAGGTTGTTATTTCTTCTTTTGGTGCCTTGGAGCTATGGCACTGAGCCAGGATGAACACACACATTCACAAATGCACAAACAAACACACCTCTGAGGTGTGTGTGTGTGTGTGTGTATGAACAATGATGGATGGTGCAGGGAGACATGGGTTTGATCCTGACAAAGGAATCTGTCACAACAACCATAATCAAGCATGGACCACATGCTAGAGAGGGGTAGTGTAGAAAGAGGGAGGGAGGGGGACAGGGAGCGAGAGAGGTTAAAGGAGGTGATAGTCAGGTATAGGCAGGAGAGTGGAAGGAGGGAGAGGTAGCTTTGGAAGGGGGAGGGAGAAAGGCATTGACGGTTAAGGGGCATAACATGACAGGCATCTACAACCACCTATCAGAAACTAGCATTGTGTGTGTTCTGCAGGCTGTCAGTTCAGAGGAGGTACTTCTTTGAGATCATCCATAAACAGAACGACAGAGGAACAGACCACATAGAGGTGGCGGTGAGTTTCCCCTCTTCTCTACTCTTTCCTCTCTCTGTGTGTGTGTGTGTGCGCATCTGGGCAGTAGTATTAAGTGTGTGTGTGTATTTGTTTTGACACAGTGGCAGCTGAACCAGGAGGGTCTAAGGTTTACAGTCATCAGCTCCAAGTACATATCCCTCTACAGCAGTGAGTACACACACACACACACACACACACACTAGCTATCCAATATTTCTAACTAATTTTAACTACCTAACCGTTATTTCAGACATGTATTTCAGATGTGTGTGTGTGTGTACAGATGAGTCTGCTCTGAGGATGAGTGACATCACTCATGTACCCCAAACGGCTGCTAGTCACACCCGCTCGTCTAGTAAACAGCCCGACAACCAGCTGAGCAACCAGCCCGCAGCCGACATGCTGAGAGTCGACCCACGCGACACCCTCTACCAGAGTAAGACCTTACACTCTCACACACAACACTACAGTCGTTAGCTTGAACAAATAACAACTCTGTGTGTGTGTGTGTAGTCCCTGCCTTAGACAGTAGGTTCCTACAAGGTGTGTTACCTGACTGCTCCTATAAACCCAGCTACATCATCAAAGGTTTCCCTCTGCTGCGATACCAGGGCCTGCAGTTTGTAAGTACCGTAAATATTACACCTTGAATCCCTATAACTAACAGAAATGAGCGTGTTATTACCATGTTGTTTGTGTGTTTCCAGGTCCACATGTCCTACATCTATCCCAACGACTACACACGGCTCACACACATGGAGACAGACAACACCTGCTTCTACCACGACAGTCCTCTATACCTGGACAGGTGAGGAGGGGAGGGAGAGGGGCTGGGAGAGGGAAAGGGAGAGTGTTTGTATTGTTATTAAGTAGAACTGACAGTGAAATGTGTAACCTCTCTATGGCTCTGGTCTGAGCAGTGGCTTATCCTGTATGAGGTCATTACCATTACCAACCAGCAGAGGGCAATGTGCTATCACTGAAGTTATGGATAATGGTGTTAGAGAGAGATGATGAGAACATTCCCTCTCTACCCCCCTCCTTATCTCCACTCTCTAGGTATGGGTTTTCCAGGTACATGAGGCTGGATGAGCCAGAGGGGCAGGAGGGAGAGAGCCGAGCCAGAGGTAGGAGACACACACATTGTTCTTCGGTTAAAAAGTATATGAACTGTCGTGGGTCGGCCTTCGTTTTATTTTAACACTCTTCTCTGTCTGTGTGTTTCGTAGTTGTTGGCATCTTGAGGAGGAGAAAGGCGGTCCCAGAGGAGGGGTTAGATGGCGAGGCTCCTCCAAATGTGGGAGGGGCTAGGAAGAAAGACCACGCCCCTCCTGACTATGGAGACGACTATGACGATTACGCTCAGAGACGACGACGCAAACTCTTCTCATTGCCACAGGCCGACAGGGCACCTACACACAGACACATGTCTGATACTCTCACATACAAGAAGAGGAGGAGGAGGAAGAGGAGAGAAACGAATGCAGCAGCTGTAGTAGAGCAGCAAGCAGTAGTCCAGACCAGAGCAACAGAACAGGATGGGTTAGAGATCCCCCCTGGTCCTGGGTCACATACATCTCTACAGACTACACCAGCAGAACAGCTGAGACTAGCAGAAAGACCAGCAGAACAGCTCAGACCAGTGAAGTCCAGAGCAGGGGAACAGAAACCAGGAGGGAAGCCAGCAGACAGAGAAGATATGGGACCAGCAGACCGAAAACAACCCAGACCAAGAGAGAGACCAGCAGAACAGAACTCAGCCGGGTTAAAGATTTTACCTGCACCACCAAAACTAGACCAGAACCTGACAATAGACCGAGACGGACCAGTAGAGGGAGACGGACTAGCAGACGGATATAGACCAGAAGTTTGGCTTCCCCAGTTGCAAGGGAGGCACCAGCATGTTCAACAGCCTGGTCCGAGGGGTCGGGCTAACGCAGCACCCAATCCCCTGCAGGACCGCCCATCTCCCACTGTCACTAATTGGTCCATCAGGGTCGGTCGAGGGTGGAGACTTGTTAACCGTACACTAGAGCTGTGGTCAGCGGTTACCAAACAGTTGACCACTCGACTGCCTGAGGTTAAACCACCCCTAATTAAGTTGGACCACGAAGAAACTGTGACCAGGAAGAGAGTCCAGGTCCTAGAGACAGATATCATCCTCCGAGCACAGCCACAGATAAAGTCACGACCGAAATCTGACTATGACAACACACTCTACGGGGATCTGCCCCCTGGCGTGGTCAGAGGGATGAACCGTCTGGTTGAAGGGGTTGACAGAGGGGGAGGTGGTGAGAGAGTGGGGGAGAGAGAGGGTGAGGAGGTGGGTGTGAGTGAGTCTTTATGGGGTCTTGAGGGAGACTCTGAAGAGGGGGACGGCCTGTCTTATGACTCCACCCCTCCACCAGTGTTTGACCCTGAGGTGAACTGGGCTCAGACATTCCAGGTGACCCCTGTCGACCTCCAAGCGATGCGGTCTGATTGGATAGACCTCCGCTGTAACGTGTCTGGTAACCTGCTGCTCCGCCCTAGAGACGCTCTGCCTGTCGTAAAGGCCTTCATGGACAAACTCAACCACAGACACCATGGGTCAGTGTGTGTGTGTGTGTACAGTATATGTGTTTGTGGAAGTGTGTGTGTGTGTTAACCCTGTCCCTCCCTCCCTAGGCGTTTCACCCTGGTGCGTGTGCTGAACGTTGAGAGGAGAGTGGACGGGGCTCAGGGCAGCAGGTACTTCCTGGAGCTGGAGCTGAGGGATGTGAATGGCCAATACCTTCGCCTGTCACACTACATCTATGCTCTGATTCGCCACAGACTATCTCGCCCCAGGGGACTCCCGCCCCTTCACCCTGCCCCTGAAATGTTTCTATGCAACCCTGTAGGTTTTCACTGGAACCCGACTGCCACTGTCCACTTCATAGTACCAGGTACACACAAACACACACCCTATTGCTACTCTCCTACTGTTGTATGGTGATATATTGGTTTATTCCTGTGTGTGTGTGTGTGTGTGTGTGTGTGTGTGTCAGTAAAGAACCAGGCCCGCTGGGTGCAGCAGCTGATAGTTGACATGGAGGGTCTGTACCAGACCACTGGCGACCCCAACTTCAACCTAATCATCACTGACTACAATAGCACTGACATGGACATAGAGACAACACTAAAGGCATCCACCCTGCACAGGTACGCAGAGTGTGTGGCATTTCATTGCACAATAAATTATAAAAATATTATGTCAACAAATCACCTAAAAGGCTCCCGTAGGCTACCTGTGCACATTCTTCCACTCTCTATAATAATTCCAGCATCCAAACAGTAATGGAAAGAGACAACTGTTACAAAACACCAAAAAGTATAATGACATTCGAGAATTAAGTCAATTCTAGGCTGGATTGAGTTAAGGTTGATGCGTCGTCCACTGTTGTCTCAGTCTCGGACATTCATCTATGCCTTGATAACATTTCAAATTTTTATTGTCGCAGAGATGAAACCCCACTGCATTTTAGAGCATATATCACCCATTTTCAAGTCCATTCGCTAATTTTTCATTTGGCTGAGATGCGGCAATAATAAATTATGGTGTAATATCCTACAGTGTTGTTGGCATCTTTGTTTTAATTATTGTGATAGGCTAATGTTTGAACCGTACGGCTTACTTTCACCTCTGATAACTTGCCTCTGTGTACCAGGTACCAGTACTTGAAGCTGAGTGGGAACTTTGAGCGTTCCGCAGGTCTACAGGCCGGCATCGACCTCATCACTGTGAGTGTGACATGATCAGTGACATCATCACTATGTGACAAACAGTGGGTGTGTCTTGTTTTGTGTTCCATACATCAACTGAGTTTCATGAAATGGGCATGAATATTCTCACTTCCTCCCCAGAATGAGCACAGTATAGTGTTTCTGTGTGACCTTCACATCCACTTCCCCCCCTCCATCATCGACTCAGTCAGGAAACACTGTGTGGAGGGACACATGGCCTTCGCTCCTATCGTCATGAGACTGGACTGTGGGGCTACGCCCAGGGAGCCCAGAGGTACACACACACACACACAAGCATGTGCACATACACACAAACCCACACACGCTTTCACACGTCTCTCTCTCGCTCTTTCTCTCTCTCTCTCTGTGTGTTCCAGGTTACTGGGAGGTGAATGGGTTTGGTCTGCTGGGGATCTATAAGTCTGACTTGGATGCAGCAGGAGGCATGAACACACATGACTTCACTGACCGCTGGGGCGGAGAGGACTGGGAGCTGCTGGACAGGTTTGTCTGTCTATGGTTGTTTGGTGCATGTTTGTGTGTGTTCTGTTGCTCATGCCTGCTCTGTCAATCTGATCATTAATAGGAATTATGTTGCTCTCCTGTGCTCTGTGTCTCAGGGTTCTGCAGTCAGGTCTGGAGGTGGAGCGTATCTACATGAGGAACTTCCTGCATCACTACCACTCTAAGCGTGGCATGTGGAACAGACGCACCCAACGCAGCGGCACGTAACCCACAACACAGCCAAAACGTACAATGATGTAGCCGTAACCTACGACGACGCATCCGGGGGTGCAAGGAAACTGCCACACTTTAATGTCCCCATTCCTCGCATCAACCATTTACAGCTGTCGACCGGTTAACTAGAGGGCAGGACAGAGGAGATTCCTGACACCATTGGGTGATATCTCCTGTCACTCAAAAGGTTTGAGGGTGTCGTGATGATGGAACACAACATTATACAGATTGTCCTGGAAAAAGACACTAGTGCAGAGGTACTCAAATCTGAACATGGAGGTCCGCAGTACTGCTGGTTGGCCAGCGAGTCACTCACCTAGTGTCCCAGGTCTGATTCACAGGTTGATGTTTATTGTCATGAATCTTGCCCTGGAGGCAGAACTGAGCTGTTTCCGCAAGATGGGCCTGCTGCAAATTGTCTGTATCTTAAAAATGCATGGTTAAAAAAAAGTTACGGTTAGGCATTAGGGTTAGCAGTGTGGTTAAGGTTAGGGTTAAGGTTGGGGTTGGGTTTAAAAACAGATTTTATGTCTTGTGCCACTCTGTAGAGCTGCCTCCAGGGCAAGACTCATGACAATAAATAACAACCTGCATCTGAATCAGATCCTAGTTGGAGAGGAAATACAGTATGAAAACCAGCAGTGCTACAGATCTCAAGAACCGGATTTGAGAAAAGGTGGGACAAACACTACTGGGTACTCTATTTAAACATGATACTACTGATTTACTGTATTCTAACAACACACTACTGATGATCCTGTTCTAGGGAGATACTGTTGTAGTAAAAATGTAAACCTTTTCCAAACAGTGTGGATATTATCCTTTGGCTAGACAATGACAGATGTGTCTTTGGTAGCGTGAGGAGACTAAGAAGAAAACTGGGAGCAGTGATGATCTGCTCTGGTCACTGATACTGATGAACTAGGCTGAACCCTCCTGGGCTGCCTAACCAAAGACAGAGACAATACACACACACACACATCATGTTAAACATCATGGATCATACAGCATTTGTATGTAATCAGGGTCTAGCTTATTTATTGACAATGAAAAATGCACCAAAGTTACGGTACTAGTGTGATAGTAAATTTTTGGTGTAAAACATTGTTTTATTAATATAATTAGTTAAGACATGAAAAGGGGGATCATTTCTGATAGTGACTATTATTCAGGCAAGGTTACTGTACTGGATGGGGATATATCCCTTAATATGCGATGTGCATTATGAAGCCCGCTGTATTCACCTGAGTGCCTGCTCCATAGCTCTACTACTGTAGAGCTCTACTACATACAGTGGGGAAAAAGGATTTAGTCAGCCACCAATTGTGCAAGTTCTCCCACTTAAAAAGATGAGAGAGGCCTGTAATTTTCATCATAGGTACATGTCAACAATGACAGACATTTGGTCACCTACAAACAAGCAAGATTTCTGGCTCTCACAGACCTGTAACTTCTTCTTTAAGAGGCTCCTCTGTCCTCCACTTGTTACCTGTATTAATGGCACCTGTTTGAACTTGTTATCAGTATAAAAGACACCTGTCCACAACCTCAAACAGTCACACTCCAAACTCCACTATGGCCAAGACCAAAGAGCTGTCAAAGGACATCAGAAACAAAATTGTAGACCTGCACCAGGCTGGGAAGACTGAATCTGCAATAGGTAAGCAGCTTGGTTTGAAGAAATCAACTGTGGGAGCAATTATTAGGAAATGGAAGACATACAAGACCACTGATAATCTCCCTCGATCTGGGGCTCCACGCAAGATCTCACCCCGTGGGGTCAAAATGATCACAAGAACGGTGAGCAAAAATCCCAGAACCACACGGGGGACCTAGTGAATGACCTGCAGAGAGCTGGGACCAAAGTAACAAAGCCTACCATCAGTAACACACTACGCCGCCAGGGACTCAAATCCTGCAGTGCCAGACGGGTCCCCCTGCTTAAGCCAGTACATGTCCAGGCCCGTCTGAAGTTTGCTAGAGTGCATTTGGATGATCCAGAAGAGGATTGGGAGAATGTCATATGGTCAGATGAAACCAAAATATAACTTTTTGGTAAAAACTAAACTCGTCGTGTTTGGAGGACAAAGAATGCTGAGTTGCATCCAAAGAACACCATACCTACTGTGAAGCATGGGGGTGGAAACATCATGCTTTGGGGCTGTTTTTCTGCAAAGGGACCAGGACGACTGATCCGTGTAAAGGAAAGAATGAATGGGGCCATGTATCGTGAGATTTTGAGTGAAAACCTCCTTCCATCAGCAAGGGCATTGAAGATTAAACGTGGCTGGGTCTTTCAGCATGACAATGATCCCAAACACACCGCCCGGGCAACGAAGGAGTGGCTTCGTAAGAAGCATTTCAAGGTCCTGGAGTGGCCTAGCCAGTCTCCAGATCTCAACCCCATAGAACATCTTTGGAGGGAGTTGAAAGTCCGTGTTGCCCAGCGACAGCCCCAAAACATCACTGCTCTAGAGGAGATCTGCATGGAGGAATGGGCCAAAATACCAGCAACAGTGTGTGAAAACCTTGTGAAGACTTACAGAAAACGTTTGACCTGTGTCATTGCTAACAAAGGGTATATAACAAAGTATTGAGAAACTTTTATTGACCAAATACTTATTTTCCACCATAATTTGCAATTAAATTCATAAAAAATCCTACAATGTGATTTTCTGGATTTTTTTCTCTCTCATTTTGTCTGTCATAGTTAACATGTACCAACGATGAAAATTACAGGCCTCTCTCATCTTTTTAAGTGGGAGAACTTGCACAATTGGTGGCTGACTAAATACTTTTTTTCCCCCACTGTATTACTGACGCTTGGATGTCACATTGTGCCTATTGCATGTATCCTTCGGAGCTCTGTCTATTTAATTTTCTATGGATTATACTTAAGAGGATCCCACACCCAACCCCTTGAGCAAGTGAACTATTTTTTTATGTTACACCGTGCCTTCTTTACAGCTCCGCCGAAAGCTGGGTGTTGTTCAGTTGATACAAAACTGGAACACTTTTGAAATGGGGAAATACTACCTGAACACGTCAGTTAAAGCCCCCATGTAGTCTTTTACATTTGATTTTTAAATAATCACTGTATGTCTAATAAATCACTGTTTATTTCATGAAAATAACTCCAAATATATTTGTATCATTTATTTCCCTGAGTGTGTTGATACAAATGTAAATATACAGTGCCTTGCAAAAGTTTTCATCCACCTTGGCATTTTTCCTATTTTGTTGCATTACAATCTGTAATTTAAATTGATTTTTATTTGGATTTCATGTAATGGACATACACAAAATAGTCCAAATTGGTGAGGTGAAATGAAAAAAATAACGTGTCTCAAAAAATTCTAAAAAATAAATAACGGAAAAGTGGTGCTTGCATATGTATTCACCCCCTTTGCTATGAAGCCCCTAAATAAGATCTGGTGCAACCAATTACCTTCGGAAGTCACATAATTAGTTAAATAAAGTTCACCTGTGTGCAATCTAAGGATCACATGATCTGTTACATGATCTCAGTATATATACACCTGTTCTGAAAGGCCCGAGAGTCTGCAACACCACTAAGCAAGGGGCACCACCAAGCAAGCGGCACCATGAAGACCAAGGAGCTCTCCAAACAGGTCAGGGACAAAGTTGTGGAGAAGTACAGATCAGGGTTGGGTTATAAAAAAATATCAGAAACTTTGATGATCGCACGGAGCACCATTTTAAATCCATTATAAAAAAATTGAAAGAATATGGCACCACAACAAACCTGCCAAGAGAGGGCCGCCCACCAAAACTCACGGACCAGGCAAGGAGGGCATTAATCAGAGAGACAACAAAGCTCCACAGCGGAGATTGGAGTATCTGTCCATAGGACCACTTTAAGCCGTACACTCCACAGAGCTGGGCTTTACGATAGAGTGGCCAGAAAAAAGCCATTGCTTAAAGAACAAAATAAGCAAACACGTTTGGTGTTCGCCAAAAGGCAATTGTGGGAGACTCCCCAAACATATGAAAGAAGGTACTCTGGTCAGATGAGTCTAAAATTGAGGTTTTTGGCCATCAAGGAAAACGCTATGTCTGGCGCAAACCCAACACCGCTCATCACCCCGAGAACACCATCCCCACAGTGAAGCATGGTGGTGGCAGCATCATGCTGTGTTTTTCATCGGTAGGGACTGGGAAACTGGTCAGAATTTAAGGAATGATGGATGGCGCTAAATACAGGGAAATTCTAGAGGGCAACCTGTTTGTCTTCCAGAGATTTGAGATGGGACGGCGGTTGACCTTCCAGCAGGACAATGACCCTAAGCATACTGCTAAAACAACACTTGAGTGGTTTAAGGGGAAACATTTAAATGTAATGGAATGGCCTAGTCAAAGCCCAGACCTCAATCCAATTGAGAATCTGTGGTATGACTTAAAGATTGCTGTACACCAGCAGAACCCATCCAACTTGAAGGAGCTGGAGCAGTTTTGCCTTGAAGAATGGGCAAAAATCCCAGTGGCTAGATGTGCCAAGCTTATAGAGACATACCCCAAGAGACTTGCAGCTGTAATTGCTGCAAAAGGTGGCTCTACAAATTATTGACTTTGGGGGGTGAATAGTTATGCATGCTCAAATTTTCAAAAAGTTTTTTTGTCTTATTTCTTGTATGTTTAACACCAAAAAATATTTTGCATCTTCAAAGTGGTAGGCATGTTGTCTAAATCAAATGATACAAACCCCCAAAAAACTCAATTTTAATTCCAGGTTGTAAGGCAACAAAATAGGAAAAATGCCAAGGGTGGATGAATACTTTTGCAAGCCGCTGTATTTACATAAACAACCCTAATTGGCGAATTGGATCATCTAGACTCTAGAGCCTACCCCGCTTACCTCTTAAAAGTAGGAGGATACATATGCAAATAAAATATGACTGGTCATTGGTCAGAATAATCTGATCAGATTGTGATGTCAGGATCTGGGCCAAAAGCGCCATTCCCACCTGAACAGGCTGGAATTCCAGGCATTTTCTTTCAAACTGCTCTTACACAAAAAGTATCATAATTTTCACAATTTCAGAGTGTTATTTTGACCTTTGTGTGAAAATAAAACTGGAAAATCATGTTTTTGACTGCGCTGCCCCTTTAAAAATGCTACATTTTGTGTTCCATTTCACAATGTGATTGGGAGTATCACAAGACATTGTGTATATATATATCTGACCTTTTTGTTACTGAAGTCAGACTCATGGCAGCTGTTTCTACCTTCTGTCTAGTGTCTACTCTCTCCCTTTCTGTTGTGTTGTACATTCCAGTCTTGGGAGCTCTGTAATGGTTTTCTAACAAAAGAGTAGAGAAGCAGGCAAATGAGCATCATACATTTCTTACAATAATTAAGATATCACTTGTCATAA